AGGGCTCTTGACCCCGAAGATCTTTAAACCTGCTTGCATCAACAGACACACCCTATCTCAACCACCACCTTACCTCATACTCCTACAAACCATTACAACCAAAATCTTCTGCCGTCATCATCCAGCGCTCCTCCATCGTCTGTCCCGGTTCGCTCCTTTCATCTGCTATTCCCTTGTTGTCCGTAGAAACAAAGTGCTGGCTGGTGGCTGGTGGTCTCTCCTTAATCCATTGTTCGTCGTCCCGTATTAACTGGGTTGACTCCTATCACTTCAGCCCACCCACTCCCTTGCTATCCTGCTTTTTGTTTCCGGCTCTCAGGCTCATTCGCCAACATCTTCCAACGTCTTTTACGGCCCCCCCGTACGAAACTGCTGGTTTGCCGTTTATACCATTCTTTCTCTCATACTGTAGTATCGGATCCTCAGGGAAGGTCAGCTAGGCTTTCCATCGATCTCTGACCCCCCTCCCTATCACCGATGTTCTTCTGAATTCACCTTCAGACGACCACACTCGCTTAACCAACTCACTAAGAATTCACTCACACATTCTCTCGTTCCCTTCTGTCCACCACCCCTATTTTTCTGTTGCTTAGACGATGAGACTCTTCCCGCACTCATCGTCAAGGTCGACGAGTCAATCATGCACAGCCATTTTGTTGTCTACATTGCTAGGAGCCCAGGTGGCCCAAGCAGTCATTCCACTGACAGTTGACGATCCAGGTATGACTCCGATTCTCTGTGTCCCGTGACATGCCTCTTTCTACTTCAGTACAGACAGGATAACACTTCTGACTTTATGCTTGCCTACAGAATCGATCAAAGGTGCAGCAAAAATCGTTGCCAAGAAGCTGGTTTCCTACTATACTGGATGGAGACCCGGTGACGTGCCAGGCAATTTGCCAGACCCATACTACTGGTGGGAGGCTGGCGCTATGTTTGGTGCTCTAATCGATTACTGGTATTACACAGGAGATGATCAATACAACGAAATTGTCATGCAGGCCATGCTTCATCAAACCGGACCAGACTTTGACTATCAGCCTCATAATCAGTCCCGGACTTCCGGGAACGATGATCAAGCATTTTGGGGCATGGCGGCTATGACTGCCGCGGAGACTAAATTTCAGGACCCTGCGGAGGACAAACCCCAGTGGCTTGCACTGGCCCAGGGAGTCTTCAACACACAAGCACCTCGGTGGGCTAACCACACATGCAATGGCGGTTTGAAATGGTCTATCAACACGTTTGGCTCAGGCTGGACTTACAAAAATACTATTTCGAATGGATGCTTTTTTAATCTCGCCTCTCGACTAGCGTTATACACAGGAAACACAACGTACGCAAATTGGGCGGAAGCATCCTGGAATTGGATGAGCGGCGTTGGTCTCATCAGCCCTACGTACCAGTTCTTCGACGGCACAGATGATACAACCAACTGCACCCGTGTGAATCACGTTCAGTGGTCCTATAACAGCGGCGTCTTTTTGGCTGGAGCAGCCAGTATGTACAAATATGTAGGTTGTCATACCCCCTGTCTGTCCATTATGCCATACAGAGTTCCCGAAGTAACTAACATTACATGGTTTTTAACTAGACAAACGGTGACAAAAAGTGGGAAGAGCGTGTTCGAGGAATTCTCAAAGGCATAGAGATTTTCTTCCAGAACGACGTTATGACAGAAGTTGCTTGCGAACGCAATGGAAAATGCAACGTTGACCAGCGTTCATTCAAAGCCTACCTTTCTCGCTGGATGGCTATGACCGTAAAAGTCGCCCCATTCTCGCGCCCTCTCATCATGCCAAAACTTCGTGCCTCTGCTGAAGCGGCCGCAAAACAGTGTAGCGGACCAGACAACTCGTGCGGTTTGCGCTGGACCAAACAGGCAGAGTTTGATGGAGAAACAGGCGTTGGCGAACAAATGTCCGCACTGGAAGTCATACAGGCTAATTTGGTTGATAGCGTTCCTGGGCCTGCGAATGAACGGACCGGCACTAGCAAAGGCGACCCGAACGCAGGGTTAAGTGATGGCCGTAATGATCTTCCTAAGTTATCAGAGATTACAATGGGTGACAAGGTTGGCGCTGGATTTATGACATCGATAATCTTGCTGGGCGTTTTGGGTGGGGCGTGGTGGATGATGGCTTAAAGTACATTATTAATCGGAGGATTGGATTTTGCTTTTTCCTTTGGCGATGCAGGCGGGCTTATTGGGTATTTAAAGAAGGATCACTGAAGCATAGGATGAAGGAGACGACGAAGAAGACGAAGACATGAAGGACGTCTCTGCAGACGTAACTCCCCAACCCTCTTCCCTCGACTATGACACCTCCCACAACTATTTAATAAGATCCTTTTCACTTCTTGCCCCCGGGGATTTGGGGAAAAACAGACCTTCTGCAAAACCGATATACCGCGATATACCGACGACGCGATCCCGTTCTATTCTCTTCCTCTTCTCTCTTCTTTGTTGTCATTTTTAAACTTATTTCCCCTCTTCATAATTGGGAAACTGGTTTGTGTCATATGGGGAGTTTCTCTTTTTATCTCTGCCGATTCACTTTCCATTACTAACTTCCATAATTCTTTTCTATTACCCCCCATGGTTATTGTCGTGTTTGTTCCATACTTACTCCACCTCTCCTGTCATTTTTCGATTCTCCTAGTTCTATACTGGGTCTGTTGTTACCTGTTGTCTTATTCTAAATGGTATTTATTATATCATATATATATATATTTTGAAGTTTCCTGGGGAAACTGTTAATCTCCCCTTTACAATTTCTACCAAATTCTTCATTGTTGGTAGTAATGTTTACATTGGCATCAATGTTCATTTGAAAGAGGGTCAGGTCTTATCCTTTCATGTTTGACCCTGGTTTCATTCAAGTATCACATGTGCAGGCATCATGTTTCTGATGATGAGATTTATGATATTTTAATTCAGAATTGTCAATGATGTAAAATGAATGGATTGATTCTACAATATTATATTTTATATATTTGTGTCAGGATATATTCTCTTGTTCTCACTTAAGTCCTCTCTCTTCATGGCCAATGCTTGCTGTTCCTGGGCGCGCTAATAAATAAATAAGTAAAAAGAAAAAGAAAAGAAAAATGGGGGTAAAAATTATATAATGATATTAGACTTTCTCATTCTCAAATTGGCATAAACATGGCAGTTTCTATGTACACATTGATATAGAGTAGCACCAAAGGAAGGGGTGGCTGAATGAATTGAGAGTATATATGTTAGATATGTGATATCATTGCACTTTCGAATCGCATCAAGCGAGTGCATAGGTCCGTTCCATCCGTTAAGAGATAAAAAATAAAACTACACCAAAGAATCAGGATCCCAAACTCCATAACCCCGAATGTTTTCTGTATATGCAACTTAATCAGGAGAGAGACGCATTGTTCAAGGATCACCCTTCTTCACCGTAGTTGTCTTGTGATATTTCAACAAAGGTGTTGAGTATTTATAGACATCGAACCGGCGGGGGATTTCGGAAAGTATCAAGCGATGGTATCCACGAGGTCAAAGAAAACAAAACGCCTTCATTGGATCTTTGAAGATCAATGCCGGTTTTATGATCCTTCCGCAAGCTCCTTTCTAATCTGCTCCTTTTGTCTTTCGGCCTCATCCTTTTCAGCCTGTCGTTGCAGCTTGGTTTGTTTCTTGTTGGTAGCTTCGGACTCCTTCATGGCTAGCCAGACTGTGTTTTGAGACGATATAGGTTAATTCGAATAACATCTTAGAAGGGGGCATAGGGTAACGGGGATGAGACGCGGGAGGGGATTTTAATTAATAAGTTCGGTATAATGGTCAGCAGCTGGAACGTACTAGGTTTATCCGATTTTGCGTGCGTTTTCAGTCGCATGACGAAGTCATCGAAGTCCTGCTGCCTCTTTTCTCGCGTTTCCTGGTTCCGTTTTTGGAGTTCTGGGTTAAATCTCTAAAGGATTTTTGGGTTGATTAGATATTCTATAATTTGATTTCTTGTTTTAACAAGGTCGATTCGCGGCGGGCCATATGCTAATGGGTGATAGCTGGAGACATAGAGCGTACCTTGAATAATTCCTCCTCTGTCGGCCGGAGATATTGAACGAGTGCTGGTCCACCAATGCAAAGCACTGCTCCACTATGTAGAGAGATTTGTTAGCTTAAATTAAAAAAAAAAAAAAAAAAAAAAAAAAAAAAAAACCCCACCGGGCTAAACACCAGTAATCGCGAGAGATATACATATGGGAGACTTACACCCCTAGCATCTTCAACGAGGTACCTAACCTGGGCATGGCTACGCAGCGGTATGGGATGGGAGTTGATTGGGAAGGGATGCGCGGTTCGGGCGGTTCGGGCCGGATTACAAACGGAGCCTTTCTGATATTTTGGTATTGGCGCAATCGAACCCGTAAGTCAATTCCATGTGATTATGTGCTGATAATCGTTGTGTTGAAAACCGCTCAAACTTCCGTTAAAAACTGACCAAAGAGCAATGACAGGTAGAAGGTTGTGATATCCATAATGTGGCGTCAATTCCAGAGTGTATTCGAGTGGCTGAGTCTATATAAGCGTCTTGGGCCATGTGGCGGTGCGTAGGGCCAGAAATTTCACCATCTGATGGATCAATGGAATCCTCGACACAGTTGCCGCTGGTCAAAAAAAGCTTCGAAAGATTGGAAATGCAGCTCTCACGATATCTATTTACATCTTCATACTTTTATAAACGATGGTAATTTATTTTCTGGGTCTCAAGATATTCACATTTCATCTCTCTCAATCCCAAATGAATAACTGTGTTTGCTTAGAGCCAGAACTCAAAAAGAAATCAACTACATGTCGCAAAACCTGCTCAAGCCGCCAGAGGCATTCATACTCCAAAAATGCCATCGTGCCCTCATTCTGAGGAGCTGAGCAGATAGCGCATACACCGGGCGCAGTCTCCTGCGTGGTGAAATGACAGTTCTCAATCTCACAATGCATCCCGGAACAAGTGTTCGCGATGTATTTTCTGTCAAAAATCATTGTTGGTTCTTCGTTTGAAGAGCTTCAGGATAATACATGGACCTATCAACTGATCTATTCCGCGCCGGGCAAGTTGACAAATATTGTTCCAACGCTGGATGCTTCGCTCATGGATCGCGAGGCGTATATTAACGGTGACGACAAGGACAAAGAGAAATGCTTTTACTTTCTTCGTAAGTCTCTCTGCTGACTTTCCGAGCAAGGGGTCAGATGTTACCGATATCATCTGCAATCCATGGATGATGGAAGGTCGTTCATTTACTGATGAGTAGGTGGGAGCAATGGGAAAAAGAGGTCAGACAGTTAGGAGAGGCTCATTGAGCTGGATGCAATGTGGAAGTCCGTGTCGGTTTGTGTGAGAGTTTTGTCCAGTAGCGCATGTATTAAGTTGACTGTAGCTCTGACCTCGAAGGCTATTGGGCCTAGCGAATTTGCAGATTTTTCGATTTTTCGAATATGGCATGATCTTAAGAAAAATACGCAATTGTGGGGCGATCTTGCAACTTGTGAAATTTTTCAAGCCAGGTCATGTATCCTGCTAAGAATTCTTCCTGTGGAGCCAGCACCCAGAGTACCTTATAGGAGCCATAAGGTGTCTGCAACTAAGACGGTATGAGTTGAACAGGTGGTCGAGAGTAAATGCTGCATTTCCCGTTTTAATTGTGCTGGCACTGGATTTAAAATCAATCTGCCATGGGCTCTGATTCTCTCCTATTTTTCACTATATCAAAGCAGCCAATTCCCTAAGCCAGCGCTATCCACTGCCATTCGTCCTCACACTATGATTTGGACGCAGGCTGTGATCGAAGCATATCAACTGATTAGTAATTAGCATCCTTTGGCCCCCTCACTAGGTGGAAATTCAAGTGCACCGAGCTTCTCATGATCGAGTGGGGTGAAGATATTGTTTTATATAGGCACCCATCACTCTCGAAGACATATACGGAACAGGACGCGATGAAAGTTGGATCATGATTGTCCTGCGCTGTTTCACAATATGAGAGCCATATAAGCCTGATACTTCGTTTACAAAAAACCGCGTGCTGTATCCATGGATAGCAAACTACATTCCCGTCTGACAGTTCCCATCATTCTAGAATGTAACCCTGGATCAGCCATGGGTCTTTTTGACCATTTTGTCCGTGGTCCCAAGGGTGTTAGTTGCTATCCCTCTGAGAAGGGAGACTGCAGGACATGACACAAAGCTTCCCTTGCATGGATATGGGCGTGTGGGACGCCTTATTGGCAACCACAGCTGATATGACTCTTTTTATTTTATTTTATTTATTTATTTATTTTTGATAGGTTCTCAGAAAGCATTTGGCGTCTCACTGCCATCATGCTGGGCAAGGGCGTTTATGAACTGTAAGAAAATACCTCCAAAACAGAAGAAGCAAAATGGATTAGCTTCCACTTGCCAGGGTCACCCATGTCACTATAACTTGATTAGAAACGGTTGCATGCGAATATGTAGCAATTTCATGCTCGTCATCGTTAAGAATGCCACTGTCAACCAAATGGTTGGAGAACGGCAAAATATCCAAAACCTATGATGTTCCCACGCCCTGCACATTGTGGTTGAAAGATAGATAATTGGCATTCTTAATTTCCCTGAGAACTGAGACGAAAATTTTCATTCTCTCGGCAGCTAACTTAGGGAAGACGGTAGGTAATATGGAATTTCGGAGCTGCCTCTTTACCCCTTGACCTACCTAATTAACCAAAGATTATTCTGCTCGACGCAGCCGAACAAGTGGAATCTAACCCGGTTTGTATGTCAGCAGTGGGCTACCGAATGCTCCGTTAGAAATGTGCCCGATTTGCAGTGATATCCTTGCATAGAAACTTTGAACCTGGCATACAGATATCAAGGAACAAGTTTGGCGTATCTTTTGGGTCCTTGGTAATGTAACTAATACCGCGGAACATAGAAGTATTTAAATTAATTCTCCTTCTGCTGTTCCAGTCAAATAATAACGAGTGAGTGACTCCAAAATCACCGTATACCAAATACCTAGATTTTAACCCAAGTTATCTACGCTCTGCAGCAAACTAATTTAATTAATTAAATTAAACTAGGTTCAGGACATCTTATACTGATGTATTGCAGTCGGTGGAATTCATGAGCATGGTAGAGGTTCTGCTGCTGGTAACATGGGTTGGTTGAATGATAGGCTCTTCAGCAGGCTCAGCAAGTGAAATAATAAGCTTAGTAGCTAGATATCATACATTTTTTACTTCTTTCTCATTCACAGCATATATTATCCTGATATTGCTTTTTGATAATGCTGATATTGATCATAACTACTGAATTTGCCAGCCTTTCTAATTTGATTCATATTTTTACTAGATTGTAGAAAGAGCTTTAAAGTCTCTGCTTTATAATATTATGATTATATTCATCTGCTGATAAAATTGATAGAAATTATTAATTAAATGATTTTTATAACACAGAATAATTAAAAATTGTTAGATTGACTAACTAGTTAAAGAAATCAATATATAAAATTAAATATTTAGTTGTTTAAAATCTGATCAGATTTAAATAACATTTTAACTAATTAACTAATACTATAATATTAGTAATTATAAAAATATTTTAAATAATTTGAGATTTAATTACTTTTGCATATATTATAAAATATATATTAAAAAATTAATTTTTTAGTAATATTAATTTTAAATCATATTTACTATTTAATTAAATCTTTATATGCTTACTTTAAACTATCAAAATATTGATATTTAAAACTTTTAGAAAATATAATTAATATATCAGTATATGAAAAAAGGTAATTTAATTTTTATTATGAATATAATTAAATTTAGATATAAAATAATTATTATAATTACTCAATATAAAAAAATATATAATAATAATTTTATAAATACCTTTAATCAATTATTAAAAATTTTTATTTTATTTATAATTTAGTTATCAAATTAATTATTTTTTAATTATTTAGTAATTTATTTAGTTAATCTCTTTAAAATTTTATAAATAAATATAATATATAAATAAAGCTTGCTACAATATATTAAATAAATTAAATATTATTATTTTTTCTTAACAATTAATTAGAACTATTAACTAGTATTTTCATATAAAATAATAATAATTTTAATAGTTAATGTAAATTTTTATTATAAATTCAATTTTATTAAAGTTGTTTATAATTTTCATTTGAATTTCATATACAGTAATTACATTTTTAAAATTTCAAATTATTTTTAAATAATACTTCTATTTTCATAATTATCTTATTTATAATTATGACATCTGAAATGATAACATTAAAGCTTTATATAATATTTAAATAGATATAAAATTTAGATTTTATTAATATAAAAAAAGCAAAGATGAATTATTATTATTATTATTATTATTATTATTATTATTATTAATTTGAGTATATGCAGTCAATGACTATGACATACACCTAGTTAAACTAGAATTTGTTTATTTTGTAAATTTGATATATAAAGACAAATTAAAACATATAATTATAGAATTTTGTTTCAGAATGATTCTACATTTGAAATACTATAAGTTGAGAAGATATTTAATCATATTCTTAATAAATGCTGGTTAGAGGGATGATTCTCATTTAATTAAATTTAGAATTCAGTATTAGATTCTTTTCAGCTTCTGTTGATTTGATTATGTTTGTATGTAAACTGCTCCGTACAGGTCATCCTTGGAGCTATGAATTTAAGAATTGACTTTGAAACATCGTAGTATGCAGTTTCCAAATTGAGAGTATTTCTTGCTTTTTAATAGCAGAATATCGAGTTCAATTCTTCCCTGCGTCTTTATAGAGTTTCTTGCGTGTTTACCGCGAATTGGTGGGCAGGGCATACGGATTACGTTGTAACATATTTTTGATCGTAATCCGTATGGTATTACAAATACCACCCATTGAATGGCCCGTATATGTACGGGCCGTATGCAGCTGTGATAGTGGGTAATACCAGACATTATACCACGGGTCACGTTTTTCCAACTTATACCTCATCCCATTTCGTCTCCATCTCCTTCTCTCATCTTCGTTTTGTGTGGCAGACTCCCCCTCTTGTCTGCCTCTCTGTCGCCTCCACTGGACTTCCTGCTCGGTGGCTGCTACAGAGACATTTCTCATCGGTCGCTTGGCGTGGTTGTATCGAACGAGCAGAAACTCTCCCGGCTCTGATTGGCGGCCCCTGCGTTGCGCTGCACCAATCCTCTCCTCTCGTACGACTAGCAGCACATGGGGCCCATCTAAGATTTTGCGGCTTCTATCAACACCCTGCCTTTTTTTGCATCTCCTTTCTCCTTACCCGGTGGGCTATCTGCTGACTGTGACTTTTACGTTGATACCAACTTGGATGTGCTGTCGGCACGTTCCCGTTGTGATTATATTTTTCGCGTCTTCTGGCACACGCGCAATTCCGTTTATATGACTACACCGTACGTAGTTCCAATATATATCTGAGAATATTTGTATCGAGAATCACTTGCTCCCGAATACGTACCCTCTGCGGTTCGATTTAACAGTTTTCGTTCACTCTTCCAACTGCCTGCATCGTCTACGCTTCTTTCACCCTTCTTCCGTGGTGCAACTTTTTCCCAGGATATAATTTTTGCTCATTTTTATATCTAACAGCTAGAGAAGTGCTATACGTCTCCTACGATTCCAGTGTTCGTGAACCTGAGTTGTGAACATTTCATTTCATATATAGCACATTCCTTTTATTGCATATATTGGCATGGCATATCCGCATCGAGGGCCTCCCCCTCGACAATACAACGATCAGCCACCACCTTCCCAGTATTACGGACATCCCAGTCGGGGACGAGGGGGTTATGGCCCTGGAACTTGGAATCCAGGTTACGATGACAGTGGACAGTATTACGACGAGCGTGGCGGATATGGCGGGGGACCGGGAGGTCGTGGACCATATGAACATTGCCCCCCTCCTCCAAATCGAGGGCGTGGAGGTCCGCCTCCAAATCGGGGTGGATATGGTGACCGTCGTCCTGTGAATGGACCACCGCCAGGGCCAGGACCATTACCCCCTAACTTCGATAAATCATTCCCTAGACCTCCACCAATTCAACAAAGACCAAGACAGCGTAAGTCGAGGCACAGCGGTAGCGGCTCTTGGTCCCCCATACTGACAGATACAACCAGCTAACGATGGTGCACCGTTGTCGCCTGTCAAACTCTCATTTGATAATCCCTTTCCCGCTTTCCCGAGAGGGAGACGGGGTAATTCGAAGGAGCTCGACCGGCGGATTGGTGATCTCGATCTAAATGATTCCTCAATGAGACCGTCTCCTGAAAAACGACCGCATACATCCAACTCCACGCGCCAGCCTCCACAACGACAGCTAGATATGCCGCAGTGGGGTGGACCTGGCGCTCGAACTCTACCACCGTTGCCTGATTCGATGCCACTGCCCGGACCCAAAAGGAGCATGACTATGCCCTCCAATCCAGGCCCGACTGGCCCACAGTACCCGGGACAACCGACTTGGCAGGAACCACCTCTACCACGTCCAAATACAGCTAGCGGAACGAAACCCGATATCGCGCCTGTGCAAAAGAACAGAGCCAGCTCAATAGACACCAATAGAGACCTGCCTGATGACTTCCTCGACGAGTACTTCACGCCTAACGATCAAACAGACTCAGATATGCCGAATTTCAGTGTGATGCCGGACACTCAGGATGACAACATTGTACCTTTTGACAAACCCGGCGCTGATGAATCTTCTCCCCCCAACTCGGGGAAGGGTTACACTGCTTATCGTCCACCTGGCGGCCCGACTCCGATTCCAAACATCTCTACGGATCCACCAACTAATCAGTTTGAAAATGCTGGCTTCCATTTCGACCTTCCTCCTCCAAACCACAAATACGATCAGGGGCAACCTAAAGATTATGATCCATCAACAAATGGTGGTTATCCTCATCACCCAAAAAGTCGAGGAATGCCTCCTGGCCCGGCACATCATGGAGGCGGTGGGGGGAGCGGGCGGGGTGGATATGATCCTCGTCCTCCACCCAATCAATATGGCCCTCCGGGCAAAAGCACACCCATGTCGTACCCAGATAACCATACAGAGTACCAGAATGCGCCGTCTAATTATCGCACCGGCGTCACCCTGGCAGATCCACCGCATCAAAACCCAGACGCCCTTCCCAAGCATCCTGTTCCGTTTCGTCCTGGTCTTGAGAATACGGCAAAGCCACCCCCTATTAGGCAATATGATAACCCTCCTGCACAGGTGCAATCCCAAACGGGTCTGGGAGCACCACCCCAATTCCTAAATGATGGAGCCGGCCCGATGCCCATTACTCACGAAGAGCTCCATCGTATCCAACAAGCGGCTAAGAGCAATCCATCAGATCACAAGGCTCAACTTTTCCTAGCCAAGAAGCTCGTTGAAGCCTCCATATATTTGATAGATGACAACGGAAGGGCCGATATAAAAACTAGAAACAAGAACCGTGAACGATATATTTTTGATGCGCACAAAATTGTTAAGAAGCTAGTCACTGCAGGGTACCCACAGGCAATGTTTTACCTGGCCGATTGTTATGGCGAAGGCCAACTTGGCCTAGAAGTGGACCCTAAAGAGGCATTCTTGCTGTACCAATCTGCTGCAAAGGCTGGTCATCCAGAGTCTGCCTACAGATTAGCCGTTTGTTGCGAGATGGGCTACGAGGGGGGCGGAGGCACAAAACGAGATCCGATGAAAGCCGTACAATGGTATAGGCGCGCCGCAGCATTAGGAGATACCCCTGCGATGTATAAGATGGGCATGATCCTCTTAAAGGGTTTACTAGGCCAACAAAAGAACCCTCGAGAAGCGGTATCCTGGCTCAAACGAGCGGCCGAACGCGCAGACGAGAGTAATCCCCACGCCCTCCATGAACTTGCACTCCTTTATGAAAACCCCAACGGAAACGACGCCATCATCCAGGATGAAGCGTATTCAAGAGAGCTTTTGGAACAAGCGGCGAAACTGGGTTATAAGTATTCGCAATATCGTCTTGGCGCTGCGTATGAGCATGGCCTACTCGGATGTCCTGTTGATCCACGGCAGAGTATACTCTGGTACACCCAGGCAGCTGCGCAGGGCGAACACCAGGGCGAACTGGCGCTTAGTGGTTGGTATCTTACCGGAGCTGAGGGCATTTTACAGCAGAGCGACACTGAGGCGTATTTGTGGGCACGTAAAGCCGCTCTGTCTGGTTTGGCGAAGGCGGAATATGCGATGGGTTATTTCACTGAAGTTGGCATTGGTGTGCCGGCCAATCTGGAGGATGCCAAGAGGTGGTACTGGAAAGCATCGTGTAAGTGTTTCTCGTTTTCTTACTTCCATTTGCGCAAATAAAGAGGGAATGTTTATGTGGCTAGATCACTGTTATTCGATTTCTATATTCATCTAAGTACCCGCATTCTGACATCTTATGCAGCACAAAATTTCATGAAGGCCCGCGAACGTCTCGAGGACCTCAAGCGCGGTGGTGCCAAAATGCAGAAAACCAAAGTTTCGCGTTCGGCAGTCAACAGCCAAAAGGACGGCGATTGCATCGTCATGTGAAACATTCACTGCCCGATATTGCCAGTGGTCCTCTGCCTTGCCATGGCCTTACTATTCCCTGAATTCGTGGTTGTCCTACATTGCGTCAAGACGCGGATGGAAAACGATTTTTTGATGCCCCATTGGTAGAATGCTTAAAACTTCAGTATATATCTTTCTTCCTTTCCTGCTTATTCTTCTTTTATCTTCTCATCCTCTTCTTTTAACTTTCTCTTCTTATTTTCATCCTTCTCCCTCTGTCTTCGGTTTTTCTTCCCAACCATTTACTCAAATACTTCTCCCAAAACTATATATTGATAAACTCATTTCCCATCTTTTCTCTTCCTTTCATGCTTTAACTTTCCGCGTTTCAAATTTTAGGTTTCTTCCCTCCTTTATTTTCCTGTACCTTTTATACTTCTGATTTTAATTTTCTTTTATTTTTGTTTCCCTCCCTTTCACCCTTTCTTGCGCCAAGTGCCGCCATGCTTAAATAAATGCCGGATATAGGATTTTGGGACTAGGGTTCAGGGATATGCAAAGCGGATATTCTACGGCGAGATTGGGGTTGATATGGGACCCAACACGCTTAATTTGAATGGAATCAACAGGTACTGAACGTTTGCGACAGAAATATACGTTTATGATAGATGTTGGGATACATTGAATGTTTAGGTGTGTTTGTGCTGGTGGTTCTACGGGATGGCATCCATGGATAACGAATGTTATCTCAATTGGGCGATAATAGAGACTGTTGGAGAAAATGCCTGAATCTTTCATCTCATTATTGGGGTCATTTTCATTTTTCCCGTTATATCTTTTTCCTTTCAAACTTTTAATGTTGAAATCGTGTATGATATAGCAGCTTTTGATCGTATGACTCGGTTGTTACGCCTTTCCGGTAACTACATCATTAATATAATTTATTTTCTCTCTACCGAATTTAAGTCATCATTCCACCGTAGGTACATAGATATACTGCCGAAAAACGAAAAAAAAAAAATAAATAAATAAAATAAAATAAAAAGAAACATCATCTCCAATAAATAAACTGATTGCATCATCCGTGAATCGAATGCGGGCCCACCGAATCCTAACCAATGATGCCAACCAAGCGTGCGAGTTTTTTTGCTGAACAGTGGAATCCGAGCGGACGATGCTGGCTCCGATTGCTCAGCCCCTCCGATCGAATGCCGCCGACCACCTCAAAGCCGATCTTCCGCTCTTAATTCGGTCTTAGTGAGTTCCTCTGTACTTGAAGAGGAGTAAATATAGATGATTTGTAAGTTCACCAGAACAACCTATACTTCCTCTGCCTGACTGAAATCACCATCCCCATCCCCCGCTGTCAACTTGTTCATCATCGGGATCAAAAAAGGCCTTGCTAAATCCGAGCCTCGAACTGTAGTGATATCAACCCCTCCGCCGTCCGCTTTCCCCGCTCCCACTCATCTCAGTAACATAGCAACATATAAAAATAAATCAAGAGTATAGGATAACGCATGCCAAAATAATAATCCTCCCTCTCGATCGAACAGCAATAGCAATAACAGTCCAAGCTCCGGCTGCACCGCCAGGCAGCGGCTCTCGGCCTCTAAGCTCTTCATTCCCACCTTTCTTCTTGGAATTTCCATATCGTGCATCGTGTCTCCATTCTCTCTTATTGCTTTGAGAGCAACTGTGCGGGCCCGGTTACCCAATCTCGGGAGGTCTTCCAACATAACGCAAATGCGTAGTGTTAAACAACGTTGTTACTACAAGAGAAAATATTAGAGAGACTCTCGTTAAAAGCGCTAGTGTGGCCGTGATGTCTCCACCGGCGAGGATCCCAGTTTACTTTTGGAGTCATGGGGGAGTAAGTTTTTCCTTTTCCCTTCTTTTCCAAGCTCCTCTCAAGGGTGGAGTTTTGGGGTTGCCGTTTCTCTCTGATGCACCGTTATATATATACCTTAGAAGGGAAATCATCAATTGACCGTGACATTTGCTAATACACATATATCAAACAGCCAGATATCATGTACCAGCAAGACCAACCCGCATACCGTAAACTGCAGGAAATCGGGCGCGAAATCACCAGCAAGGTGAAGCCTCGTGCCGTAGTGGTCTTCTCTGCCCACTGGCAATCGTCAAGGGACACGATTCATGTGAACAATGCTGAGATGACGGAGTTGATATATGAGTAAGTTCATATTTTGTGTCTCATCGCCAATTCTCTCCTTCAGGTTGCTAGTTTTGTTGCTTCCCCAGGGCAGAACCTGGGGTCTGGAGCAGTAAAACGGGTACGAAGAAGGGAAATATATAAAACGGACTAATTTGGTGCAAATAATAGCTTCTATGGATTCCCAAGACATTACTATAAAGAAAAATATCCGAATGTTGGGAGTAGCGAGATCGCGCAGAAGGTCATTGATGCTATCAAAGGAGCTGGTATGAAGGCGGAAGGTGTGAAGAGAGGATTGGACCATGGGGTTTGGGCAAGTTTTAAATGCGGTTTGTCTTGCCTACATGCCCCTTTTTCTCTCAGGGTTTCAGCTTCGAGCCCGATTATTGCCATGAAATCAACAAGTTTTAAAACATGACTAAATGGACCAATCTAGCCTTCGATCCGGAAGAGAACCCTTTAAACGTCCCAGTGGTCCAAGTCTCACTCTTCAAAACCGAAGATCCAATCCAGCACTACCGACTTGGCCAGGCCGTCGCCAAACTGCGCGAGGAGAACATCCAAATCATCGCTTCAGGGATGGCAGTGCATAACCTACGGGATCTTCAGTTTACGCTTGGCGATCCCACGCCAATGCCCTATACGACGAGTTTTGATGAAGCGCTTAAAGACGCTGTCACCGCGCCGCCAGCGCAGAGAGAGCAGGCGTTGGCTGACCTGCTGAAGCGTGGGGATGCGAGACAGGCTCATCCGATGTTCGATCATCTGTTGCCCATCCATGTGAGCGCTGGAGCTGCAGGGGATGATGTCGGAAAGAGATTGTGGACGCTCAAGGAGGGGAGTATGAGTTGGGCGCAGTTTAGGTTTGGAGAGGTTGCTGCATAATGACAAATGAAGTAGATTATTGGGTCAGCGGTCTTTTCGGGTTCCCGTTTCTTATCTTTTCTGTGACGAATTGGTTGGTTTGCCCCAATTTCAGACAATTCCGGGATTTCTGCAATTCGCAGAACATTCTTTCTCTGGGGGTTCAATACCTCATGCATGGCATTTTGAATATGGAAGAAATCATTCGCTCTATTTTTCATCGAGTATATACACAGAAAATTGGATGGGCAGAGAATCGTATTAAAAATAATGAAATGGGTAGCTAGGAGGCATATCGTGGGCCTGCCTATATCGAGCCCCTCACTAGAGTTGTGACCTTTTCCTCTATCTCCTTATCCGTTAAGCCTAAATTCCGCAAATTTAGTCGATATAGGAGCCCCCGGGAGTCCGAAAGGATGTGCATACCTAGTAAGGGTTCCTGCTTCTCAACGCCCATTTCTGCAATCGCCACATCAGTTTCCATATATTCAATTGTTGCAAAAGAAAGTCTATGGTTTCAGCTCCTCAATCCAAGGGGAATAGAATAGGCATACCGTATCTAGCAAACACTCTTGGCTCGGTGTCCAATGCCTCTCGCACCATGATAGGAATGAATGGATTGTTCTTTTTCATAGTTGGGTATGCTCGTTTCAAGAATGCCCTGAATGCACCCATTACATTCCAAATCCAATCAGCATTTGATTCCATATCGATAGCTTCGAATGTTGCATATTCAAAATAGACAAAAAATAAGTTACAGACCTGGTTGCGTCACTGTGTGCAGAGGTGTTGCAGAAGAGGAATCGCAGCTCTCTCACGCTCTTGCTAAAGGCGTATCGTGCAGACATTGTGGAGGATCTAAGTGGATCACGGTGAGGTAGGAAAAGCAGTCTATATACAGCTCAATTGCCGTTGTTAGAGAGAAGTTCAATCGCGAATGTGACGTTCCAAATTTGCTGTTCAGTAAAAGTTAACTAGTTACAATTCGATGTGATGATCTCCGTCATTAGATAAGCAGCGATTTCACGTGATGGATGACTCATCCAGCTGCGCCTTCAGTGCTTTCGACGCTGGTTGGCTGCACAACACACTGCTTGCTAACGAACTAGTTTAGTATGTAAGTCGTTAGCAACCGACCGCCTGAGGGATCTCTGCTGTATATATCGGAATCTCCAACTTTGCAATTGAACCGACTGTACATTTTAAGAGATCTCTTTCTTCGTGTACTTTTTATTCGGTGGACTTATAGACTCTCTGTCATCTCCCTCACGCTGTATTTCTTCAGATAGATCTCTTTTTCAACTTACCTCTCTTTTTTTTGCCTCCCTTTACCCCCCTTGGTCCTCCCGCAAATACACACTTCCACTCATCATGTCTTCCTCGAGAGTCGGCCTCCGCTTCTTCCAGAACTCCAGAGCTGCTTTCCAGAACATAGCTTCTCCATTCCGTAGACAGGGACTGAGAGCGCGGCGGTTCCAGAGTACCGAAGCCAGTTCTTCCAATGCTCCAGCACAGAGTTTCCTTCAGCGGTCATGGAACAGTCCCGTTGGGCTGAAAACGGTGCATTTTTGGTATGTGACCAAATGTGTAAACAAGGACATATTAGAATTAGAAATTCCGTTTACACATGTCTATTCCATTACGAATGAACCAGCACTGACATGTAATTGTTTTCATTGATATATTTAGGGCTCCCATTATGAAGGTATGCTACATCTGGTTGATAGCCCTTCCCAATCGATGCAATGCATTACATTCGGAATGAATACAAACTTTGTGGGATGCATTATATCACATCTTGGCAGTTGTTGACTCAAGACGCTGATAATTCCCACAGTGGGTTCTTGTTCTAGCTGGTCTTTCTGACCTTGCGCGTCCTGCAGACAAGCTCTCATTAACTCAGAACGCTGCCTTGATGGCCACCGGCGCAATTTGGACTAGATGGTGTCTCATCATTAAACCGAAGAATATCCTGTATGTTATGTCAGCATGGACTTCCGCCGCGCCAATTTGCTCTCTATAAATTATTGACCCTTTAATCTTTGTCTTATTCTGTGTTTGGATACAGTGGCTGATATCATCCCGTTTCTGTCTAGTCTTGCCGCTGTTAACTTCTTCGTTGGATGCGTGGGATTCACGCAAGTTATTCGCATTTTCATGCACAGGCGGACTGTCGATGGCTCAGCCAAAGCAGCCCTCAAGGACATGACTCATGAAGCTACGGACCCGGCTAAGGCCGCTGTGCTGAAAGCTGAAAAGAAGGCAGAGGCTTTGGTAAAGTGACACTAAACCGGGAGAGATGAAGCCTTGATATTTATTTTTCGAAATTGGCACTGGTGAAGGATTGATGGGTCTGTTGACATAAAGTGCCAGAAGCGAACGACCAATGGTTTAGTTGGTGCTCTGTATTAGCTAGAAAGGGTGTTTGGACAGAAATTGGAACAGCGGAGCAATGTGGAATGAGTAGAATGGCTGTGAGCACCCGCGCAAGCGGAGCAGCAAATGTTAGTTGTTCTTGATAGATTATAGCTAACGTAATCCACACTTCGTGCGGGCAAGCACCCTGAGCAGGCAGCCAAATCAAATAATACCCTCAATCTTTTCTAGTTGATCAACTTCAACGTGTGGGAATGTCATTAATACACATTAAAAAGACAAGAAACTCTACAGGGATAGAGGGAAGACCTGAGCTCACAAGAGTTTCTGTTAAAAATAAGAAAAATTTTCTCAATCTCTGAGGCTGTACATCTTTTTAATGTCTCACATTATACACGTGATTATCGATCGACTCGGTGATTGATTTGTAAGAGTGGATTTAAAACACATAAATTAGTTTGAAAAATATCAAGTAGTTCAATGGAATTTTTTTTTTTTTTAAAAAAAAAATCTGAATAAAATGAGAATTATTCTCAGCTGACGTTTATTGAGGGGTATGATTAATCATCTTCTTTTATTAACTGACTGTTCTGTTGGCCGGGTTTGACTGGTGGGAGGGTCAACGAAGGCGATATTTCGTCATCCATTGACTTGTGAAATTCATTCATTTTTATAGTTAAGCTTCTTTATGATGAGTTTGAATTTTTCACCACGAACCGAGACGCTACCTCACGTGACATAGCCTAAGTTAAAGGAAGCACCAATTAAAATAAAGCAAGCTTCAACCCTTCGTGCATTAATATCTCAGCACAGATTCAGCAGCTAGTTGTGAGTGCAAAATCAACTTGCCCCTTGGCTACTTTTAGCTAATTATTGAAAACCAGGGATTAAGTCCAATGGACAGCTGCTAGGTTGTGTAATAATTGTCATACAAGTCTAAATTGTTTTATATTTACTAGTCGTATGAACAAACATGCTGCTGATTTGAAGAAACAAAAACTGCTACTACCTTCTGAACCATGAAGAGGCTGTTCTTGCGCAGTGGATTCTATCCATGGATAAATGTGGCGTTACTTCTTGACCCTTCCACTGTACGAAGCTTGTGTACGACACCTGGACAGGTCTTGCACGTCTATGTTGGTTGTCGGGGGCGAAGGAGACCCATATGAGAGCTAAGCGAGTCAGTTAGGGATTACTAAATAGAGTTTCAAGTCACGTGATAAAGGGTCTCAGTTCGTAGTAAATTATGTTACGATTAAATATTATATCGAGCAATCATTTCAGATACTATAATCACAATAAAAATAAAAGTTAACTTAAATTTTAATAAATACTTCTGTAATATGAAAGATTTAATTGGAAATATATATAGTTTTAATAAGGTTGATTGATAATAAGATATTTTATTACTAATTACTATAACTAAGTAAAGATTTTTAGTCTAAAACTGAGAATAAATTACTATGAGTTAATTAATATATCAGAGAAAGTTCTGTTTTCCTATATTATTTTAAAAAATTTAAGTATAAGAAAATTGATATAATAAAGTTTTTAAATAATTAAATTATAAATAAAATTAAAATATATTTATTATTTATTATAAATAAATGATAATTATTCACTATATATATTAATATATTTATCCCATCTTAATAATTTAGATATATTTTTTTTTACTATTTTAAAAATATTTAATTGAAACAGAAAATATAGTTCAAATTTAATATTATTAAAAATATCATTTTTTAAATATTTTAACTCGGATAAAAATTTTCAAATTTTAAAAACATTTATAATAATTTTAATTAAATCAAGATCATTCAATAATTAAATATCAATTTTAAGAATTTGTTCTCTGAAAAGTTAGTTTCGTATTTTTTAGACATTTAAATCTTATAATCAAATATTTTACTTAATAATCTTAATCAAATTACACAGGGAGATTTAATAAAATCAAGAATTTTATAAACTAATACCTTGAAAGTTCATTTTATAATTTAATAAAAGAATTTAAATTAAATTATTGTAATTTATAAATATAAAAATATTTAGCACTGTTATTATTACTATGAAGTAGTAATATCAGAATATATTTAGTATGTAAATGAGAAAGGGAAGCGCACAAAAAAAAAAAAATTGAATTCAACGTAAAAGAGGGTCTAACAAGAGGAGAAGCTTAGAAGCTTAATTTAATAAGTTGTTGTGGGTTGTAGTAGATCTTTCAGTTGAAATCTTATCAGTTGAACTTAGGGATTTTGGCTTGCTCGGGAAGTGGATTACGTTTAGCTAGAAACCGACTAACTAGTTGTGTTAGTTAGCTAACTAAAACATGATACGGAGCTCAGCTCTAGCTTTGGCCTTCTTACCAGGAAATTGAAACGGAAAGTCGTCGTATGGAGTTTGGATAGCTTGGTTTGTAGGTACTCGGTGTTTGCTTCTTGCACACGTACGTACATAACATGAACACCAAAACTACCTAGGCATCATAATAATATCCAAGGCAAGAGAAACGTGTTTCACGGCCTCTGTCCCCACACTTTCCGCCGCTAACCAAATGCAACCCCCACCAAACTTTCACGAAACTTTCATTTTATTCCATGGCAAGAAGAAAGTCTCCAAAGTTAGAGCATGCGGGGTTTGCGGGGGCTTGGAAGTGGTTCTGGCATAGGTATACCGGAGATATGCCGAATCGCCACTGCTTCTCAGAGCCCGTTATGGATTCGTCCATTCATCCGCAAACTTTGATCTCCTATAAAGAGACCATGGTCATCGCTGCGAATTCTTGTTCTAGCTTAATGAGAAACACGGCTAATAGGCCCACAGTATCAAGAAACCATAGCATACTTTTGCCGGCACCAGCGGACTAACTCGTAAAACATGAAGCTGACATCACCACGAACCTTCCTTCCCGGTACTGGGATGAGAAAGTATCATACGACGGGGCTTCTGAGGACTCTCTCGTCCAGACCTTCCCATTCCATCGTCTCCTCGACTTCTGTATCGATTCCAGGAAATAAATATATGCGGTCTCCTGTCTCTGGCGTTAACTCTTTCAATCATCCAACTTTTACCACTAAGCGGTTCGCCAGCATGAAAGCATTGGTGTATCAAAGCCAAGGCAAGGTGGCCTTGGAAGACCGCCCGCGCCCAACTCTTCAATCCTCAACCGATGCCATCGTCAAACTTAAGCACACCACGATTTGCGGTACGGACCTGCATATCATCAAGGGAGATGTACCAACTGCGATTCCCGGGCGTATCCTAGGCCATGAAGGCGTGGGAACGGTGGAGGAGATTGGAACTAGTGTTACGAGCGTTAAGCCCGGTGACACCGTGCTCATCTCGTGTATCACGGCCTGCGGAGGCTGCTCCTATTGCCGGAGAGAGATGTCCTCGCACTGCACCTCGGGTGGGTGGATTCTAGGCCATACTATCGACGGCACGCAGGCGGAGTACGTGCGCATTCCGCATGCGGCGTCTTCTCTGTACAAGTTACCTAGCACAGTCAGCTTGTCCGATGCAGTGATGTTATCTGATGCCATGCCCACCGGGTTAGAGTGCGGAACATTGAATGGGAAGGTGAAACCGGGAAGTTCGGTTGTGGTTATTGGTGCGGGTGCGGTGGGGATGTCTGTGATGATGACGTCAATGTTGTATTCGCCGGCCCTGCTTGTTGTGGTGGATCTGGATGACACGCGATTGGCCATGGCAAGGAGCTTCGGGGCCCATGAGACGGTCAACGGCAAGAATCAAACGGAGGCTGTGGAGAAATTGATGAAGTTAACTGATGGGCAAGGGTTCGATGCGGTTATTGAAGCTGTGGGGGTTCCAGGGACTTTCCAGTTGTGTCAGGATCTCGTTGCGCCTGGAGGGGTTATTGCGAACGTTGGTGTGCATGGCAAGAAGGTGGATTTGCACTTGGAGAAGTTGTGGGATAGGAATATCTGTAAGTATACAGGAACTAAGCATCCGATTCTGCCCCGCTTGTCAAAGCAGACGATATGGGACCTTCCATGTATCTGGCACATGGTGCTTGGTTGTAAAATGGACAAGTGCTTACCGTATCATAAATGAACAGCTATCACCACACGGCTCGTCGATGCTGTCACCACTCCGATGCTGCTGAAGCTGTTCAAAGCTGGTAAATTGGATCTTTCCAAACTCTCAACGCACCGTAAGTAGCCAGCCCGTCCTGCAATTTCCGCCCAAATTCGGGTCATGTATTGGACCTGAATTTTGTTTGCCCACATATATATATATATATATATATATATATATATACGTGTGTGTGTGTGAATAGTTGAGCTGATAATTTTTCTCGTTTCGCGGACAGAATTTTCATTCGGCGAGTGTGAAAAGGCATATGACGTCTTTGGCGCTGCGGCGCAACACAATGCCATGAAGGTCTTGATAAATATGTAAATGAAGGGAGAAAGGGGAAAGGGGGAAAGGGATGTTGGTACCGTATTTCTTTTCTTTTTCTTCTCTGGTTTATCAGCTGGTGAAGAAAAGCGTTGAGGAATTCAGACATCACCACTTTGCTGAGCTGTCACCCCCAGTTGTGAAGTAGCGTTCGTTGGCTTTTATGTTGGTATCATGTAGTGAATCGATATGACTTGCTCAATTAAATGGACTTCTTGTTTGCACATATTATTATTCCCGCCAAAGGGGAGAGTAGATATCCATTTGTTTCAAGGAGATGATGGTGAGCAGAGGATGACAATAGAAGGGAAGGAAAGAAAGAAAGAGACGTGGAAGATATTGAAGAGGGAGAACGGGGAGGTCAACCTGATCACGTAATCCCTAATTTAAGCAAATTCTTCTAGGACCTTGAGAGACAACTTTTTGGAAACAGCTAGAAAAGAGGGGTCCTGTGATATATATATAATGGCGGGGTATATTTATTTTGACCATGGGATGGATGTGTTACACTCTTGGAAAAGAAGCCTTGTGTCAAGTTCCCGTTGGGCCAGAATTTAATCCATACGAATCTCTCCTGTACATGCTGAAGTCATTTCAAAATGTAACTAGTTAGCTATGGCGAATCCAATTTTTGATGAACACAGGTAACAAAAGAAAACACAATGGAAACAAAATCCAGATAATAAACATGTTGGGAAATATACAAGAGTATGAAAGATTAATTTTTCTTTCCAGTCTTTTTCTTTTCTTAAAAAAGAGAAAGTAAAAGAAAAAGTAGAGAAAAAGAAAAAAATCACTAGACTTGAAGCGTGTGAGATTCAATTTCCCTCCTGACGATCAATGTTGTCCCTTACTCAACACCCATATATCAACGCAGTTGGGATGCGGGTCCCTTGTAGAGCTTTTTGGGGTTAAAAAAAAAAAAGAAAAACACTACATATTCGACTGACACTAGCAGTCCGGTATGCCATTATGTTGAGAGCAAATTTACAGTTTGGCAGCGCTTCCAGGGGCGGATATTTCGTTATAGAGCAATCTGCATCGGAAGTGAAGTGGTTAAAAAATCATCGCACTTTCAATGAACAAAACGCCAAGGTAGGGTGATTCAATGAACAACGGAGGACACTCACGATGTCAAGAAATCAGCATAATCTTCACCAGCAACCTGGCCGGCAAAGTAGCGAGCGGCAAGCTGATATCTGTTGCCCTTGGGCGCCTTGGAGGCAAGCTCGTCGGTCTGCTCCTGCAGAAGCTTCAGGGCATAGGCCTTGTCGACGCGTTTGCCTTCAGCAGTCGTGACGTTGTGCTTAACCCATTGCCACAGCTGGCTGCGGCTTACTTCGGCGGTGGCGGCATCTTCCTGTTATTTTGAGAATGGTTGTTAGGGGTATGGTTTGTTACGGATGGTGAAACAGGAGAATAGTATAATTCTGTTGGGGGACCAAAACAACGAACCATGAGATAGTTGATGGGGATGCATCCGACACCACGCAGCCAACCCTCCATATACGAAAGGCCGATGTTCAGGTTCTTCCTGATGCCGTCTTCGGTGATCTTGCCGGGGACGTTGGTGTTCAGGAGGTCGTTGGCAGTGATGTGCACGTCCTCCCTGCGAACGAAGAGCTGGTTGGGGGTGGGCATGTACTGATCGAAGACATCGGTAGCAATCTTGGCCAGGGCGGGGTGGGCAACCCAGGTTCCGTCGTGACCGGCACGCACCTCCCGGAGCTTGTCAGCACGGACGCTGGCCATGGCGGCCTCGTTGGCCTTGGGGTCATCTTTGATGGGGATTTGAGCGGCCATGCCACCCTGTTGTGAGAGTCAGTATATGTTCCATGCATTCAGTTTTACAGAGAGCAGCAGGTGGTACCATTGCGTGGACACCACGTCGGTGGCAGGTCTTGATGAGGAGTTTGACATAGGCATCCATGAAGGGAACTGTCATGGTGACGTCAGAGCGGTCGGGGAGGACGAAGGAGGGGTTTTGGCGGAATTTCTTGATGAAGGAGAAGATGTAATCCCATCTGCCGCAGTTCAAGCCCGAGCTGTGGTCTCGCAGTTCATAGATGATCTGTTCAGGTTGGGCAGTGTTAGCGCGAGGAATTGTACTTGCAATGCGTTGTAAAACTGCGTTGTCCAAAACCGCGTTTGCATGCTCACCTCATCCATCTCGAAAGCAGCAGAGATAGTCTCAATCAAGACAGTGGCCCGAATAGTTCCTCGGGGCATTCCGATATAATCCTGAGCCAAGTTGAACACATCATTCCACAAACGGGCTTCAAGGTGGGATTCCATCTTGGGGAGATAGAAGTAAGGGCCAGCACCCCGTTTGACCAACTCTTTTGCGTTGTGGAAGAAGTAGAGGCCGAAATCAAACAAGCTGCCGGACATGGGCTCGCCGTCGACGGTCAGATGCTTCTCATCAAGGTGCCAGCCCCGAGCGCGAGCAATTAGGGTGGGGAGTTTCCGGTCGGTACGGAGCTTGTAATCCTTTCCGCCTTGCTTGAAATCAACCTGTCTGCGGATGGCGTCGTAGAGGTTCACCTGGCCATTGACCATGTTATCCCAAGTGGGAGCACTTGAATCTGAAAACTTGCCACGTTAGTTGATTCAGTGAAACCACGACATCTTCACAATGAGGATAGATATAGCATCCACATGCAACAATATCGTATATCTATTCCATAACCACTGCGGTGTATATTAAGGGAAACAGGGAGAAGCCTACCCTCGAAATCAGCCATGTATGTATATACATCACTATTCAGCGCATTAACCACCATTTTCCGGTCCGTGGGGCCTGTGATTTCCACACGGCGGTCAACAAGACCCGGGGCCGGGGGGGCTCCCTTCCATGCATCGTTGTCACGGATGTGCTTGGTCTCTGGGAGGAAATCTAGAAGGCTTCCTCGGTCAAGCTCTGCCTGGCGGTCGCTGCGTCGCTGAAGAAGGGCTTTCCTGGTGGGATTGAACGTTCGGTGCAGCAGGGCGAGGAACGCGGTGGCTTCCTTGGTGAGAATCTTGCGGGTTTGGTCGTTGAGCGGACCGAGGATTGCTACGTCCCTGAGGAGGGTGTCGACATATGCCATTGTGAATTGATGATGATGATGATGATGATGATGATGATGATGATGATGATGATGATTGAACAGCGTGGAAAGGGTTGCTGCGTAAGGTTCTTTCGTATATTTTATCGACGTGATTCCGTCCCTTGAGTCGGGTTCTGTGAAGCTGAAGCTGTTCGTTCCTCGCTTGTTACTTTCCTTCCCCTTGCCGGAGAAAGATCGGAAAGATCATACAACACGTTTATGATCAACAAAAATACATACAGACACCCGCGGGGGGGGGGGGGTTTTTCTTCTCTTTTCTTCTTTTCTTTTATTATTATTTTATTCAGCTGAAGATTGTAGGGTATTAAAAATATTAAAATTAAAAAAATTTCAAAAAGACAAGATGCAGTCAGTCATCCGAAATGGGCCGAGTATCTGGTATTTATTCCAACATTGGCCGCCATCTCCCCCTCTCGGGATAACGTCAGACCTTTTCAAAAGCGTTAGTTGCCGCGGCACATGCAACAATGGCGGAGGCAGTCAATCTCCAGCCAAACCCCCAAGAAGCAGACCAGAGCTGTCCAGAGCAGTTTTCCTACACCGAAAGATACGAATATCTACCCGGTGCCCGCCAACATACACAACTACGCAGTTATAAATCGGAAAAAGCAACAAACTCTCCTCGTGAGCTGTGTCCCAATAAACTCGGTCGAGGGCACGGTTGCATTTTGTGTCCCAGCAAAAAGCCTGTTATCGGCAAAAGAGACTTATAGTGGTTATGGATGCGCGGAAGTTTATCACGGGACTTGGGGAACGCCGAGCTTGTGGCGGATGATGGTGTTGATGATGATGATGATGATGATGGCAACGAATAACTAATTAACTACCCAATGACCAGTTGGCTCTCGGCCGATGCGTATGGGCTGGAATGTTCACAACGCCGATGGATCCCCCACATTCCAGGCCAACGATGTCTCTGTTCCCCTCCCCCCAGCCTTTTTTGTATTTTATTTTGTGTTTCATATAGAGCTGTAGTTACAGCCCGCCCCTCTTGGAACAAACACATTTAAATGGTAGACTGCCAAATTTCACAGATCTATACCCGGGACACGCACGACTGGCCTGTCTGTATTATCTAAAGAAATTGTGGTGTTGGAAGAAGAATCAACGCTGTGCGAGATAACAACTATTTTGCGCAGAGTGAGTACGTATTCCGACATTCTCCGGCTGCTTGGAAAGTCCCAGTCTACAGAGACACCTTGGCGTACAGTTAGTTACTATCTTGGATAACTAGTTCGCGTTTGAAAGACGCTCGTTTTGTTTGTTTGACGGCCTCGAACGAGAGTCGTACGTAGTGCTCCATATGAAATGCGAGCACGAAAGCAGCTGTTCAATGAGAAAAGAAAAAAAAGAGATAATATCCTCTCCTCCTCCGCTGGGTCGGAGTCGAACCGACGACACCTGGATAGCGATCGGATATTACAGTCCAGTGCCATAAACCAACTAGACGACCAGCGGCGGATCCGGTTCACATGGAGTCCGGTTCCGGGTTCTCTATCCAAAAGACCCTGGTGGAGTTGGAACCCACACACAGCATGCATGACTTGACTTCTAACAGCACGATCGATTATCCGTGGATTTTTACCTGCAGTCACCCATTAAATTGAGTTGTGATTGACTGAAGTTTCAATGCTTTCTGCCCTGGAGATGGCGGCTCTACTGGCTTGTATAAGGCTTGGGCTGGTGGTTACTTCTTCAACGACACCCTTTTGACCTGTAATATTGTCTCCGCCTCTCTTTTCTTTCTTTCTTTCTTTCTTTCTTTTAATGTCGTCGTCCGTCGGCTGGTAAGAGATAGTAAGAGATAGTGTACGCAGACATATCAATAAATCAGGCGGTAAAAATCTACACTCCCCAAGCCATCCGCCGCCCAAGTGTCGAGAACTAAGAACAATCCGACTACCCCCATGCCCAAAGACGTAACCAACCCGGTCATCGAGCTCTCCCCTTTCCCCTTCCCGCAAATCTCCTCCAGCCACTTTGGATCAATATTCTCTTCCGACAGATACGGGCTGAAATCGGAATGAGGGTTCACATCCGGCCGCGCCTTTCCCATCCCTAAAAAGCTCCACATGTTCATCTTATTCACGTAGCTGATGGTGTAATCCTCGACGCGCGGCGTACTTATCAGTTCAAGATAGTGCAGCGAGCTGCCAGGATACACAGCGTTAACACGACCCGTTTCGTTGTTTCTGTACCAGCTACGGCAGTCGTCGGTCCAGACAGTGTGCTTGACCCATTCCTGGGCGTGCTCGTTGAAGGCATCTGTGATGTCTTGGCGCGGTGTAAGGCTTTGGATATTCTCATTTTGGATCTTGTTGATGAGCTTGATGGCGTAGTTCCCGACTTCCATGAGAGGACCCATGACGGAACCCTGTGGCAGGGTTGGGGGGGTAGGTTAGTTTGACTCTTTTTCCCAATAATGGGGAAACCCCTCTTGATGGAACTTACATTCTCGACAGGCCACGTCGGGCCGATGAAGGTCATGTAGTTTGGAAATCTAGTTCCTGGTTATAAGATCGCTCTCGGTTAATTCAGGGAGTTCGGAGGGAGTGTTTCTCGTACCCCGGAACAGCAAGCCCAAGATATGCTTCTGGACATTGTGCCCATTTATCCCGGAGGTCAACGCCATTTTGGCCCACGATTGGGAAACGAGGACGGTAAGAGACGTCAAATCCCGTGGCACACACGATGGTGTCAACCTTCCTCTCCACCCCGTCCTCTCCCACGAGCCCATCCTCTGTGATTTTTATTTATTTATTCACGGCTGTGAAATGAACATCAACGTTGGGCTGTTGGATGGCTAGCATGTATGGATCGCCGGGAGTGATGCGACGGCATCCTATACTGAATTTGGGTGTGAGGCCTGCATATTTATTTTTTGGTAATTTGGCCCGTGAATGAGTGTGGTTCACTCTCGCTATTGCAGATATCGGGCTGCCAACACACCTTTCAGGAGCCGCTCATCTTTAATCCATTCCGCCATGCGGGCCTTTAGCGCTTCCTGTGCCTGGGCTTGCGGTTCACTATCTCGGTAAAACATAGACCACATCTCGTTAATTTGGTTCTCAAAGAATTTCGATTCTTTGACCAGCTCTTTCGGGTTTTCGCGGAAGATCTGTCGTTGTTTTTCGGAGTATTCTCCGTTCGTTCCGGTGTGCCCTGCAATCTGGACAAACCAGATTGCCTATTTTATTTTTGTCGTCAGCTATCTGTTGCTATCCAACGCCTGGGAAAGGACCATTTGACATACCGTTCGCACAAAGATATCAAGATGTTTTACATGTGGTTGCATGCCAGGCACTGTTTGGATGCTTGATGCGCCGCTTCCAATGACCGCCACTCTCTCACCCTTCCATTGTTCTTCTTGGTAATCTTTGGGCCACCTTGCCCTATGGATCATCTAACTGGATATTAGCATGGAAAAGCCAACCAGCAGCATACCTCTCCATCAATCATGGAGGATATATTTTGAACATATATATATATATATATATATATATCATGTCAGGGCGAGGAGTTGATCGGCGACTCGCAATGATCGATGTGGCCAAAAAATAACTTACCCGACCCTTGAACCTTTCGAGGCCCTCGATATCAGGCTATTGATAGTTGTTAAGCAGACCGCTGCCATTCAAGAGCACGTTGCATCTCTCCTCCGTCTCTCTCTCCGTGCCGTCAGGGGCGATCTGTCTCAAGGTAACCCTCCATTCGCCTTCCTCTTCCTCCCAATATGAGCCTGTTATTAGAGTGTTGAACGTCATGTACTTCCTCAGATTAAAAGTGTGTCGCAGACACGATCGAGGTATTTCCAAATATCTGCAGATTTTGAGAAGAGGTTGGGCCAATCGGGCTAGAAAAAATAGAATATCAACGAACATAAGAACATGGTCAACTAAAGGAGTTACCAGAAGGACAATGTATGTATGGGTCAAGGGTACAGTACATTTGGCGCAAAGTTGTAGGCATACGCATGACTCGGAACATCGCAGGCGCAATTCGGATAACGATTCTCAAGCCAAGTACCGCCAATGTCATTATTCTTCTCATATATGACATGCTCCACGTTCTGGCAATCTTTCTAGACGAGATAGGCCATGAGAATTCCACTGACGCCGGCACCAATGATCAGGACCTTGACTTTCCGCTGACGGCCGCCGAATATTACATCTTTGTCAATTTCATATCCTTGGGGACTGTTTTCGGCGTGGTTTTCTGCGGCATCCATGTCTGTGGAGTGGAAAGATGGACTGTGCTAGATTTGCATTTCAGGAGGAGTTACAAAGCGGAAAATGTATTTCAGATGAGGCTCTTGCAGAAAGCCGCGGCTACACGAGAGAAAACGGGACTTGGTGAACAGCTCCATAAGTGTAACCAGCTTCTTTTTATATCCCCACAATGATATGGCGTGGCTCTGGGGGAGCTTCCCCTCACTTGAATATGGATTCCCGGAATGACCATCTGGCAATGGAAAGAATCTGGCCCTCGGGTTTGCTAAGATCGATATGACGAGAAAGCTTGTTCTGGGTATTTTAATTGCGCAAAAAAAAAAAAAAAAAAAAAAAAAAAAAAAAAAAAGAAAAAAAAGAAAAAAGAAAAAAGAAATAGAATAGTGCCAGACAGACAATCTCTTGACAACAAGACAAGTTACCAAAGGCAGGGCATGAAACGGTACCTTGTGATTAGTCCAAACATCATTCATCAGTCAACAGTTGACTGAGAACCTTACTGAAAAGGGAACCATTTAATGTGGCGTTTGGCCAACATAGGTTCATACGAGTCGGCTGGTTCGTACCACATGTATTCTCATGCAAATGGGAAGCCCTTTGGCGAGTCATTTTTAAGGTAGATTCCCTCAGCCCCTGATTGGGAACTACGGATGTGAGAACATCTGGCGCTGTAGTTAAACTATGGCAGAGCAAATCCATTACCAGCATCACCAAACGTGACCGAAGCAATTGCCGCCAAAATAAACTAAGAGGGGATGAGGGGTGAGAATCTTCAATCGAAGTTACCCCGCAAAACAAGTCTTGAGACGACTGCCCCAAGAAGGGGAGCCGTCCTGAGAAGCTTAGTTACCGGCTCCATCATTTTTCAATTTTTCTTTTCTTCGGCTCGCAGCGAAGAACTGAGGAGAAAGGAGCCCTTGTATTTTCTCCTTCCCAGACCCTCGTTGGTCGGCTGGCGGAAGGTCAAAACGGCAGCAGTTCTTATGAATGGATCTTGGAGGAATTATCCAATCCGAACGAAGACTTCATTTGGTACAAGATTATGTATGCATTCCCCTTCGATAGAAAGCCATTCGCCGGAGGCATAGAACCAGCAGCCCGGTTTTACTGTCAATAAGCAGGATCGCGGAACTGTCTCCTCTAAGCAGAGCAGTCAGTCAGTCAGTGCTTTGTCGTCAAGCTACAACAAAAAGGTTGGCGATGGAAACGTAAACTACTAATTAACTACTTACTTACTAGTTACACCTGCAGAATCAACGAGCTACGTACGCTAAACCGTTCCGTCTGTCGTGTTCGCCGAGGTCCACACACTCTTGCGCCTCTACCAATCAATAAGAGCCCATTCTTCCCCGCATGTAGATCGTGGGAGTGGATTGCATTCTGTAATTACTTCGGAGTAATACTCCGTTTTTATTAATAATAATGGGCAAGAGAGAGATGCACATAGTCCTGTCGAATGCTTTGAGGTCAAGTGGATTGATTGGCTATCAGCTAGTAAGCACAGTACTTCTACCTGTTTGCTGTCGAAGAAGGCAACTAACACGCAATTGACATCTGCTCTGTTCCGTGACCAGAAAACCTTCAGGGACAATTCTCCAGGCTGGTTTCTTTTAAAACACATTTGCTGACCCCAGATATACACCAGAGCTTGCTGCCTGACTGACTCTGAGGCTTATTATATCAGTACCTTGTTCGGACGCAACTCTTTGTCTAGAAAGGGTTGACAGGATGTTTCGGATGACCCCCTTTTGATATTTTGGACGTTGAAGAAGAGCAGCTCACGGCGGCGGCATTCCTGGTTGGTAGCTGCGGGAACTGTGTGGAAGCCGTCCATTAAAGCACAGCAAACCACTCTCAGTTTGACGAATGCGCTCTGTTAAAGCAATTTTCGCATTCGCTTATCCACAAATGGGGATATTTCTGAAACCGCACCAGGAGCCGGGAGCCGGGAAATAGATTTCCACAGCCAGGCCATGCTGGCCCCTTTGGTAAGTAGTTACAGGATGCTAGAAATTGTAACAAGTACTGAAAAGTTGTCATTGCAATGGCGGACGTGGGGAGGCTTTTCGGTAGTAGTAACAAGTGGAAAGCGTTAATGTCCCCACTTGTATGCCGGTTGGTTCCTCTTGGGAAGAACCTCTGTTGAGATTCTAGACATTTCCCAAGGTTTGAATCCCCCTCTCTTTCTTTACGGAAGTGTAGGGGGGGGGGGTGTGGGGCTAGGGGTTCGCATTCACAATAAATCCCGCGCGAATCGATAAGTTCTGCGGGGTCGCGGCAGGAGTGATATGACTATTCTTTGGTGCACATTATCGCCCCTTCTAGTAACCGGTAGGAGGACATTTTGGTGTTGTGGTGAGAAACGACACGAGAAGAAGGATTGCCAGCAGTCAAGTGAGGCGGCGTAGTAGTAGGTAGTAGTAGGGAGGGACTTTTGTAAGCTGTTGGTTGTTGTTGGTATTGACAGCTGGAACTCACTACTGCGCTTGGTGGCACAAAGCCAGCTAAATAAAGTCGTTGTCGTTTCTCGGGCTGAACATTAGACCAGTGACGCAGTGGTTAGCGTTCCGTTCTTATATGATTCTCAGTAGTGCCCGGGATTCGATTCTGGTGTGGCCTGAACTCATATGAATCTAATCCTCAGTGATGCGGGGGTCGTGGGTTCGAATCCCACTTGGTCTAGTTGAAATAACCACGTTGGTCTCTTTTTTCTCTCACTCACTCACTCACTCACTCACTCACTCACCCACCCACCACCACACACACACACACACACACACACACACACACACAGTCAATCAGGCAAGCTAGCTTACTTAAATAAAGTTCTTTCTTCTCAATCAATATATATATATAATATATATATATTGTTGGTCATTCTCCTTTTTTGTTTGATATTCTATCTATTTCTTTCTTTCTCTGTTGTTGTTTTTATTACTTGATCAATCGACTGACTGACGACGACGATATGAGTAAGCATTTTTTCTATGTCTCTCTCTCTCTCTATTTGACACCTGGCCCGCCGGGTTATGTATATGTATGTATGATAGGTAAATTGTCTGGCAAGCAAGGGTGAACCCGCAACCACCAAACACTAACAAGAGATAGCATACATATTCTTTTCCTCCCTGTCTGCTCTGCTATTTGAGGGCTTTTGTTGTTACATTTATTTACTCATTATTTCCATCCATCTCATAAAAGGAAGAAGGGGCAAGCAAAACTGAAGGGTGACCAGCGCCGGTAGCCACCCAAGAATATAGATAAATGACACCGCCAAACGCCATAATACCGTTTTAGAACTCGCCCATAAGCGGCAACTCCCTTGAACTCCTCCCAACCCAGACCTTAAACCGCCCATTGACAGGCATAACCCAATTCTGATTCACAACACTCCAGTAACTCAGATCTTTGCGCGTCAGCGGCAAGCTCACATTCACAGCTTGGCCTGGCTGGAGCTCTACTTTCTGGAAATTTCGTAGCACGCGGACAGGGAAATCGATAGGCTCTTTTGTCCTGCCAGTGGTCGTGCTGTTGTTGAATTTCGTGTCGCTGGTTGTGCTGGTGGCTACAGTGGTATTAGTGGGCATCTCCGCCAGAGGCTCATCAACGATGTCACTCGGAAATGAGATATAGACCTGTATAACATCCTTTCCGGTGCGGGTTCCTGTGTTGTTAACGGTAACAGTTACGATGACAAAGTTATCGAAGAGAGATGGATTACCACCCTCACCTCCTCCGGCTGGGGAAGGAGTTTGAGCATCATGGTAGCCGCTGGGATATCTATACGGGGTCTTTCTTTTAACGTCGTTTACGGAGTTAATGTATGGGTATATGTATTTCATTAGTTTCCTGAACCCCTTGGGGAATAAAGCAGATTTGGGATTGGGAATCGTGTTATCATAGGACGGTGGGGACTTCTGTTGTGGCCTAGGGGACGGGAGGGATGTCCTGTTTTTCAAAGGCTGGAGAATTAGGTTGGAAATGTTGAAAGTCGTATATGATAGGCCGTACCCGAACTCATATCGAGGAGTGATGTTGTTGATGTCGAAATAGCGGTAATCGATAAAGAGCCCGTGAGAAAAATCCTTTTGAGGAATAGGGTCATCGGACTTATAGAGGACGCCAGCTTGAGGGCCGTAATCATCCAGGCTTTTTCCCATGGTATATGGAAGCCTGCCACTTGCGTCCATATCACCAAATAAAATGTCAACCAGAGCATTTCCACTCTCCTGTCCAGGTAAGTTGGCTAGAAGTACTGCCCTAATCCCCGGATGATTGATCCAAGACTCAACAATCACAGGCCCGACAGAATGGATAACTGCTACTGTGCTGCCATTGCCGCCACCACACTCAGTTGCCACAGTGGAAACAAGGTCATCGGTATTCTTTTGGAGAAAGAGGTCGTTCCTATCGCCACGGATGTCTTCCCATGACCGGAACCCTTCCCCGGAAGCAGCATTCGCGAAAACGAGGCACAAGTCCTTGTCATGCATATTTTCGGATGGAACCTTGGAGTTTGTTAGGTAGCCAGATACCGTTACCGACTGTTTGTTGAATGCATTGCTTAGAGCTTTCCATGGCGTTATCAGATAGGGAAAGTTCACAGCTCCACTACCCCAGCCTGACGCCAGGGTTCCTTGATTGCATCCTCTGTCCTCACAAGCGTTCGGGCCATCACCGGCTCCGGCATCTTCTCCATAAACACCGACACGATACCTTTCGTCTGATAATTGAGGGCCATCCCTCGAGAGTGGAAGGAATCCATTTACATTCTTTAGCAAAATTGTCCCTTCCGCTGCAATTTCACGAGCAAGTGGGCCGTGCGCATCTTTCCCTTCACCTTGCGGATTGATAAATTTATTAACGACCCCTTTGGCATCGTCGTCCGGACTCCCTTCGTGCAGACGACCGATCTCCTCCTTAGTCCAGGACGAGAAGTTTGGCCCTCCATCTCCCTCAGGAGGCGGTTTCGGCCATGAGTCCTGCTTCAACTGGTACCAGGCGGCCACTACCCTCGTTGTCATATCATTCAATCGATCAATTGGCACGGACGTATTCAAAACAGCTTGCGTCAAACGGCTCCCCCATAGCGAGATCCCATCCTTCCAACCTAGTCCATCCCCAGGCATTGAGACATCCAAGCCAGCAAGAGCACTAGCAACCCCACTCCGTTGTGCCAACCAGTCTGACTGGACGAAACCCTGGAATCCGAGCTCGTCCTTGAGAATGCCGTTTAAAAGCAAACTATTCTGACACGAGTAAGAATTATTCACCATCTGATATGCACACATCACACTTGCTGCGCCAGCCCGTACACTTTCTGCAAATGGCCAAACATACACTTCCCGGAGAGAACGATCATCAACATTTGACGACATCGCACTCGGAATTCCCCATTCACCTCCTTGGCGATAATGCTCTTGTTCATTTAGTATAAAATGTTTCGCAGTTGCCATCACGCCGTTATCCTGAATACCACGAATGGTTTGTGCAGCTGCAATACCTTGGAGAACGGGATCGGAACCAAAACCTTCCCAATTCCTCCCGCCTGCAGGTAGGACCCCAATGGGACCCAGAGCTGGGCCAAGAAGAACATTGACTCCCTTGCGACGTGCTTCTCTTCCGAGTGCGAGCCCCCTTTTGTACATTAAATCACGGTTCCATGTCGCACCAATGGTGACACCGGCAGGAAACGCTGAGATATTATCGGCAAAACGAAGGCCCAGGGGTCCATCCTGTAGACAAAGCGATGGGAAGCCCACCGAAGTAGCTGGACCTGAACAACTCAGTATTCGACAATCACCTTGATTTTCATTTTGTGGCCCAATAGGACCTAACTTTGGAGAGAGACGGTCGGGACGAAATTAAATATCCGTCCACCTCGTTACTGGGCGGCAAAAATATGAAAATATTAACCTACCAGTGTTCCCCACACACAGCCCATTGGCCCAGCCAACACCTGTAGTAACATTGACTTTTTCAACGAGGCTCATTTTGCTCACTAATTGCTGGGCCTTTTCGTAGCTGGCAGCCCAACTTTCAACCGTTCCGCCTCGTGGGGTGGGATACCATGGTCTCGACAACTACAAAATAAAGAAGGGGGGGGAAAAAAAGAAAAATCAGCACTAATTAGCATTTGTCCTGAATTGATTTATCCAAAGAAATACAAAAAATAAACATAAATAAAACAGGAAAACACTCACCCCATCTATTGTCTTTACTACCCCTTTATCATCTTTCTTTCTACCCAGTCGTCCCTGTACCCCCAAGACCGATAAGACAACCACCAACACAACTACCACAATTCCCAGAGACACGAACGGCAGCAGCCATTTCCTCCGCCTCGCACCAAACCGCTTCACTGATGTTATCGCGGTAGCAATCGTGTTTTGTTTCGTTTTGCCTGTGGTGTCATCTGCAGTCCAATTTTTAGCGTACGGCGATGATTTAGAATTCATGGGGTCCCAAAACGCGGTGCTGTCATCGATCAACCGTTAAGTCGTCTGAGAAGAGTAAGAGGGAGAAACGAGGTTGTTGATATTGAAGGTTTGCTCCGTTGCGGTGAGGAGGGGGTTGGTTTCAGGTCTTGATCTCGATAGTGGCAATTTGTTTGAAATTGAGGAGGGCGACGAAGAAAAAGGAACAATGCGCTTCGAGGCTCGATCTGTAGTACCATTTGGAGAAAAGAAGCGGGGTTGAAGCTGTTTGCGTGGTCCTGTTGTTTGAAGTGAAGTTGTAGCCTTTTGTTTACGCTGGAGTAGGCGGAACTACATGCAGGTGAGGTGAAATTGGTTCAAGGGCAGGGGCAAGAGTAGAATAAGGCAGCATTGAGCGGTTGGAGAAGTATAAAACAAAAAAAAAAAAAAGAAAAAAAAAGAAAAAAAAAGAAAAAGAAAAGAAAAGAAAAGGTCAACCACCGGAGAAGGGCTACTTGGGGATAATTTCCGGTTTGGATTTTATAGCAGTCAGAGCTCAGTTGTTTGGATGTGTATGTGTTGATTAATAGTTGTTTATGTGGAGGTGAAAGGTTGCAAGAAGTGCCGCAGAGCTGCTGTAATTAGAGGGGGAACCCCGGAAAACTTAATTGGGTTTAAGTACAAGGAAAAGCACGGTAACTATTTATTATGTTCATTGTGGCATCCAGCAGCCTATTCAAGCCACACTCATTCATCATCATTGCGCCATCGTGTTGGTTATTTGACATCTCAAGGCTCTCTCGCCAAGATGCTGCACGCATGATTTTCGGCTTGTGGGCTTGTTGGATACAAATTTGGAGACCTGCTTTCAAAAAGGGCTTGTATGATAAAAGAGAAAATTAAATAAGAGGGAGCAAAAAATATGTTTCTAGCAGGAATCAAGATACTGCCAAGGCAGAATTATTTACATATATCTAGCCACTTCCGATCTATTCATGCACGCAATGCAATGGCTTGATGTTTATTCGGGGTATCTTTGGTAATAAGCAACAACGGCACAAATCACGAGTTCCACCACCAGTGGAATAATTAAAATAGACCAAGAAGAACCCGCAGCTATTGTACAACATTTGATCTTCCGTTCAGGATCTGTTCCGCCTCATCGTGGCGCTGTCCCTGGCCACGATAATGCTTTCGCCCACGGAGAAACCAGTCAGCAAGGATGATGACTACGACAACGAAGTACACTGCTGAAACGTAGTTCATATCTAGAGGGTTTTAACGGATTAGCAGTCTGGACAAATGGTGATTGTTGAATATTCAAATACAAACATTGATGAGAATGGCGGAGAAGAACTTACTGGAAGCCTTGACAGGGAAAATCGGCGGGAACGAGTACATCACCAACGTGAACACAGTCCATAAAAGAACAACGATATTCGCACAGAGCCCAATATGCCCCAGCCAGAAGGGCCCATGTTTGATGTTATTCCGACCGCGGAGGAGTAGCGCGGTGATCGGAATGGCATATGAGATATAGAGGAGGACAATGCATGCGGTCACCATGCTGTTAAAAGCCGTGGTGGATCCGAGATACAGCAATCCCAACGCTGAGACAATGAAACAGCTAAACGCGTGCGCTGCCAGCGGAACGTCCAGCGTGGGGTGGATCTGTGAAAGATACTTGTGGAATGGGAGACCACGGTCTCGAGCAAAGGACCAGCAGAGCCGAGATTGCCACGTATGCGAGGCGATCTGGCATCCGAAACCTGTGCAGAGGACCAGGGATTCCAGGGCGATGGCGCCTGCCTTGCTGCGTAGTGCCTGGTGGAAGAGTTCGAGAATCGGCACCCCCGTCGGCGTGTCGAGGAGCTTCTGGAAGTCGCTAAGGCTGAAGAACATAGACATGCAATAGAACCAGGCGGTGGTAAAGCCAATGAAGACGGTACCGCAGATGGCGATGGGGATGGATCGTTCCGGGTTCGCAACCTCTTCGGCCATGTGGGTGGCGGAGTCGAGGCAGGCGAAGACCCAGTTGGGATTCATGAGGCCGACGATGAAGGCAATGCCGTCGGATTTCCAGCCCGTGTTGTTGATAAAGGTTGCGAATACGAACTTGGCATCCTGGTGCGTTGGTGCCTTAGAAGGGACGGTGATGATGATGACGGTGAAGGAGATGAGGGAGAGGTAGAGGGTCATTGTAGCGACCTTGGGGAGCAGTTTGCCAACGCAATTGAAGAGGAAGCACCAGAGATTGATGACTTGGTAGGCTACAACGATATGCCATGATTCGATCATGCTAAAATGGGTTTGAGGAAGCCTGGGTTAGCTTGTGGCTCATTGAGATAGCGCATGCAGGTCACGCTCTTTTTTTTTTTTTTTTTTTTTTTTTTTTTCCGTTGTTGCTGCTGTTGTTTTTGCGTTCGTTAAAGTGGGGATAGGGCGGATATGGAGCAAATTATCAAATCCAGGGGAAATCTTACAAACCAGGGTGGCCAAGCTGCCACATTCCAACACCAGCAGCGGCCAGGCCCAACGCAACACTGGCAGAGGTGAAAATACTTCCCGCCCATGCAAACCAGCCAGTCAAATACGAGGCAAAATTGGCATACTTGCGCGACGAGAGCTCGTTTGCCCAGAAATACTGCCCTCCCGCATTGGGCATGGAACTCGCCAACTCGGAGAGCGTGATGGCCACACAGCTGGAAACGAATGCAATCCACGGGATGCCGTACATGACCAACAGCGGCCCGCCGGACGGGATACCGGTGACCAAGGAGGCAGACATGCCGAACCATGAGTTAGTCAGGGAGAAGCCAACTCCCAGCAGCGACAGCAGCGAGAACTTGCGCCTCATGTCCTGACTGTAACCCATGGCGGCGAGCTTCATGGCATCTTCGTCAAGAGAGCTCTTGTCTCCGGGATCACTGACCGGAGACGCCACGGTTTCGATTTTTCCAATGTCTTTGGACATGATTGTATGTGATTTACAGAGGCTTCTTTCTGGGCGTCGGAAATCTCGTTTGTAAAGGGGCAATATCTTCTTCTTCACAGCAAATACTGGGGTCGTATAAGTACAGTGATACGTCTTCCTCGAGTGGGATAATACGATAACGCGGGCCTTCATGGGATGCAGATCCCCACTCGGCGATAGGAGGTATTCCTTTTCTTCGCTGAAAGGATGTAGTGTGTACCTTGGGGATATTCAGCGCATTGGGCAAAAGGGTTTTGGGTTGTTGATGTCGCTTTCGGGCGTCACAGCAGTTACTGCAATGCAAATGAAACAAAGTGATATCGGGTCACCACATTTGGATTGTGATTTCTGATTCTGATTTTTCTTTTTCTTTCTTTCTTTCTTTTTTCTTTTTTTCTTTTTCTTTTTCTTTTTTTTTTTGGGGGGTCGAAGAAAGGAAATATCCTCTATTGCTTCTGGAAAGAGTGTATTGTATCACAGGAGGGTTTGCTGGGCCACGCAGGAGGGGAAATATACGCTTTAACTCAGCAGCTATATCGTCGCAAGGATCTCCTGAACCGCAGGGCAATTACACAGATGATAAAATTCGACAAAGTGTTGGGGGGAGTGGGAGAGGGAGGGAAACCTTTTTAAGTTATCGATAGCACCACGGGGCAGAAACCAACAGCCAAACAAACAGATGAACTGATGGATGGACGGGGGTTAGGGTTTTCCACACGGGGCTGGAGGCAATCTCAGTCTCAATCTGGTGGGACATGAGAAAGGGGGGAGAAAGGGGGGGAAGGGGAAAGGGAAGGGGGAGAGAGAGAGAGAGAGAGAGAGTGAGTGACAGAGAGAGACAGAGAGAGACAGAGAGAGACGGAGAGAAACAGAGGGAGACAGAGAGAGAGTGAGCGAGAGAACAAGAGTGGGCACCAGGGCTGTTTTTATGGCCTGCAATTTATTAGTTTTTCCGACGGGCCAGGCAATTCAAAAATTTATTCTTTTTTTATTTTTCTCTCTTCCTTTCTTTCCCCTTTCTGTATTTTTCCTTTTAGGGTTGTCGCAGCGATCTTTTTGCAGCGGCCCTCGGTGAAAACTTTTTTTCCAGGGGTGCTGCCCTTCCTCATACCTACTACGTAGCTTGTAAGGAGTAAAGTTCGTGGACCAAAAAAGCTGGATTTTTTGCTTCGCCGTGCAGGTTGCCCGGATGGCTCCACACTGTCTCTGCAAACACGAACCCCCCTGATCCCTGAACAGCGGACCTGGGCTTAGGATTCACCAGACCCCCCTTCCCCCCCCCCCCCCCCCCGTCCCCGTCCCCGTCCCCGTCCCCGTTTCTGATTGATTCATTGAGCCCGAGAACCTGTTGGGGATGGATGGGGGGCCGTTCTGTTAAAGTTAGCCGTTGCCCCGGCCGCCGCCGCTCCGCCGCCACCGGCACGTGATCGCACAGAAGTGTGTTCCTGTTGCAAAAACACAAATCGAAGATAAAACCAGAACCCGTACGTACGTTGTTGTGACGAGGAAATCCAGCGAATGGCGCCGCAGAGAATCACGGTGTCCGGCGGATTATTCAGTTATTCCGGCCCAATCAGGCTTCCATCCCTAAGCGGGAAATATCTTCTTCGGTTGATAGAACAGGAAGATCCAAGGGTAAGAGAAGCCTGGATGGAATCTGCGTCGGTTATGCTCTTCTTTTCTTCTATCTTTTATTTTTTTGTCCTTTTCCCTTTTCTTTTTTCTCTCTCTTTTTCTTTTTCTCTTTCTCTTTCTCTTTCTCTCTTCTTCTTTTCCCCTTTTCTTCCCTTCGATTGCCGCAATAGACCGTTCCAATGAAATTCCATTAACAACAAATTACCGGTGTTCGTGACAAATCATCGTTGACGTCGAACCACTGAAATCGCCTGGCACAGGTTCATCCGTCTGTTGTGTGGATTTATCCTTGGCCACCGGGTAGTACCTCGATCGGAGCCTTTATCAGTGCGGTGGCATTGGAAGTTCATCAGAAAACCCTATCTTCAACCTCGGCTACGGACAGGCGCAAAATTCTATCTGTGCCCTCGGGCGTGGCGCGATTAAAAGAACAAGCCACTAAGCTAAAATGGACAAGCTAATTACGCCACTGACGCAAGTCGTCTTTGTCTCCAGGATGCAGCAAAGAGCTCTGGAATGTCAGCACTCGTGACTCGTCCCAGAGGGAAAAAGTTAACTCTTGAACGCTTCTTCACCCTGGTCCTGGAATAACACGTTTATCTAGAATGCAGGCAAAAACACCCTGCCTGGGTTGTGGCTTTGTGCGCGACCATGCCTAATATTTGGGCCCTTTTTTAAGTTGAATGAGACCTGTGGGGCACGCAGGTGAACGTGGTTGGAAATTGTCTCATCGTGATTAGAAGAATGTAAGTGCGCTTCCACCCTTTATTGATAATAAACAATAATTTTTGTAAATTAAAATTAGAACTAAAATTATATTATTTTTATATATATTCACTTTTCGTAAATTTAATTTTTATATATATTCACTTTTCTTAAATTTAATTTTTATATATATTCACTTTTCGTAAATTTAATTTTTATATATATTCACTTTTCGTAAATTTAATTTTTATATATATTTACTTTTCGTAAATTTAATTTTTCCCCCCCTTACAATCATGGTTGCCGACGCAGCTCTCCGCCTGCACTGGTGGTCATGTTCATCCGTCGCTCACCTCCCTCACAACGCGCACTTCTTCGGCCTCCTTATTCCACCCCCTTCATCCTTTGCCCTCCTCTTCTTTCTTCTCTGCCCCTGCCGTCTTGCCCCCTCCCTATCCTTGACCTCTCGGCCTCGTATCCCCCATTACCCTGATCCGGTGCGGCTGGTTCCGGCATAGCATCGAACCCGCCTATAGGTTTGTGCATCTGTTGATAGGGAGCTGTTGGTGGGATCTCCGCAAGAGCTGCATGAATCGATTGGGGTATGGGCATAGCTCTTGGGGGTTCAAGGTTGAGCGGATTTCTAGAATAAAGAGTGTGTGTTACGGATAGTCTTTCTCAAGGGAGGTTCCCATCACATGACACAATTCATAAGACGCAGCGTTGCTGTTTATATATATATAGTTACTGAGAGAGTAATATGAGAAAGAACAATTTCAACTCATGCCGTCACTTGCTTGCATACTTGACGAACAATCCACGAGCTTGACTCCACGATCTTGAAAAGCCGGCTTAGACAACCTCGTTTTGCAGTCAAACCGCACGCCTGAAGAATTCGCAACTTGCTAGTTCATATCAATCATTCTACTCATATAAGGCTGAGATACAAACAACTACGTGCTTCTGCGGTCATGCGATGATCGACACCGTATCCTAGCTGTACATGGCCTCGAGAGGCCCTGTGCAATCGAATGCACGGGCGAATTCCTCATCTTGATGCTGCTGCAGCCTGCTCCAGATGGGTTGTAAGACACACAAATCTCCACGGACACTGGCAAGAGCCATGGGTGATCACAACCAGTTTTTTTGACCTGAAGGTGAACGCATGGTTAGAGGTGAGAGATTAGGGACATACTCTGTAAAGAGGGCGCTGCAAGAGCAGTAAAAGTCTTTTCCAAGTCATTGGCCGCCACTTATATCGAAAGTCAAAAGTCAGGGTGCTTCATTTGAGCAACAGATGCAGGCACTTGCTATAGAAGCATGTTGATTACCAGATGAGTTTGTCCCGAGAAGGTTCGACAGCAAAAGTTTCGCCGCATTTCAATCAAAGGCGACAAACATTTGAGTGAATGACAGGCATAATTGATCATATCTGCGAATCCAGCGCAACAAATAAAGGGACGGGTCACGAATAGGGACTGTGTGATTTAAACACTCTTATAGAATGAAAAAACAATATTTGAGAGGCATATGAAGTATACCATGCCCTAGACCTAAGCAAGTAGTAAAATGCATTTGTAAACTAATATCGAAAGGGAGCAGCAAAAACGCCGGATCTGTCCGTCTATTTCCTACGCAAGAGACAAAAATCCATAAGGACAGAAGATATATGTCATTATCATATCGCAACTCCAGCACATTTGGGCAAGAAACAGAAAGGAGGAAACAAGAGAAATAAAAATGGGGGTGGGCCAGGAAAATATATATGTAAGAAATCCATTAGATGTATATATGAATGATATGATATCCCAACCAGAAAGCTTAAAAGAAATCAATAACTTTTTTCTTTATCATTAGTTCGCTCTCTATTATCATCAGCCGCTCACTCTTCATCATCAGTATCGACCGGATGAGGTGTGCCCTTGGGGGAGTTCAGCCTGGAAAATCATGACACAGTTAGAAATAGTCTAGTCACCAAGAGACAGAAAGGCAAAGATAAAAAAACAGAGAAAAACGGGCCAACATACCACTCAATATGCCTCAAACGTCTCCGCACCTCACGATCCTTCATCTGTGCACGAGTCAGCTTCTTCTTTTTCTTGGCCTTGAATTTCAACTCCCCGCCTGCATCCTCAGTCCCGGAGTTAGCAGCAGAAGCCACCGCGCTCGAGACAACGCTACTTGCGACAGTGCTTGGAGCACGAGAACTGTCCTCGAACCGGTCGAGAGAAAGGGATACATGGCCTTTGTGCGTCATCCGCCCGTCCTCCACGTGCCACTGCTCGGGGCATAGGGCACCGACGAACTCCTCGTTGTGGGAAATCATCACTACACCACCCTTGTAGTCGCGTATGGCAACGGCGAGACCGCCCAGCGAGTCACGGTCAAGGAAGTTAGTTGGTTCATCGAGGACGAGCAAGTGCGGATTGTTCCACATGGCGCCGGCGAGGACGACTTTGACTTTCTGACCGCCTGAGAGGCCAGAGATTTGATTATGGTTTGCGATTTCTGGGTCGAGGCCGACGTCTTCAAAGTGTTTGGAGATCACTTTGGGTTCCAGCACGCGGTATCCAAGACCTTCGCGTGAGGCTTCGTGGTCGTCGTATTCTTGAACGAGCTTTTGGAAGCCTTCCTTTAAAAGTGTTTCGCGGGAGATAAATGAGTTGTATTTGGGAATCATCCCTATCCATTTACTAATACCTATGTTAAAACAAACAAATAACAAAAAGAGGTGATGGGATGGTGGAGTGATTAGGGGACACTTACACTTCATATTGGAATGTCTTCTTATATTTCTGTCGACCAATCAAGGCTTCGATCCGACGAGGGCCCCTTCCATCGCCGATGTCAATGGGTTTCTCCATTTGTGCTCGATCTTCCTCAGTCAGAACTCTGGTCTGCTTCATCAACACCTCTCGATCGTCACCATTCTGATATCTCCACTGCAGATACTGGTTGGGAGTTTTCTCCATGTGCATTTCCACGTGTTCCAAGGCATGCTGTTTGATATACCCTATTCGAAGATTGGGGTGCTTTTCAACCTTGCCGGATTGAGGAATGAGCTCTCCGGTCAATAGCTTGATGAAAGTTGATTTACCAGCGCCGTTGCCACCAATGATAGCTGTGCGAGATGAAAGCGTTAGAGAACAGTTCGCATCGACCAAAGAGGGCTTGGAATTGCCGGGATACGTGTAAGTAACGTTGGTCATGCGAAGGATGGCACGGGTCTGCGACTTCACGCCGGTCAAGATACCCGGAGGAGGGAACTTGAACTGAACATTACTTGAGCTAAGGGTGTAGTAGCTGCTCGCTTCCGGCTTGACCTTGACAAACGCAGCAAGGTTACCCTTGTAGCAGACCAGCTTTTTCCCTTCGTAGTGGTAGATATCGGTGCAGACTTCGTCTAAAAATCCAGAATCGTGACTGACGATCAAACTAGTGACTTCTGTGTGCTGCTTCAGATAGTCCTGGAGCCATTTCACATTCGCTACATCCAAGTGATTTGTCGGTTCGTCGAGAAGGAGAACGTCAGCTCCCATAAGCATAGCTCGCGCCAGAGCCAGCTTCGTTTTCCATCCACCGGAAAGGGACCCAACTTTTTGTTCCTGTCGCCCGCCAGGACCAGCAGTGAAGCCAACTTCGTTCAAAACTTCAGAGATCCGTTCTTTGCCCGTTGCAGCTAATTCCGGGTCTTTAGAGACAAATTCCAGGATGCTCAGATCCGCATCTTCACCTTGGTTATGCTCCACGAAACATGTCTTCAAAACATCCTTGGGAGGAAATCCCTCGAGTTTGCCCTCCGCTATACTGCGCATGAGTGTGGATTTTCCCGCTCCGTTACGTCCGCAGAGTCCGTATCGGTGCCCCTTAAGGAGCCTTAGGTTTGTATGGGACAGAAGAAGCATGCCTCCATAGGCGAGGGAGAAATCAGCATTGACAATTTCAACCTCACCTGAGTCCTCCTGAACATTTACTCTGTATTTCCGTTTGTCCTCTTCCACGAAGTGAGCATGAACTGCTGCGGCGATGGCATTCTCTTGTCCCTCCTTCACCAGTTGGCTGAGATATGGCCTAACACAGAGTGGAATGCGGTCAAGAAGTCTCGAATTGACATCGTCGCGAACCATTTCGGAAATATAAGTCTTCGAAAGAGCCCAGAATGGTTCATCTTGTTTATTCACGAGCCCCCCGTGGATATTCACTTGGTTCTCCAGAACCTTCAAGATTTCATCTGTTGATACTTGCGCCACAACACCGTTGGCCAAATTACTACTGTCATCGCCCATAGCCTTGTGAATGACATCCAAAGCCCTCGTTGCGAGCTCTCGAACTTCTGGCAAAGACGCCCTGTCCTTTACACCTTGTACACCTGGCTTTAATTTCGGCAGGAATGTTCTCGCTTCATTAGGGTCATGCACAAGCTTTGTGAGATTCTCCACGACAACAACGGTCTGGCGAAGAACCTCCTGAGGGGTAGTGGGAGTGTTTAGGGATCGTTCCAGAAGAGGGGTAAGGAGAGCAAGCACAGGAGATGTAACAATTGCGACGAATGTGGTCTGAGATAGTGCCAGAATGGCCTTTTGTAACGTTTGTGCATCAGGATTTTCCATGGCTTTAATCAGTAACGGAATTCTAGGAGCAACGTCGTCATTGTAGAGTACGGTAGTCAAGGCAGTCATGGTTTTAACTGCTTGTTTCGAGACCTCGCTTTTCAGATCATGCATACCGGACTCGACAATAGGGATAAGTTCTTTCAAGCATCTGCCCAAGGAATCCCGGAGTAGGTCCTTCTGCAAACTTTCCTCCTTCGTATCCGAACCCGCTTGAGTCTTCTCAGCTACCTTCTCCAGCAGACGATAGGCTTCTACGGCGCCTTGCCATTTCCCACTAGATTTCCTGAGATACGCCGAGAGTGCTGGGACAAGGGCAGTGACTAACGACTCGACCTTCAGGCAAGAAAATAGCGCATCCACTGCATACTTGGCGGACTCCCGCACCACAGCACCCTTATCAGCCAAGGCATCCAAGGCAAGAGAAAGCAGTCCTCCGTCCTCGATCAAGAATACAACTTCACTGAGTGGCTGTTCTGGGGGGAATCTTTCGAAGAGGGCGCCCAGAATCAACATTGCACTTTCTCGCTTTGCTCCGCTTTTCTTATCCCCAGCCCCTTTCTTGATATCCTTCAACAGATTATATCCGTGTAGTCCGCGAAACCCGACAGACTGGATTAGGAGGTTGGTCAGGGCGTATGAAGCGTCCAGGGACTCTTGTGACCTTTCCGAGTTGAATATGGTGTTTATAAGCGATGCAACTTCTTCCTCTGTCGGGGGAACTGACGACGGCGTCTTTGGAATCATGGCGGGTGGGGACGACATCTTGGGCGATTCTGATGGCGAAATATGGTGTGGCATAATTTAAGAATGAAGGTAAAGTGTCAAAGACAATACCGAACAGAAAGAAGCTGCAAATAGACAGAGTGGAGATTTTGGTGTGATCAATAAACTAAGACGAGACTTGAGAGAAACACACAAGAGAAGATCCCAGATGTCTATTTTGTAGGGACCTTCAACATCAGGAGTCTATAGAAGGCACTATGAACAGAGAAAATGAAGAAAAAGGGCATGAAGAAATAAAAGGGAAAAAAAAAAAAAAAAAAAAAAAAAAAAAAAAAAAAAAAACAAGTGAAGCCTGAGCAAGGCTCCGTGTGGTGTAGTTAAGCCTGGCTAAAGATAGGAAAAGCCAGAGCTGAGATGGATATATTTTTTTTGAAGTCACAAAATTTGGCTTAGTCAGCCGCGACTCTCGGAGGATATTGATTAGTTGGTTAGTAGTATTGGTGTGTATGACTGGCGAAATGCCTTATCCTACCTAAGTTGGGAGAGAAATTGAATGAATGGCCTGTTCTCTACAAGGAGGGGAAGATTTAAAGATCGGTGCAATGAACAAGTTGTGGCAAGTCATATTTATGTAGTTAATATCTAATTAACCTGTTGTTTCTATAGTATTATTTGTATATATACATCACATCATTTTCAGGCACCCATCCAACAGATAGCTCTTATAGATAGTTATCTACACGGGGGGCCCGCTCTCTATGCAAAATGCAGAGGATCCAACCCGCCAGACATGACCCTACACCACAAACTATACTCTCAAGAGCAACCCGTATGTGAACTGTTGCCAACCGTAGCCTCTCTTTCGACGGTCATGTCAATATTTTTGTCGGAACGAAAATAAAAAAAGAAAAAAAAAAAGGAAGGTACAATGAGGTTCCAAGGCAAATAATGCATTGGGTTTATTGGGTTTAGGCGGATTAGAAAGCTGTTAAAAGCCAGATCGTTAGTGGATGACTCCAGAAGTTGCTCAGACAGTTAGTCCTTTTCAATTATGGAGGGATCAAATAATCATACAAGATTCAGTATTTCCTTCACCCATACTCTTGTTAGAAGAACTGCCGCTGAGAATCGAGCCGACAATGCCGTCCATATACGAGGCTCCACTCCACTTTTGATGCGTAAGGACATCAACGCCGATTTCCTTCTCCCGTCTCTGGATAAGGTTGACGTAAGAAAGCATGCCATCGTCTTTGAATCCACGGGAGAGCTCGGTTGTCATAGTGGCGTTGGAGTGGAGGCCGGCAAGCGAGATAAGTTGGAGAACGAACCTATAGGGAACGGAGTGTTAATCTTCTCCTGGGCTCTATTTTATTTCTTTTTCTTTCTTTCTTTCTTTATTTATTTCATTTCGTTCGGACAGAAAAACGATAAAACTCACCCGTGCTTAGCGATATCCCAGATAAACGATTTGAGGCTGGCTTCGGAGAAGCCGTGACCCATCCAGTTGAATGAGGGACTGAGGTTATAAACCAGCTTCTTACCCGGGTATTTCGCTCGGATATGTCCTGCAAACGTTGCGGCCGTCTCCACACTTGGGTCGCCGGTTTCAACCCAGAGTAAATCGGCGTAGGGTGCAAAATTGATCGCGCGCTTGGTTGCCGCGGCATTGCCGGCCCGGTAATGGTAGAAACCCTCACGGGTGCGGGGGATGTCCCAGGACCAGAACACGGGGGATTTGGTGTATTTGGCTGCAAGCGATCGTCGTTCATTTAGTGACAAGTCCCGATTTTCGCTGACTTGCTTCTTGTAAGCGTTGATGGATGACTGGGTGGCTCCTTCGGATTTAAGATGTTGCTCAACCGCTGAAACGATGTTAGATTTGCAACATGAACGATGGAGAGAAAATTGTATATATGTAGATATATTTGTCTTACCTTCATCGAAAGTAACAAGCTTGTGATTCTTTACCCACTGAGATTCAAATTTGTCGATCTCAGGCCCCGAAGCTCCCTCAGACTCCAATTTCTGCAGTGTCTCTGCAAGCGGATCGGAGTTTTCAGTAACACCCAGGATGAACTCGTGGTCCCGGACATCGATAGAGCTGCTTAGAAGCTTTCCACTTTCGGAGTCCGTTCTCGCAATGAGAAGTGTTTCAGTTCCCATAAGATCCCACTGGAATCTAGCTGCCACAAGCCTGTTGATGTGTTCCCCAATTGGAACGAGTACTTTGCCGGCAAGATGACCACATTTCTTCCCCCCATGCAGCTGGTCCTCGAAGTGGACGGCAGCAGCTCCATTTTCAGCAAAGAGTTTTGCTAGTTTCAGGACTGCTGTCAGGCCTCCGTGGCTATGTTAATGTTAGAATATTAACTAACTTCCTCTGACTGGTCCGAAACATACCCCGTATCACCATCTGCCACTATTGGTCGCATGAAATCAGTGTAGGGTGTATTTTTGCGTTCCTCTGGAGACAGTTTCCTTCTCGAATCCCATTGTTTGCGGTCGTGCATTTGCTGGGCTTTAAAAAGTCTCTGGACCTGGTTTGGTACCGTGTTGTAGGGATAGTCACCAAAGTCAGGGGATACTTCGTTAGTCGTCGTCAGGAGCGATGAACAGGCCCATCCAGAAATATAAAGAACTTCTTGATTGGGAGCCTGTTGTGTCATTTGGACGGGATCAATTGCACCAACTGTAGGTCTGTTAATGCTGCTACAACGCCTTACAAGAACTTGGAAGTGTTACGCACGGGTATGTACTGGTTTCCCGGTCTTTGCCCGCTCATTCAACAAGTTAAATAGTTTCCTGGCCATAATAGAGCTTGGATACGTCTGCTGCAATGATCCCCGCTTGCTAACAACAGCTTCTGCAGAATATGGTCGCCTGATACCTTCGTAGCGGGGGGTGTTCCACCATTCTGTCACTGCTTTTACCTGTTCATTGAAGAGTGCATCTTCAGCAGGCCCGGTCTTCTCAGCAGACGAGAGGAGCTGGAATGAATCGGAGGCATGAGCTGTAGACACTGGTGGGGTGACTGGAGGGAGTGGTGACCCCATTCGTGAACAGCTGCAGGCGAAAGTTCTGACAGCGTGGTTGGGGAGAATGGAAGGGCGGAAGAGCGGGAGAAGCTGTCGAGGCAACCGGCGAGCAGGGTTGCGAATCATTGTTGGTGTGTAATACTGCCTTGTCCTGTTCTACCAGATTTCAGTAGTGTGGGGAGTCGAGGAGTGGAGAGCTCGTGAGATAGATCCTATATTTTGCGAGAGTCAACAAGAGTCATGACGTCTTTTTGCTGATGATTGAATGCAGGCAGAATTGAGTCTTGAAAAGAGTCCAATCCTCATAACACATCAAATGAGATTAGATAACGATCCGCTTGGATCTACACACAGAGCAAACCCTTCTGGAGGAAGAATGGTAATAGTTTGGTTAAAAATCAGAGGTTGGATAGTAACGTACCGAACCTACGGCCGCTGAATAAGGCGGAATAAATATCCGGCAAACAGCAAAAGAGAGGGGCAACGCAATAATTCAATTTGAAGGTGCCAAAATGCGGATTCTCTCATATCACACACCCCACTATTGTTGTATAATCTGCCGCAGCACGGAGGATCCAGTAGGGTACTAACTGAATGTTGAAGCCATAGATTGTTGTTGATATCAATAGCGTTGGAGGGCTAACTTACCCGTTCGGCGCAAATTCCCTCGGCAAAACTAATCCGACCGCCGCAAACGCCCTTTCGTCCGACCAAGACCAAACAGCCGCAACATGTATTTTTTTTTTTTTTTCCCTTTCTTTCTAGACTAGGCGGAAAAACATCTTTGCATCCATGGTGTGCTAGTAAACAAATTATTTTCAACTAAGAACTCTCCGACATCTCTTCTCTTCCTCCCAGCTCCCATCTCCGTCTCACCTGCACTTCACGCCGTATACCCCCCCATTGATCTATCACTTGGAGTCTACTAGCAACAATGGCATTGGCAAGCAGAGCTACAAGACAGGCGCTGAAGGCATCTCAGGTATGTTGGACCGTGTATTGGAAGTGCAAATTGTAGTATTTCTATCCATTCGTTTTACTAACTTTATACCTGTACCAGTCTGCCGCTTGGTCTTTCGCCTCTTCACGGTTCTACTCGACTGCGGAATCTGACCTGAAGACAGTTTTCGAGAAGGCCATACCAGCCAAGAAAGAGCTCTTCCAAGAGGTCAAGAAGCGTGGTGAAGACGTCATTGGTGAAGTGACTGTTGCCAGCACCATTGGAGGAATGAGAGGCCTCAAGTCTATGGTCTGGGAGGGCTCTGTCCTGGATGCCAACGAGGGTATCCGTTTCCACGGCAAGACCATCAAGGATTGCCAGAAAGAGCTTCCAAAGGGCACCTCTGGAACAGAAATGCTCCCCGAAGCCATGTTCTGGTTCTTGCTCACCGGCCAAGTTCCCACCACCCCACAGGTCCGGGCTCTCTCCTCGGAATTGGCCCAGAAATCCCACCTCCCCAAACACATCCTGGACCTTTTCAAGTCGTTCCCCAAGGATATGCATCCAATGACCCAATTGTCCGTAGCCGTTGCTGCCTTGAACACAGAATCCAAGTTCGCTAAGGCCTATGCAGATGGCCTCAGCAAGGCCAGCTATTGGGAGCCTACTTTTGACGACAGCATCTCCCTCCTCGCCAAGATCCCCCGCATCGCAGCGTTGGTATTCCGCCCCGACGAGATCGAGAAAGTAGGCACCCAGGAACTCGACCCAACTCAGGATTGGGCATACAACTTTGCAGAACTCCTCGGAAAGGGTAGCAAGGCCAACGAGAGCTTTCACGACCTTCTCAGACTCTATCTCGCCCTCCATGGTGATCACGAGGGAGGAAACGTGTCCGCCCATGCCACTCACCTTGTCGGAAGTGCTTTGAGCGACCCCTACCTCAGCTACAGCGCTGGTCTCCTCGGCCTTGCTGGCCCTCTCCATGGCCTTGCTGCCCAGGAAGTGCTCCGCTGGATTTTGAAGATGCAGTCCACGATCGGAAACAAGTTCACCGACGCCGACGTCAAGAACTACCTCTGGTCCACCCTCAAGTCCGGCCAGGTCGTCCCTGGCTATGGACATGGTGTCCTACGCAAGCCTGATCCTCGCTTCGAGGCTCTGATGGACTTCGCTAGCCGCAGACCTGAAATCCAAGCCAACCCAGTTTTCCAGCTGGTCAAGAAGAACTCCGAAATCGCCCCTGGCGTGCTTGCTGAACACGGAAAGGTAAATAGTCCATCCTACAACTCAATGATATATCCAGACACATCAAAACTAACTCCAAACTCTCCACAAAAAGACCAAGAATCCCCATCCCAACGTGGACGCTGCATCGGGAGTTCTCTTCTACCACTATGGTTTCAGGGAACCTCTTTACTACACCGTTACCTTCGGAGTCAGCCGTGCCATTGGTCCACTCGCCCAGCTCATCTGGAGCCGTGCTCTGGGTCTCCCTATCGAGCGCCCCAAGAGCGTCAACCTCCAGGGCCTCCTTGATCTTTCCAGGAAATAGATGTGTACCAGTATACGTGAAAGGGGAGAGCGGTGAAATTTTGTTGTAAGGCATCATGACTATGATCCGTTTGGGGGGTTGGGGGGGGGGGGAGAGGAAGAGATTTTTTCTCTCTCCTTTTATATATAAAAGAAAGTCGGAGAAGATCGTAGAAATAGCCGAGATTGACATATATTCTACTTGTATGTATGTGTATTGTATTATATGTTTATTTAAGTAGAAAACCCCATATGTTCGAGAATTTCATATCATTTGTTTTCGGTCTCTCATATATTTGTTTCTTTTATGGCAGGGATTTGACCTTCGGTCACCAGTGATGAGGATAATGCAACAAGTAGTGAAACACTTCAAGTTGGATAAAGAATGTCTATTTCATTTGCCATTTATCTCCTACTGTCAACCATCTATTCTACCTTAACCAGAAGAAGAATTGAGTTCATATCCCAGCGTATGTACAGTACAACATACAAAGAAACGATTTCGTCGTTCTACCTTTGACCTTTCCTGGAGTAGCTGCTTGTTCTTGGAGACACACGAAACCAATCATGTCTAGGTTTTACATCATCTTGACAATAACAATTGATGTCATAATCACTTTCTAAGTACGAAAGGTCTGTAACATACAACAATATAAATGATAGTGGGGATAAACTGCAGTATACGATCGGGTTTGCTCACCCAAACCAACCACCCTCGAAGATACGCGAGCGCTGTGCAGCTCCTGGCTCAAAATCGAACCGGAACAAAACATGACGTCCTCTACTAGTATAAATGGAGATCAAGTCATGCCTTTCCCCGTTCATCCCCACATCCAATCATTAAACAGTCGGCATCCTCCCAACAGCCATATCATAGTGCGGTATATGGCACTCCAGAATGTTGTGAGCAAATCTTTGTTCACGCCACCGAACCGTACCGTTATCCCGTTTGATTCCTTCCCCCACGCATCCTCGGTGTTGTGTTTAACAAGGCCAAAGTCTCACACGGGTCCTGGGATCTCAATTTCAGCATTGCGCACGCCTGCTCTGCACTGAGAAAGCTAACCCTAACCATGGCGCTAAGCTTATTTGTTTCCGAGGGTGGAAATTTCACAAAAGTACGTGCCTGTATATAAAATAAGTTGATTTCCCGAGTCACAAATAGCTCCTTTGGCTGTCACTGCTCTGGGGTTGACAAATATCCCCGTGTCATGAATTGACAACCAGGCAAAATCTACACAAAAGTGAGAAACGTAGGAGCCGCGCCCAAAGCTCGGAATGAAGGTACCATTTCCCGTAATTCTCTCATCCTCTTCGACTTTGTTTGATGCACTCTGTCGATTATCGTTGAGGTCTGTCAAATCGAGAAGCATCACATTGGCTTTTGGACTCCTCACTTGTCGCAGAGGCAGCCCGGGAAAAGGTGAAATGATAGAGCGTCGTATGCGCAGTCAGTCACCGTCATTTCCGCATGAATTCCATTGATGAGAGACAAGGCAAAATATCCTGGGCTGGCTTTCACCGAGTCAGGGATATACGGCATCGCCCGCCCGGCTTTTGAAAATTTGCAACTGTTCAAAACACCATCGGGGCAATATTGTGGGAACAGAGGAAAGTTCCTTAGGGAGGGATTGCCACCAGTGCCTGAATCGTGCATGTGAGAGAAGCCCGTGACATTGCTGCCATGGTTGAAGAATCCCGCTTGTTCTGGCCATCGACATCAGCAACGGCTTTCACCATGCCATAGGGTAGGGTCGCCACCACGAAGACATTTCCTCCACTGCGCGAGCCAATGAGTTGATCGATGTATCCAAGTACGTTGATTACTTGGTGCTTGAGAGGGTGTTGTGCATACAGTGGGGCCAAAAAAAAAAAAAAAAAAAAAAAAAAAAAACTAATAGGCAAGCGATGCAGATATAGAGATAAAGCATAGCTTCAACTATAAAGGGGCTTGGATAGATACCCAAGCCACGTTCAAATCTAGCCAGAACCTTAAGCAACAAAGAATAAATGAAAAACAGCGCTAATATTAGACATATACAAGCCAGACCTGCAAGATATATTTGCTTGAAGAAAAGAGTGCACCAAATGCACCGACAATTTTACCACACTGAGGTAATCGCAAGCCGGGCCAATGCTCCATGGGTCACACCGTTTTTAGCAGATCTTGTATGTGGCATCGGATTGTACGAACCGGATTGGCCTATAGCCACACTAAGTGACCATAATTTTCGTACGTACATATCCACGTACTGTGATTCGTGAAGCTCGTATATCGATGAATTTGAGCATCGGATTGTGCAAATCGGATTGGCCCATAGCCACACGCAAATGAGGTGAACCACGCAGGAATCCTTGATTAAGATAAGATTTAAGCAAGCGAGAGAACTTGGCTCTTTTTGTTTCAGTTCTCTCGTTTATATTTATTCATGCTGGATATGATGGATGAAGGGTACTCTGGACATTATTAGACTGAGGTGAAGTCCGTGGTTGGTAAAATGGAAAATGTTGGGCGATTAACGTTAGTCATCCAATGTCGGAAATGGCTTCACTCCCAGATTTCGACCTGAAAAATTCATCTCCATCCACGCAACTGACCATCATTTGTTATATTATCACATTGATCTGAATTTAGTACCAGTTGTTTATTCGACCTTGCACTTTAGCCCCTGTTAGATGTCGTGCTGTCGCCTTACGGTGGAGTCCGCCATGCAACATCTTCAATGGCAGAGTCTTCGTGAGCAGCAACCCCTTTAGGAAGCTTGCTTGCGAAGATATGAAAACCAACGTAAAAAGTGGGTTAAGGTACAGAAAACCTGACACCATACGAACCCTTTGAGGAAGGAAGAGAAAATGTGATACAGAACGATATTAGAAATCATATCTTGGACAGACTGCTGCCATCCTGTGTCATCCACGTTAGGCTGCTCGAGTGTCGAAGGCACTCATATTAATCATGGGTAGCTGGAACGACCCATGTACCGTACAATTTTTGGATGTGAAATTCTTTTCGGAAACTGGGCTCTCTGACGGCCAAAAGGCTTATCCACTATGATATAACATTGGTGGAAACATGGATGGAAAGGATAGGGACATGGGAGTCAGCAATATGCCGATTAGGTATAATCTTTGTTACAAGACGTCTGCTCCACCGGCCCACCGGAATATATAAACATGAGGGCGCCTTGCTCCTCTAAGCCCTTGGCGGATCATGAAGAATTACTCATCACAGTTCATACACACGAAACCATGACCATGGCTACCACATCTAGCATTATTGATAACTCTTCTTCCTTAATCAAACTTATTGATACAATCGATACTCTCCCTACAAGCCCACCGTCACTGTACATCGATCTCGAAGGCATCAGCCTCTCTCGCGAAGGCCGCATTTCTATCCTGCAGCTGTTCAACCATCCAAAAAACCATTTGTACCTTGTTGATATCCATGTTCTTGGCCACGAAGCTTTCACAACAGCCGCAGCAAATGGCAAGTCGCTTAGAACTATCTTAGAATCCCCAGATGTGCCCAAGGTCTTCTTTGATGTCCGAAACGACTCGAATGCGTTCTTTTTCCATTTTGATATTCGCCTACAAGGTGTTGAGGACATTCAGCTTATGGAAAATGCATCCAGGCCAGGCTTTTTGTCAAGAAAGAGATTTGTTTCGGGCCTAGCAAGATGTGTAGAGCACGATGCACCAATTTCCCTCTCTGAGAAAAGGCTCTGGAAGGAACATAAGGAAAGAAGGGTACGACTGTTTAATCCCGATTGCGGTGGATCTTATGAAACATTAAACGCTCGACCATTGCCACAAGCTATTTTGGACTATGGTGTCTGTGATCTGACCTTTTTGCCTCTCTTGCGAACGGTGTACTGGAGCAAACTTTCACCTGAGTGGAAGGCTTTGGTGGATGTTGCGACGAAAGAGCGCCTGCGAGTGTCCCAGACCTTGACATACCAACGGCAGACCAGGGATAAAGTCCTGAGCCCATGGCAGGTTCCGATCAATGAGAACGGCCGCAACAGTGTCTTGGGAGGAATCGATTTATTTGGTGCCTGATAAGGCGAAGTCTGCGATTGATAGGCCATGGTTTCGGATGGAGAGCAAGAAGCATTCTTGTTATACTGCTGAACTTCTGAACCTGGTTCATTTTATTAGATGCAATCTGGTAAAGCGTATGTGATTACGTTTCGGGTTTGCATTTCCCCCTATTGCCGCGATGAACTACCCCTTTAGATGCGGTAAGTTCTTGAATTAGCCATTTCGAAAAAGCCTTTTGTAAGATGGGATGGAATTGCAATTGGAAAGCAACCTTTGGAACTCTGTACATATTGCAATCACTCAAGGGTTAAGGGACGCGCCTGTCACTTCGCCTCGAAAACTTGCGAATTTTGTGGAGGTGTTTTAATACATTTTCTCTGCCCCACCAAATTATCATTCTCGGAAAGCAAATGGCAACCCGGTTTTGGGCGACCACTGAGAGCAAGTCCGGTTTTTTTTTTTTTTTTTTTTTTTTTTTTTTTTTTTTTCTTTTCTTTTTTTTTTCTTTTCTTTTCTTTTTCTTTTTCTTTTTCTTTTCTTTTCTTTTTTTTTTTTTTTACCTCCGATAGTCAGAGTTGTCGGATAAATGTGCGAAGTCAACCCACTTGAGCTTATCATGGTATCCTGGATATCTAGAGTCGATATGGTGTGTTACCAGGTCCCCAAGCTACGTTTGTCTATCTCTGGCTATTGTTTGGTTCCAGGTACCATTCTCTAGAATGTTGAGAGTCTGATAGCCTCTACTGCTGCATTGATATCAATGAAGAGAGCAAACCTTGAGCTTGAGGGGAGTTTGTCGCTGGCATCAGCGTCATCACACGAATTACCTCGCTCCAATGCGCCTTGAGGCATTTGAACCTTAGGGTTACCCGAAAGAATTTGTTTTCTGTTCCTTAATTTCTATCAAGGTTTTCCGTGTGGTCTTTATTTCGACGCTGGTTGGTGGTCGCCGGCTGAAAATTTGAACCATCGGAAACCGAGCGAATGGTTTCCGATTTGATTTCAGATATCTAGAGATTTCCATGGCAAATCCCCTAATTATCAAGTTCTTTGATATTGGCTACTAGTTAGAGCCCCCAAACAGCCCTCTATCCCATGTTATTATGTTTTCGGGCTTCGTATACGTCTCTTTCCTGCACGACACTCCTTCCTGGACATGTACTCAAGTGTTTAAAGTTCAGAGGCTAGAGGGAGGACTTGGGGTTTGAATTTTCGAAACCAACATCACTAGAGACTGATATAGGCGGTGTACAATCCAGCAGCAGGTCCGGGATTATTGAAAACCCGGCTACTTTAAAGTTGAGAGTCTGAGATATATATATAAAACCTATCTAGACAACGCCTGTCTCGTGGTCCTGATGTTGGTTTCTGGGGCGTATTTAAAATAGGAAAATAAACTTGTAAGATATCTAAATGTCTATCACCATTCAGCAAGGAACAAGCCTAAATGCAGCCTTTGTCAGAACATACATGAAAATGGGATGGATGTTCAGGGCGAACAAGATGAAAAGTAATTGAAGGGGGAAAAACCCCATCGAATTCATGAAAAAAAATATAAACTTGTTAACAGCGAAAGACAGACTGCACAATTGCTCTTGTTCCGTAGCACTTTATAGCTTTACCTGCCCGCTCACCAAGATGTCCCATTCCCTCCGCCCGAATTCCACATACAGATCTCTCTGAGGGAGTAACCACAAGAATTGATCATTCTTCCCATTCTCAGCCTTCGTTCCGACCTTATCGGGATCAATTCCTTCATCTCTCAGCGGCACTTTATTTTGCTTATGGTTGTGAATATGGTCCGAAGCTTGGACTAGTCGTATAAACACCGGAACAGCATACTTGGGTAGTCTCTCGCGGGCATGACGAGCAAAGCCAGCAAAATCAAACCTGGCCCGGTGGTTGGGATCAATGAGCAGAGCCGCACAGCCAGCACGACCTTCATAGGAGGGTACGCTTACGCCGTATACGTTAGCTTCGAGGACACCGGGATATTCACCTAGAACGACGGCTACTTCTGCCGTGGACACGTTCTCGGATTTCCAGCGGAATGTGTCTCCAAGTCGGTCAAGGAAATGCCAATGGCCGTCATCTGTGCGGCGGAGAGCGTCCCCGGTTCGGTAATACAAATCGCCCTTTTTGAAAACGTTGCGGACGAACTTTTTCGCGGTGGCGTTGGGATTCTTCCAGTAGCCCTGAAAGGCAAGTTCATTAGGTATTGTTACGAGAATTTCGCCTCCCTCGCTATACGAATTACGGACTGCGAAGCCCGTCTTTGGGTCACGATATATGTCTCCAGTTTCAGGGTCGAGGGCGACAGGGATATAGACGTTATGCATGAGGTAGCGGAAGATGGCGCCATGGTGTCCGACGCAGCTGGATTGGTATGGACCACTGTCAAAGTTGATGAGGGCGAATAGCCCTTCCGTGCTACTGAAAAACTCTGCAACATTTGGGATAGCAAATCGCTCCCGGAATTTCTCCCAAACATCCGGTCTTAAGCCGTTTCCGTACATGCAGCGGACTTTATGACCACGATCCAGAGGTGAAGGTGGGGCAGCGAGCAGATATCTAGCTGCCTCCCCAACATAAACAAAGTATGTGGATTCGGAATCGTGAACATCTTTCCAGAAATTGCTCACACTGAACTTCTTGGCTGTTGCAAGGCCGACGCCCCTGAGTATGCAGGCCATAACGCAAACTGATGCTGTTCCGTGATACATTGGCATGCAAATATACCACCTGTCACCGTCGTACCCCCCTTTATCACGCAGATGCTTTTGAAATACTACGGTGTGCATCCGTTCCATGGTAAATGCGCACCCTTTTGGCAGTCCTGTTGTGCCTGAAGTATAGAGAAGCATAGCCGGGAACCCGCCATCCATGTTACGAGCAAGATTTTTGTCTGGTATAATTGTCGGGAGCGAAGAAATGTGAGCTTTGAGAGAATCATCCAAGAAAATGGGCTGCATCTTAGCTTCGTTCTCAATCTCGTCCATCTGATCGTTAATTCGGGCCGTGCATTCCGGGTCGGTATCCACGAGGATGAACTCCGCTCCACTGAGTTTGAGGCAGTGAATAAGTCCTTTCCCTGCGAGGTTGTAGTTGATCATTGCGGGGCCGCAGCCGATTGACCAGAGTCCAAGCCATGCAATAATAAATTCTGGCGAATTCTGTAGGTAGAATGCTACCAGCTGGCCACGTTTCACACCAATGGAAACAAAATAATTTCCATACTGGCAGGCTATATCATGGGCTTGCTGGAAGGTATAAATACCATCCCTCGACCAGATACAAGTGACATCCGGGTACTTTTCGACCATGTTCTCAAACAGGTACCACACATTTAACTTGCCATCTGCCTCTATATGATGATTGAAGCGCAATTGTCAGGTCAAATAGTTACGCGAAATTGACACTATACACGGGAGAAAACTTACTAGCTCGGGCGACAATGCGGTCGCTGCGGTTATACCTAAGGACAGTTTCGAGATCCCTTCTGAGGTGGTATTTGGCATCCAGATAAGCACCCAGAGCACCGATTCCGGTGACCGCTGCAGCAGCAGCAGCTACTCGAAGCAATGGATCAACCATGTGGAAACTTGTAAAGTAGAGGAAATGGATTGCCTACCCAGAGCCATCTTTTTTGGATCGTATACTGTCAGTCGAATCGTCTCTCTTTGTTCAAACCCTAAATCGAAACAGCGGAAGGCAACTCTCGTGCAATGAAGTTCCCACCCAAACAGCTTTCGTAAAATCGATTTCAGGACTGTTCACACCTAAAGAGAAAGCGAGGAACAATAGACGATGTAGGAAAGAAATAATTGAAGTTGATATGAACCCTCCCCCTCTCTCCTCCCCCCTCCCCCCAGACCCCAAAGCTACTTAGCTATGTCCCGGCTGTTCTCCCCCATTGACCTCCCCGCCAAATCCTGATATCCTCGGCATCTGGAGAGGGACCGTATTGGTGGGAGCGGAGGGTTGCCATCTCCACCATCGGGCTGGAGAACATGGCATTTGCCTAGGTAAACTCCTCTGGCCGAAGGCGCTTAGTTGCTAGGAACTTGGCAGCGTCTAACTACGCCAGTAAGTTAGTTAGTTAACCCGTAGAATGCTCCCATTGTATTAAATCCACCACGCTCAAAGCCAAGTGCTCTATTATTCCACGAATTCTAATAAGCTTGCCATTCTTCTATACATGCTTGTAGGCCTGCTTGTAATACAGCTGCTGCAGCCTTTTTGGCCTGATTTCTAGCCTCCAAAAGCAGCGGCCCCATCTAGAGCATGCTTCATCCTTTCAACATTAGCAAACTTGCTATTGGGGTCAGGTTGAACTCTCTTCTTAATCTTTGAGCTGCCGAAAGCCTCTCTTTGACTAGAAAGCTTGTAAATTGAAGCTTCCTGAGCCACCTTCTGAGCGTTTAAACCTCCGATTGCCTTCCTCACCTTTGGAAAGAAGGTCTTCAGGCTTCAGGCCAATATTTCATCAAGCTTCAGTGCCTTATATATATGCTGAGGGTTTTGATAGTAAGTAAAGCGTCTGCCATACTGAGTTCGATGAAATTCATATATGTAGAGGTTCAGAGCTGTTGAAGTTAAACCTATGAGAATTCTAATGCCTTAAAGAGTTCAAGACATCAATTTTTTTCATTCCTTATTTTCATTTGATTTGAAGTCTTTGAATATACCTCTGAATGGATCTGAATAAATCTTAGTTTTTTTCACTGAAGCTGAATCACCTAGATACCTTAGCTTTCTCACTAGAAAGTCTAATAGTAGACCTTCATGGGTGAAAACACAGATAAATTGAATAATTGCAGCATATAAAGGAAATGCGCTGATAGAAAGATCACATGCATCCTATTTGAATGACAAAAATCAAAAAAAAAAAAAAAAAAAAAAAAAAATTCAATGCTTGTAGAACTTTCGTGATCATCTAGAAGCAACATTCTAGAATCCTCAGCCGTGAGTCGAGTTTCAGACAAGAAGATCTCTTTAAGTCCAGTCAATTACAATATTCTTCTTCATCTTCACGATTCAGAAGGCCGTTTCTCAAAGGTATGTATGTATATGTGAAGGAGAATGAGCTCTGGAATCTTCATTCAACATCCATTCAACTAGGAATTGTTCCTGTTCAGGGCTTAATCTTTGCCGAAAGACATGATTGGCAGGCTTGATTGTTGAACCAGTATTTGATCTCAGAGGTTGCTTCTAGGGATGTTAAATGCTGTTGCCGCTGCCTGTACGGAGGAACAAAGGCCATTGAATTCCCTAGGCTGTTATCGGCTAACTGGATAGATTCTTCGCGTTGAGAGGATTCTAGGGGTGGCATCTTATACCTGAGGAAGTGGAACTATCTGGAGCTGCTAACTTGCTTGGCCGGCTATGAGTTCTGCGAAACGAATCGAGAGTGGAGATGCTCTATTAGTGTTGATCAAGTGAGTTTTGGAAGATTTTGATAGTTCGGAGACGGCCGAAGCTGGCTGGGGAAGCCTGGGTCACATGACTAGCCCCTTTCGCGTTCAGAATACTTTCTATTTTATCGCTTGAAAAGCTTGTTGGTGAGTCCAAGAATAAATATTTAACTAGGTTTCAATGTGATAGATCGGTAAGCAGTGTTAACTAACTAACCCTCGTTCGGTCATGTCGTCGTGCTGGGACCTGCCAGTAGGGCTTCGTAACGTATGGACAGTACAAATGGAATAGGAGATTTTTTTTTTTTTTTTTTTTTTTTTTTGCGATAATATCCAATCAAAATCGCTATGTAGGTATCATGTTTGGTTCATAGAGGTCACGCGTGGCAGCAAGCGGAGGTAACAATGCAAGTCAAGCAGATTGTATACTCTGGTTTCTCTTCATCCCGGCCGCTGGAACCCCAACGGTTAAACATACGTTCTCCATCCCCAGCGTTGGTCCCGCTCTTCCCCGTTGCTAATCCCATCCAAGATGTTGACAACGTACTTCCCAATGATAGGGAGGAATTTCCAGCTGTGAAATGAACCCCCAACAGCGAGATAAAGGTTCGGTAGCTTAGGGTGAGGGTGTCGTGCAATCAATTGGTCCTTGTCAGGCCGCACAGAATCCCAGCACACCTTCCAGGTAGCTTGTCTCCCATTTTCAAGCATCTGAGGCAATTTCATTCTGATCTGCTTCAAGGCTTTGTCTTTGATATCTTTAGGAACAAATGACAGATCCTGGCTATGGGGAGCAGTGATCGTATGCCCTGTCTCTGTGACCACGGCATTCGAGAAAGCAGAAGTGTCGAACTTCACTGTTCTCGACTTCGTGGGCGGAAGCAATTGACCTATACCATGTTAATGGGTTGTAACCAGCGCAGTCTCAAAGGGGCAGGGTTGATTTCAGAATACCTTCAGTACCATACACGACGATAGGGAGCCGGTTATACTTCTTCACCTCATCCTCTGATAATTTAAAATAGGCAATCGGGATACCCTCTGCTTTTATTTGTGACTCAACCCTCTCTGCCTCGGAAAAACCCAATTCATCCTCAAGCGGAGACATCAACTGGCTCGTCCAGGCCCCCGTGGCTAGCAATATTCTCTTGGCCCTAAATACCCTCCCGTTCTTCGTAAAAAGGCATTCAATTCCATCTTTCCCCGGAACAAGTCGACGGACATCTCCCATCTCGTACTTGACTCCCAACTTGACGGCTTCATCGAGCATGAGTTTCAATGGTCTCGATGCATCCACCCAGGCAGGAGCAGGGCTGGAGTATGAGGGCTCGAGACCCTGGCCTTTAACCACACTCAGCTCAGCGGGCCACTTATTTTCTACATCTTCCCATGAGAAATCAACCGTGACATCCTCTCTGCTACCAGCACGGAGAGAGTCTCGAATACGAGTTGACATGTCCTTGTACTTTTGGTCAAACACTAACCAGCCAGAGCGATTGTAGAGCCCTGTCTCTTTAAAAATGGGCCAATTCTCCCAGGCGTCCCTTGCTTCGTAAGCCATTTCCATATAGAACGGATGGGCGTAATCTACTGCAACTATCTTGCTGGTGTCTGTTGAGGCCGCTCTTGCTGGAGGGTACGGGGCGACATCAATTATTGTGATCCTCGAGGGGTCTGGATGCGATTTAGATAGATGATATGCCGTACTGACGCCAAATATGCCAGCACCGATGATGAGAACGCTGCCGTCCATGCTGGGCGGGATGTAATGTGTGCTGTACCTTCCGCGGCCTTTGTTTTAGATTCCGTAGAGTTATGTGGAGTCGGCACTTGAATACAAGGTAAAGTCTGTGAATTGATGTTTTCCCTCCCTACAACTATCCCTCGGGACTAAACTCAGATACTAATCAGTAGTTATCAAATATACTCATGTAGGGGATATCTGACAACGGGATACGAAACATCCCTTATATAATTTCACTCACTGATTCTTTCGATCTTCCTTATAAACTTGCTACTTCTTATTTCTGGAATAAGAAGCGCATTTCTCCAGATCCTCATCTTCTGCGTTAACGTTACAATCATATTGCATTACTCTATGATGACATCAGCGGCGGGTGGGGCAGGAGCAGCGATGCTCATGGATCTCTGTGGAATTTGAAGTGGACAGGTGATTCGTGAAAATCTATGGGGCGGAACCCTGCAGTCCATTTACTAGTGAATGGAGAATACATCCTCGGGTTATCGTTTTTGGAGCATAAATACGGTATGAAAAGAAGTCGAACATGTCATCATGATACTTGTTAACCGCTAACTAGTTAGATCGTGTGCCTATTTAGTCAGTCATGGATAACTCCGTCATCAAAAAACAGAATAAAACAGCATAAAATACGGTAGAGCATGTTGGGAAATATATTTAGTGCCCGCAATTTCATTTTGCGGGCCAATGAATCGTGAATGACCACTTCATCCGTCTGTCGAGCGCTGAGGCGGTTACATGTACTGTGCATGTCCAGTATGTGTACAAGATGCTTAAATGTGAGCCGCCACCGTCATCGTGTGGTAGTGTTTTGGTTGCCCTCATGATGTTGGCTGCTTGAAATCGTGGTTCATGATCAAGCAACTCGATAGATTTCCTGCCGTGACTACGATGTCGTCACACATGTGGGGATGTTGTGATATCCTTGCGTTCAGGCCCAAGATCGTTGTATGGGAGCACACTGACTAACATAGACGGGATGACGTCCGTCGACGGGGATGGTAACCGATAACTTACAACTGGTGGAGGCATCAAGGTTGTTACCACCAAACGGCTAAAGGGGGCCCTAGGGAACCTTGGGAAGTAAAAGACACAATCAGGGTCAAATTGTTTTAGGGATATGATTAGTATCTTTAAACTTACCTATGCAAAGAAGAGTTCTGTGAACTTATGTAGCTGTTATTAGACGTTCTGAGAATGAGGTGTTAGTAGAGAATTTACATGTCCGAATTTATAGAATGGCCTATAAATGTTACCGGGAAGTAGTCGTTTCCAGCTCATCAATACGGAGTATATCTAGAGAGCACTTCAGGAAGAATCACTTTACCTGTATTTATATTAGATCTTCAAAGATTTGTGTGGGGCTAGCCGGAGGAGGATAACATAAATGGATTATGAATATGATCAAAGACTTTTCTTCTTGAATTCATCGAAAGGGTGCATTAGATAATTGAGTTGCCATCAGCATAGTGTATCTAAAACAGCTTGCGTATAACATCACATAATGGATGGTTGCCAATGAGTGGCATCAACGCATAAAAGCAAGTAAGATCAAAACTGAAAGCAAGTACGAGCGATTCGTTGACATAGGGCGGGCAGCTAACAACGCAACGTGAGGCTCAAGACCTGCAAGTGGCTCAGGATGTCTATGAGATGGTCTCTGCAAAATGGTTCTGAAAAATAGGAGCGTCAAATGATGAAAGATGTATCGACATTCCCAATACCTTGCAGCTATCGATGCCATAGCATTTAATATACTTACTTGGCTATTGGCGCCATCAATCCCTCTAAAAAGTCAGAGAACATCTGGAAACCCCAATAAGGGCAATAGAAACCTTTATTCGTCTAAATATATTGGATATAGGTACGCAACGCAATGCCCATGGCACCCCATAGCCAAAACTCAAACTTGCACCGGGAACGGGGCTTCTGATGGGCCAGATGGAGATCCGAGGAAAGATATAGTCGTTCAACTAGTAAAGCAAATGTTTCGGTTGATCGATTTCCAAAACATAGGGCTGGAACGGGATATATCTATTGAGATTTGGCGAGTTCGACGTGCGTGGCTGCGTTGCACATAGAGCGCTTACCAGAGGGGAGAAATTTGATATCCTCATTCGCCGGCAGCTCACCCATTGCTGTAACTAGTTATGTAGCCACAAGGGGACTCTGTTATACTCCGTACAGTAACTAATTGTGTGATCACCGCTGCCGAGAATCGTAGCAGTCTGGTATGTTCAGTCTTTAAACGTCTGATTTCCAATGAAGAATCTCATGGAAGTTGTCCGGCAAACCATTCTGATTTCTCGTCTTCTGCCTTAAGGGTTTCAAGTAAACCATAGCCTCGACAGCCAAAGAAGAGAAAGGCCGGTCCGTCTGGTCGAAGGCATGGATATTGGATGGAACAAGGGGCCAGAATCACGGGAAACAAAACAACCAGCCTGAAAAAAATTGGGCGCCCTTGAAAGCGAGGAATTCCCACCTCGGGGGTATCCAGTCACAATATCGTCATTAGAAAATAACATCCCCGAATCCAAATCTGCGTGGACTTTGTTGTTCGTTGATCCGCGCCTCAGACCAAACAAACCCTTACGTTGTGGATAAAGGTCACATGACTCGCTGGCCCTCAAACCTTGGTCCTGAATCTCAAACATCTCAGACTCTTTTGCCAATGAACCGCATGCCGAGCCTCCTCTACGCCGCACCACTGATGGAGCCACCGTGGGGAACAGCAACAAAGTGATGAACTCCGCTGGGTCACTGGCGTTACATGCGATCCACCTATTATCGATCCGGCAACTCGTTGAACCTTTTTCTTGTCGGTCTGTGACATCCCTGAAACGTCAAGAATCTCAGCGTCAAAATCGAGTATCCAGAGATGAGGAGGCACTGAATTTTGTCTTCATTTGCTATCCCAGTATAGCTTAGAGTCTTGCTTCACCTGTGTCAAGAATGGGTGGGAACCAGGTCTTCATTTGCAGGATTTCCGTTCGGGACCTCAACTGGAAACTGAGAAATGCTATAAAGATCCAGTGTTGTCCATTTTGGTCTCCATAAAGGTATAGTTGAGTTTTCCAAGGTCGCAGCCATTTCATGTCCGATTCTTCAATTATCTTGTTCTTATATGTTTGCATTGATTCCCTTTTGTTTTCTGCATATACCCTCTGGAAGGGTATGACGCTAAGATTCAATTGAATTTCTGTAAATAATTAATTCACCCATTCACGCTTAAATACATACATACATACATACATATATATATATATATATGATATCCATATACCCGACCATCAGCCCGTCATGAAATCTTACCTATTCTTCACGGCATTCCTCTTCACCCTCGGCACATCCCAGCAAGTTCCCATCCCAGCAGACCTAACCGCAGGATTCTCCTCCTCCGGCACACAGGGCCTCCAAGTAAGTTTCGGAGGCGATGCATCTGAGGGCATCACAAATGGCGAAACAGTCAATCTAGCAGGTTAACTATCTTCCTCAGCTTCTTGTCATAATGCAATTGTCATTCACTGACATCTGCATAGATGCCCGCAATCCGCCAACCTTTGCCCTAGGCGATAGCTCCGGCGTCAACCGTGCAATCTCATACACCATATTAATGCTCGACACGACCGACGACAATGCGCGGAAGGTGCAATATCTCCAATCCGGCTTCCGGGCTACTGGCGACAAGACTAAGCTAGAGACTCAGGAGGGACCTACCATCCCATACGAGGCGCCGTCTCCTGATGCTGGGCCGCGCCAGTTTTCCTTCCTTCTGTATCAACATCAGGGCCAGCAGCCGGCGCAGCTGAAGGTGGTATCAAACGGCGATTCCGGCCCGTTTGATGTCAAGGCTTTCGAGAGCGCGAATAATTTGAAACCGGCCCGGGCGGGGATCGCGCTGTTGGTTCGAGATACTAACTGTGGGCAGAAACGGACTCCTCCGACCTCGGAATCAAAATCCAGATCAGAACCGTCTGCCACGCGAGGCCCTTCTACCTCTGCTTCTATCATTGTCTCTGTTCTTACCACAAACGTCACGTTCGCATCCTCCAACAGCAGCGCAGCTACAACAAGGGGTGCGTTTTCGCAATCCATGTTTCCCTTTTCCGCTTCAAATTCTATCACAACTGCCCTGTCTACGTCTTCCTCTGCATCGTCCGTCGCTGCCTCTATCTCGAACTCGTCTCTCTCCTCCTCTCCCTCGGCTTCCACCCCATCCTCCCGTTCAAGCTTACAAACGCGAACGAGCATCGTGGTAGTTACAGCGATCCCAGCAAACACCTCTAGAGCAATTGGGGGAGATGTATCAGGAACTGCTGTGGCAATTAGCAGTAATGAATCTGTCGCAGACGGATTGTATGATTCCATGTACAGCGGCGTGGTTTTGGCAACGGTGGTACTGCTCGTGCAGGCTGCGTGGTATACTTTGGTGTTATAATGTGCGGGAGTTTGAATGGGGTTGAGCGCGGAAGACTTCTGTGTGGTTCGTTTTGGTTATTTTCGAGATCTGGCTAGCTGGCTCCCGTGTACAGTATGTAGGGGTCGATTCTTTCTTGATTTTCTTTTTTTCTTGTTCTGCCGGTACATAGCTGTGTCGGGCTGTTCCTAGATATGTTTGTCGTAGCTTTCTTTTCACGATTTGTTTTACACCAGATGAAGGAGTTCAATAGGCGTTCACGGGGCTCTAGTTGGTCCCATTTTGTTTGAATTGATCTGATTGCAGAAAATGAAAAAATTGAAACGAGAATGTGAACTTCATGTGGTTATACAATAATATGTGTATTATATCCCTGCTTTTTCCAAATGAAAGTTTTTTAAAAATACTATGTTCAGGAACAACAGTGTTCCCCCGCACAATAAATCTATATACACATATGCCTCCTCCATTCTCTTTCTTTCAACCAATTTATCTATCACAACCAAACATGTATAATATTACGATTGTTTTTTTTTTTTTTTTTTTTTTTTTTTTTTTTAAAAGTCAACCTTCTTCTTAACATACAAATCCACATACTTATCAACATCCATACCCTCGAGTGTCTTCTGGTCCAAACCAAGCTTAACGAGCTCCTCAACCTTCGCATTATCATAATGTGCATCAAGGTGCCTCTTGTACTTAGCGAGGATCTCAGGCTTAGCCTCCTCACGACGCAGGCGGTGCCCAAGTGGCGCAGCGACCTCAACCTCATTGAGGATGGTGCCATCATTAAGAGTGACAGTGAGCGCGTTGGGGATGGTGCGGAGGGATGGGTCATGGTAGTCCTTGGTCATCTGCGGGTCTTCGACGCACTTGATGCGCTTCCGGAGGGACTCGACGAGCTCTGAGGTGGCGGCTTCGGAGCCGTCGGTGTAGTCGGTTGCGACGAGGCGATTGAAGACGAGCATGGTGGCAACCATGTACTGTTTTGCCGGATTGGGATGGTTAGTATGTCCTAGAATGGAAGGGAAAGGGTTGGGGTGAGTTGGGACGAACCTGGATACAGTGGTCGCGGTCAGCGAAGTTGTCCATGGGCTTGAATTGTTTGTCGATGATGCGGACGCAAGCCTCGTGGGTGCGGATTGTCACATCCTTGATGTCCTTGGCGGACTTGCCCATGCCGGCCAGAGTCTTGTTGATGTTCTTGGCAGCCTCAATGGCGGTTTGCGAGTGAAACTCAGCTGTTAGAATTGGTCAGCTAATGATGGCATTGAGGGAGGTAATTAAGGGGGTGTGAAATCTTACCAGGATAGGAGACCTTGAAGAGCACGTTCTCCATTACGTAGCTGCCATAGGGGCGCTGGAACTTGAATTTGTTGCCATTGAACAGCACATCGTAGAAGCCCCAGACTGGAGCAGAGAGGACGGTTGGAACACCGGGCTCACCCTTCATGACTTTGAGGGCAAGGTTGACAGCACGCTGGCAAGCGTCACCAGCAGCCCAGGACTTTCTGGACATGGTGTTGGGGGAATGTCTGTAGGTTCGCAAGCTCTGTCCATCAACCCAGGCCTGGGTGATGGCATCAGCGGTCTGCTTCTCGTTCAAACCAAGCATCTTGGACACAACCGCAGTGGTAGCGACCTTGACCAAAACCACGTGATCAAGGCCGACTTTGTTGTACGAGTTCTCAAGGGCGAGCACACCCTGGATCTCATGGGCCTTGATCATACCCTCGAGCACATCACGGACAGTGAGGACCTTGCCGTTACCCAGGGATCCACCAGCGCGGTTTGTCCGCGAGATCCAGTCCGCAACGGCGAGAATACCTCCCAAGTTGTCGGAGGGATGGCCCCACTCCGCAGCCAGCCAGCAGTCGTTGTAGTCCAACCAGCGGATCATGGCGCCGATGTTGAAAGCACCGTTGACGGGATCAAGCTGGTATGGAGTTCCGGGAACTTTGCAGCCATTGGGGACGGTGGTGCCCTCAACAATGGGTCCGAGGAGTTTTGTGCACTCCTTGAATTTCAAAGCCTCCAAACCACATCCCAGAGTATCGAGGAAAACCCATCTGGCAGTATCAAACTATGGAGACAAAGGTCGATTTAGTAAATGTAGAAAAGTTTGCAATAAAAATAAAAATAGAAATAAGAAATATGATTTCAGGATATGTCCATTTTACATACTGCAAGGTCAGAGTTGATATTGTAGTTGTGAATGTAGTTGGCCATAGCGGCAATTTCGGAGTCATATTCACGAGGCTCCGCAGGAGCAGGGGCCGCAGCCTTGAGGGCAGACATTGTGGAAAACGCAGAGCTGGACACTGTAGATTTGGGAAGTAAGAGTTTACTGAAGAAAGCAGATTTGGAGGAAGTGGACCACAGAGACGACGCAGCAACAGAAGAGGATGCTAGTGGACGCAGAGGAAGAGATCGTGGGGCGCGGGACGACAGCTGTCGGAGGGTTTGGCGGGCAACAGACATGGTTGGTGGATGGAGAAAAGTCACTTCCTCTGTTCCTTTTCTGTCTACAACGATTAGCAACAAGACACAGACAGCAAATTAAGCTGGAATTGGCTTGGGGAGAAAGCAATTGAGCAAACGCCTACTGACTTTTCGATGTGCTTGGCTCGAACGATGTGACGTTCGAAAATGCAAATGTTTACGCTCCGAAACGTTGGGGAAGTATGAAGAACGGGTCACGTGGTTGACTAAGCCTCGAACCGAGGATACACCAACACCGGACCCGCAGCCAGCCGGTATGGTATGAAGATTACGCCACGTATTGAGTTTTTGTATGGGGCTCTGGTGAGCATGGTGGAGTACTACCGTAATTACATGTTTCGGTAGGGTCACGGGGCTCGGCTCTGGAACGTAAGTTTCTATTGTTCCGTGGTGACTGTTATCTTATCTGATCATCAGCAACAAACAAGGACAAAGACTTGGCGAAAGATTCAACTTGCGAATAGAGTACCTTTACATGGAAATTGATTCCTCGCAATTGCGTTACATTTTCAGAGAACCGAGTAATTACTACGGTAATGTTTTTTTCATCAATCTCAGGTTATCCAGCCTTGAACAATGATTTAAGGAGAGATGGCACTGAACCTGAAAATATTTCAAAACTATCTTAACAAACAATCATGAGTAAGATGGGCAAATATTATCCATTCAATGTCTGAATTGTCAAAGCAAATGGCTGATGCTGTTCTTTGTCATCAAACAAGACGTTTTGTCTTTTTAAAATACTCCCATTGTTTAGAGAGAGCATTCTCTCTGTCTTTCTCTCTTTTCTTCATCAGACATATCCTGTACACATTGATGGGGATGTTATCTCATTGCATATTGGTTCCCTTGTTGCTATTTGCACGCATTGATCTTTTTCAAGTTAATATTTTACATAGTTATTCCCACTTTGATCACATGTTATCATACATTAGAGAATCTTGCACTGTATACGCTCAAGCACGCTCTCATGGCCACGAACATTCAAGCTGAGGATCTTTCGATAATGGAACTGATATACCTAGACATCCATGTCGCATCTCTAAAGGACCAAGAAGATTTATCAAATCCCACCGCCTTCTCCTCCTCCGAATTGCGTCAAAGAAAAACCTTAGAACCCCTATTGCAGCCTCTGCGGCCCACGTCCTCCTATCCGTCAATCTGCAGCCACTCGGTCCACTTCGTTGACACAGCTACAGCCGCTGCGACAGCAGACACAGCAGCATAAACCGCCAACCAACTCTGGCATGCAGTCTACGCACTCATCCGTTCAAACAAAACTAGTATCGAACTCTTCGCCAAACCCCGCTCTCTAAACTGGCTGCGTGCCACCCCGCCAGACTTCCGGCCGGGATGCGATGGACAACTTACAATCAGTCGACGCGGTGTACACAAATACCCACACGTCATTGCGCGGGATGGACGTACTATCTACCAACCCAAAATACAAAGGCGAATATCAAATAGACATTCCAAATAGTTTCCACGACCCTACGACATTTTTCCCGCCACCCCATTCCTCCGTGAACCTGTCGATGGTCGCTGCATAGTATGTTGCAATTACAACCTGTGCAACTGCACCCTTGCGCTCTGCGCTTTGATGAGACACCCTTTCTCGAGCTACGAGACTATTCAGATCGCGGCATCGGTGTGCGTGCGCGTGCCCGTTCGCGATAGTACATACGCGCTACATCAGGTCGTCAGGAAGCGGTCGATATGCATCATCAATGCGGCGATATAAGGGAATTGGACGAGGTATATGAACCACTCGTGCTGGCCTAGCGTATTATTTGTATCTTGCTTGGTGGGACGGCAGGCATGTATGCTTGTTACGGCTATCAGGGATATTGGGATGTTTGAGGAGGTTACAGTCGATTATGGGGATGCGTATTTCGGGCAAATGGGCCGGGTGTGCAAACGTGGGGAGGAGGCGTGTCGGTTTAATAAAAACCGGTGTAAAGAGATTAGGGAGAGGCTTTGTGGTGGCAATTCCCTGAGCGAAGAGGATGGGGTTTTTTTTCGAACCGTTGTATAGGAGGTTGTGTGCATCCAGCAGTCTTTTTTGGGGGGAATATATAAATCGGCTATAAACAAATACGTCCTAAAGGTGGGTTTTAGGCCATTTAAAACATCTGGCTGAAGATTTGCCTCTCCTCCCCTTCCAAAAATTAGACTGAATCTTTCGAGTTTTCGAGAGGGTATTAGATCATCAGAAAGGAATTCGCCTGCCCGAACGAATGGGACAGCAAAACATAATGCTGCTTATTGGATGTTTCCCCACCAAACCATCTTCTTCATGGAAAAAAGGCCCATTAAAGAACTCTCACCTGTTCCTGCAGAGTTTGCCGCCTCGTTTCTGATAGAATTGGGCCATTTAAACTCTGTCATGGCATCAAATTTTGCAAGTAATTCCTTGGGAGGTGGGCCAAGCAATGCGATCATTTCCGCTATGTGTGCTTTGGAATTATAAATCCCTTTAGCATCATTTACCTGACGATATTGGTCTGGTTGAATTGGGTGAAGACCAACTTCACTCTTCCCCATTTTTTCCTTGGCCGTCGTTCTTGAGGGAAGTTGCTAACCCAAAATTTACGATTTTAGGCTCCATATTCCTCAGTTCTCTACGAATTTGTTATGACAGCGATAGACAATATATCGTCCTCTCGTTGGGTTGGTTTTGCGTTGCATGGGCAGCCTACGGATCTGTTCTTTGAGAAAGTTGGGGAGAAAGTCTTCATTCTCGAAGGTCATCAGCATATTGTCAAGCTTTAGATGTAACAGGAGCCAATCTCCCCTGGTTTAGCTGCATAAAAAACAAAGGTATTTGGGGTTGTAAGCTGGTGAGGCCTCTTTACCAACAATTTCATGCTTGCGGTATTGGAGGGGCGGACTGAGCCGGAGGGAATTGGAGTTGTTTAATGTGGAGGGAAAGCGTGCGCTTCATCATATGGCCAATTGGCCGTACTGCAGTCATAGAGTAACGTGCGTGTTGTGGAATACACAGCCTAGGGAAGTGGACTCTTCAATGGAGCGGCTGCAAAGGGATGGCCTATTCTGGTTTGTGATGAAATGGTCTGCTGCGCAATTTCAAGCTCCAACGAGGGAGGGCGCACGTATATCGCATCGTCGTACGCCTTGATAATGGGATTGTATAAGTGGTTTGGGTCTTGCGAGGTGCCAACGATAATTCCTCTGACCCCGTACGGGAAAAGAATGTCTCGTAGAGCTCTGCAAAGCGGTTTGGCAAACTCAAATGCTGGAGGAAACTCTGTCAAAATATCCTCAAGCCCATCTGCGCCCATATCGGTTCGCTTGATTCTTGCGATTTTTTTATAGGTTCCAGTGTACCACTCCTTCAGCATACTGTCTTTCGATGGTTACAATAGAATAACTATAAATGCAAATATTGAGTTACGCTGAAGGAAAAGAAATCAGGAAACATTTGTTGAGCATGGGAAGACTAAATAAATAATAAAATGATTGGGGCCGTAGCAGTTGAACTTTTGGGGGGGAACAAAGCAAAAAGAGCTTTTATGTTCGCGAAGCCGCGGTTACAGTTGAATGTGGGTTTTTAAAAGTTGTGCTTAAAATAAACACCCTAAAACCTTGGTGTTGAGGGCGGTGAGGTTGAATAGAGATGTAGTTGTAATTTGCGTGCCGACTGTATATTCGGGGTTAGGATTAGGTTAAGATTAGGATTAGGGTTAGCTGAGGGAAACTAAGGGTCGGACCAAATCATTACCACCAAGAGCGAAAAATGAGATGTATGACTAATTAGTGTATGTAGTTTTTAAACCTACGCCCCGCAGAGCCAATACTAACAGACTAGTTACTAGTTAACTGCTATGTTAGTCAAAGTTAATAACCTAATTAACTACCTCGGATCAATTGCAAACTATAACTGAGCTAACTTCTTCCACTTTTCTTTTAAATAACTAATTAACTAATTATTACTTCCAAAGCATGATCATCTTTTTATTTGATGAGCACTGTGGTCAAATTATCATGAAGACAAAATAATTTCCATGTGTCCACATGTCAACTGTTCATTCCTCCCCATCTTGACTAAATTTGCTTCTCTATGACAACTTGGAGTCGCTGTTGATTTTTTCGAATTGATGTTTTCTTTGACCAGTCTACATACTCCAGCAGTTCTGACCAAAAAATAAATAAATAAATAAATAAAAGAAGAGAGGAGAGAAAAGGAATAATAAATCAAATCAAATCAAATCAAATCAAATAAATGCAATGTTGTAAGGCATTCAAGAGCGGAATGAACATTTCGCACAAGGTTATCTTTAATATTGGTCGTCGATAAGTTATCGCGCTATGCAAGCTACTGACTGTGCTCCATATGGATCTGTATTGAGTTTGAGTTGTATGTATGAGCACAAGGCCAGAGAAAGGTCTTCGAGGCGATTCGCCCCTAACCCCTAAAGTTATGACCAAGCTGTTGAGATATTAAATCTGGTCGTTCATGTAATAACTTAGCTCTATTGCACTTGTAGCGATCAGGCTGAATACACCAGACACAAAAAAGTGGCAAACCACCCTGTGATTCCTGAAGCCAAAACGCTAGCTCTGTTCTGCGGTGACCCATAAATGTTATGTTTAATATTAGATGGGACGGATGAGAAAACGATCCTGCTCCCAACTTATAGTCCCATGACACCCCCTCTGTTCCGGGCTGTTGCACAGTGGAGATGGGATCGAATTTGTTGAAGTGTTGAAACGAGGAGATTAAAGTTAGATCAGCCCCCGCGGTGGGGTCTATTCATCTCAATGCGCATGAAGGAAGTGTTGGCCTCATCAGCTTCAGTAAAAAGATTGACCGACCACGGTGCGACTCGAACGCACAATCTTTGGTGCCGAAAACCAACGCCTTGACCATTAGGCCACGTGGCCTTCCTTGAATCTGGTAGAGTTTCAGCGTTTCTCCACAAATATACTACGGAACATAATTTCCATTGGCTCACTTTTAACCATCGGGGGTGGGTTTACAAAATGGAAGTAGATCGAACAGGATAACTGAATGGCCAGATCGCAGACGATAAATCGCAACAGCAAATGTTTAACAAGATTAAGAGAATGTAGAAAGAAAAACGATTGCACAAGGCACAAAATCTATACCAATGACCCAAAGACATGAGCAAATATCCTATCCTGAGACAACACATGCACGTCTTTCCAAATCATTATCGATTGATTGAATTGAAATGAAGTTTGCTCTGGAGAGCAAGCGTAAACACGCATCCTTTATTTGATCCATGTATCATGTCATCCTCAGGGACTTACCTCGACCTACCTCGAGACATATGGACAATCACAACAACTCCACCACCTCCTTGACAGTTTTTCAACCACCAGAAACATCAACCCCGGCCGCAACCCCATCAGCCCTTTCCAATGCCCTTCTAACTTCCTCAAAAATCGCTTTCCCAAGCATAGGCGGCACCGCATTCCCAATCTGCCTCTTGACATTCTTCCCAAAAAACCTATGTTCCAACGGAAACGTCTGTAAACAAGCAAACTCACGATATGTAAAGGACCGCGTGCCGCTGGGGTGGTAGTTGTTTTCACCGCCCCCGTTGCAGGTTATTGTCTTTGCCTGGCTGTGTGGGTTGTAGGCTGGTTTAGAGAGCTGACGCCTGCTTACGTGGTCAATGTTATGGTCTGGAGTGTAAAGAGGGATATTGGAGATTGCGTCATGGATTGTGCGGAATGGAAGGAGAGTGTTGGTCCTGGTTGTGGTTGTGATGGTGTTTTTGGATGGGGGTGTGGAGGATGAGGGAGTGGGAGGGGCCCCATGGGTAGGCTTTGGGAAAAGGGGGAGGGGTTCTCCGGGTCTATTTAAAGGTTATTTTGGTGAGTGTGCATCCTGCTATAGATATACATACATTTCAAATATATAGATGGGAGGGTCAAGAGCAAAACATACCCAGATCCAAGTATAACCAACCGCTGTCTGGGCTGCGGAACCCCATAATCTTGACACTTCAACAACTTCCACCTACATGAATACCCCAGTTCAGCAAAAGCATGTATTGTCGCGAACAGAAACTCCTCATGTCTCTGCTGCAATCCAGCTGTTTCCTCCATAGTAACAATCCGCGGCTTTGTGCGTTTCAACAATTCTCGCGCACAGAATATGCACGCTTCATTAGCATCATCTGTCGCCGATGGAACCGTCTTCGCAGGCGAAAATGTCTGACAAGGTGGCGAAAAGTGCAAAATGTCAATGATAATTTCGTCAGTGTTATTCGCAAGGAAATCCGCCACATCGGACGTATAGCCGATGGCCGTCTCGAAATTGAGGCGGTATGAGTTCATAGCCGCGACGGAGTGATCGAAGCCCCAATTCAGCCGGAGCCCGGCTTGCAGTGCGCCTCGGGAAACCCCGCCAGCACCGCAGAAGCCGTCACCAAGTGTATACCGCTGGACACGCATTGGAGTGCCCCCTAGCACCACTGTCGTTGACGGGTGTGAGAGATCAATGACTGTTGGTGAGATTTCCTCACCAACATAGCTACCACCCAGCAGGGTTTTACCTCTCCAGCGAAACCGCAGCGTGTCCGCGTCGATCTGGTAGCCGGCGTCCGCCTCATGTGGAGCGAGGAATTGAATCGACTGCTCCTCCATGCGCCTTTTATTACGGCCCGTAACTGTTACCCAAACTCTCACATATTTTGAGCGGCAGAACAGAATCCCCTCCCGACGACGCTCATGGTCGTTTGCAAAGTCACCCTTGGGTGGGGCCAGCATTGGATAGGGTGCGTTTGTAAACCGGATAATTCTAAGGCCCTTGACCTGATGGAGTTTTACTTCGTCAATTTGAGTAGCGTCGACACCAGTAGCAGCGGCAGCAAGAGCGTCCTGCTCCGATAGATTGATAATCCAACACAACTCATTCGTCCTCTCAGGCATCAACCCATTCATCTCATCCTGGCGCTGCATCCGCCACCCCCTCAGCGATATCTCCTCCCCTTCCCCACGCACAACTTCTAGAATCCGTAGAAACGTACCATCGCGCAACTCAGCGGATTTCCCTGGTTTGTATGTTTTACCCTCCGAAACGAATTCCGGAATGACCTCTTTGATTTCTTGAGATGCGCCGTCATCCGTGATGGTGATGCATTGGGTGATATTGGCTGTGAGATTGGATAAAAGTTGTGCCCAGTGCTCGTCATCTAGAAAGTCACCAGCGTTGTACCTGCTTGTGAAGTCAACTGCTTCTTCCTCATCGCCAGCCAGGGTGTCGCTACTATCGCTTTCATCAAGAATAATTGGGGATGGCTGGTCGAGGTGAGAGTGACAGTGGGCTTCTTGGAGCTCCTGGCGCCGTCGCTGGCGGGACCTTGGGGTTAGAGATGAAAGGTGGGGTGGCTCGTGGCCGAGTAAGATTTGAACCATTTTCCCTTAATTTTATGTGAGATGAGGGGAGAAGAGGTAGAGAGATATCCAGTGTCTATAGTTTTTGAGGCTGGAAATGGCCAGGTCATATTAGAAAGGATTCAGACTGCAGAGCATCTGATATGACAGATGGGTTAAAAGATGAGAGTAGAGTCTCTGACAGAGAAAGAGACTGAACAGAAGAAGATTAGATCCTTCTAATCAGAATGATAAATGAATCATCTATTAAAACAGAGAAACAACTAGAAGAGTGAGGGTTTGAAAGAGAGGTAGATAATGAATTATGTGTTGTGTTGTTCTTTTAAACTGCAGATAGATGGTCACTTTAATTGATAGCTGTGATCCCGAGATAGAGATATCAAAATTGCACAATTATATTTTGGACACTTAATGTCTTGGTTTTCACTCTTGAGAAAGGAGAAAATCATCATCGATACTCTGAAGATGATTTTTCCATGCAAAGGGATGCATCATCTGCATCATCCTGATCGGAATTAAAGATTGTTTCTCGGAAATAAAAAAGTAAAACGATGCAGACAATCAGTACCGCACAGAGAAGTAGATCAAGGAAAAGAGAGGTCATTGTTATTATCAGCAAGTAATGAAGGCAAGATGTCAATACAGTCGATTTCTGATGTATCAAAATGCAACTGAAAGAGCAAAGCCCAAACTGAATCTTGACCCATGTAAATGTGGTATGGTATGATATCCATACGAAGAACAACCAAGATACAACAGACACCCCTCTTGTACCCGCATCTTCGCCCCGAAGTAGGAGAGTAAAAAAAATAAAATAAACGCGGCGAAGAAAAAGAAGAAGATCTGAACAATTAGGGGGTCGTTGATGATGCGGATAATAGGGTTGCTGATATAATACCGCCACCCAATACGAATGCCCCCCAACCCGGAGTGGAACGACAAGAAGCGGGAGTTTCTCCCCCGTCCTGAAGTAAATATGCAACTGTGTTGCCGTGGGAAATCGGAGGCTGTGACAACGCCCAATTCAGCCAACCGTGGTTAATTCCAAGCTTCCATCGCTGAAACGAGACAATCAAAATTCTTGGAAATGCTAATTTTCGTTTTCGTTTTATTCCCCCGCTAACACACACAAAAAAAATTATCCTTTGGTGGTAAAGTCTGATTTCATCTTTTTCATCCCCGTTCGTTTCCATTTCTCTCCTCCTTCTCTCTCCTTACTCTCTCTTCTCTTCTCTTCAATGATACATCATGTCGGCCACTGCTCGCCCTGCCTCTATCTTATATCCCCAGATACCCCTTTCTCCTTTACTTTCTCCTTTACTCTTCTCTTCATTATGCTGGAGTGAATTATCGAACCCAGCCTCTTTTTCCGCCTCTTCGAGAAACCCGCCATGAGATAAACGGCCCGATCTCGGTTTAGAGACAATATTAAAAAAGAGGATTTACGGAATAGCTGGGTGCTGAAACGTCAATCATATCTTGGTTTTTCTTCTTCTTCCTCGCTATTACACATATCTCCTTTGAGCATCTTGATATCACGCGATATCCTTCTTACTCCCATTCGCAGAATAATCCAGTGGAAGAAAGCAGGTGTGTATAGAGAATAACATCTTTGTTGTGTGTGCGCCCCCTGTCTCAAACGGGCAATGGCGAAATATATCCCTACATACCCTGACCCCACTATTATGATGAACAAGTTTGAGAAAAATACATGGATGTTAGACTTCCTAACTATCTTTGAGGAGAACTCCAAACACCCCCTGATCTTTGCTCCATTCTGTAATCTTTCACTAGAAAAAAAAAAAAAAAAATTCAGCCCCTCATCCATTTTGGCACAGTATCACCACTTACACATCCCCAAATATCTAGTCCTAACCAAGATGTGCGGTATCCTCGCCCTCATCCTCGCGGACACCGCTGCTATTGCCGGTATCGATCTTCACGAGGCCCTCTACCTCCTCCAGCACCGTGGCCAAGATGCCTGCGGCATCTCCACTTGTGCCTCGGGCGGTCGTATCTTCCAATGCAAAGGAAACGGCATGGCCGCCAAAGTCTTTCAGGACGGTGCCAAAGTCGCCGATCTGCCTGGTTTCATGGGCATTGCACACCTTCGCTATCCTACAGCGGGCAGCAGCGCCACTGCCGAAGCACAACCTTTCTACGTCAATAGTCCCTACGGTATTTCGCTAGCCCACAACGGAAACCTGATCAACGCAAGCGACCTGAAGGGATTCCTAGACTATGACGCCCATCGCCATATCAACACGGATTCGGACAGTGAATTGATGCTGAACGTCTTCGCGAACGAGCTCAACGAGACGAAGAAGGCCCGTGTCAATCACCATGACGTCTTCACTAGTTTAAGCCGCATGTACGAGCGTTGCCAGGGCGGTTGGGCCTGCACTGCCATGATTGCCGGGTTCGGTGTGCTCGGGTTTCGCGACGCATATGGCATTCGCCCATTGGTTCTTGGCTCGCGGCCCTCCGCTACCTCAGCCTCCGGGATGGATTACATGATGGCCTCTGAAACTGTCGCGCTGGACCAGCTCGGTTTCTCCAACATCCAGGACATTCAACCGGGCCAGGCGGTCATAATTCAAAAGGGCGGAACACCCGTCTTCCGCCAAGTCTACCCTCGCCAAGCTTACACACCCGATATCTTCGAATACGTCTACTTCGCCCGTCCAGACTCAGTCATCGATGGCATAAGCGTCTACCGCAGCCGGCAGCGAATGGGTGACAAGCTCGCGCAGACGATCGTGAAGTCCCTTGGTGCCCAAGCCATTGCGGACATCGATGTTGTTATCCCCATCCCCGAAACGTCAAACACGTCCGCAGCCAGCGTGGCGCGCTACCTCGATAAGCCGTATTGTCAAGGCTTCGTAAAGAATCGCTATGTGTTTCGTACGTTTATTATGCCGGAGCAGAAAGCGAGACAGAAAGGGGTGCGACGGAAATTGAATGCGATGGCTGCGGAATTCAAGGGGAGGAATGTACTGCTTGTTGACGATAGTATTGTGCGAGGTACGACGAGTAGGGAAATTGTAACTATGGCTAGGGAGGCAGGGGCCAAGAAGGTGCACTTTGCTAGCTGTGCGCCTCCCATTACGTATGCTTTTATCCCTGTTTTATTATTCCCTGGCCCTCTCTCTCCACCATTCGTTGCTAATTCATAAATATAGTCACGCACACATCTACGGAATAGACCTTGCCTCCTCTAATGAACTGGTAGCCCACAACCGTGATGCAACCTCGATAGCCCGTCACATCGGTGCAGACAGTGTAATCTTTCAAACCCTCTCAGACCTCAAAGAAGCCTGCGCAAATGCCGGTGCCGAGAACGACCAGAAGGGCAACCGACCGCAGGATTTCGAGGTGGGTGTATTTTGCGGGAAGTACGTTACGCCCGTGCCGGAGGGGTATTTTGAGCGTTTGGAGAAGGTTAGAGGTGCGGGGAGGATGATGGAGGTTGTGGAGAGGGCGAGGAGGGCGGTTGTGGAAGGGGTGGCGAGTGAGAGGGGGGTTCTTGTTGCGGTAAATCGGACTGCGGACGTTGGTGAGGATGTATCTGTGGTTGGGGGTAAAGGGGATGGAGAAAATAAGGAGGAGGAGGCAGAAGGGAAAAAGGAATTGGCAAATGGGAATGGGAATGGGAATGGTTTCGGTGGTATTGACCTTGATGTTGGGAGGGTTCCCATCCAGGTGATTCCCGGTGCAGCAGTTAGGCCGGGGATGATGCATGATGATGCTAGTCATACGCCGCAGGTTAAGGAGCGGATGGATATTTCATTGCATAATTTTGGTGACTATTCATAGGGTGTGTTTAGCATTTTCAATTATTTTCAATTGCATGCTTTGTTATGGGCCTTTTGCATTTCTGCTGTTTCAGTATGTTGCATAAGCAGATATTGTTTTATATCATTTTATCATTTTACATACGATTCACTTCTTCCTATCCCCTTCGCATTACCTTAGACACTGGGCAGGAGGGTTAGGGCTTGGGCATGTAATCTGTCCATGCCCCTGAGCCCCTTTTAGACGTCTCCTTCAAATGTCTATTTTTCTATCTTCACGTCTTCAAAAAATTAACACACATTGAATATAGTAGATATATCTCAGATCCCTCATTTGAAGCCTTGCCATGTGTTCCTTTAGTCTCTCCGGGACATCCTATTCTATGCACCGTATTTCACCCCTGTTTCTCATGATCTACGCTTCTATCTATCGGTTGGTAGCTCAAGAGCCAAATATATATAGACCATCATTACATCCTGCTTCATTATTCCCATCTCGGATTTCAGAACCTCAGAATCCCTAGGTCACACCATCATCAATTCTATCATATGTCAAACAAACTTCGAGCCAGGCGCATGTCAGGACCCCTCTCACACCCCAAGCCATGGGTCTGTCATTGGTTGACAAAGGGCAGGCACATACATCTTCCAGTCCAATTGCAATTGTGTTAGTCTCTTCAATTTGCGTATACCAGGTCAGTGCTGATGATGGAGACGATCGAGATGATGGAGATGATGAGTGATGAGTGATGAGTGATGAGTAATTGTCCGTGCCAGGTGGTTTTGTGTGCCTGCCTGTTTGGGAGAGGGAGTAATTACCTTCGTCCAAAACCTTTGGCTTACACCTCCTCCTTCCCACATTTACGCTCAATCGTTTGTGCTTCTGCGCTGTTTAATTGCCCTTCTCCCGCAGTCATCATCTGCATCCCAATTGCCTTGCTCTTTGCTGCATCCTGAGCTCTGCAGCCTCATTTCATTGCAGACTGCTGGGCCCATCACATCTCTCACATATCTAAGACAAAGAGAACAGCAGTATATCTGCATTCTCTCCATCTCCCATATCCCAAGATTCCATTGATCCAGCCTCCCGCCTCACCTGGCAATCATCATGCCAAAAGCAACAAGAGGGAAAAGAGAGATATCAAAACAGGAACGCCGTGTCCGACGCGGGCTGAAGAGGGTAGCCGCGCGCTTAGCAACGCTGCGTGAAGCGAAGCGCCATCCTGTATCATCAGGGGCGAATTCTAACGGTTCCAGTTCTTCATTGCCAAGGGTATCAGGGGGTGTAAAAGCAAAACCCGATCGGGGAGCAATGGGGGTGGTGTTGGGCAAGAGGGAGTGGGATGAGGATGATGAGGAAGAGAAGTATAGGGAGGAGATCAAGGAAACAGAGGATAACGGCAGTAGTGCTCATCGCACGAAAAGGGCAAGGGTTGATACCAACCCAGGGGTTATAGGTAGTAACTTATCACAGGAACATGGGGCTGATGTTAACCGGCTGCTACACAACCTCGAAACCGCTGAGATTGGATTTTCGGCTACATTAGTAACTACGAACGGCTCTAGCAAAGGTTTACATTCGACTCCGGTTAAAAATGGCCTCCTAGCGGGTCCAACTGAATATGCCACTGATGGCGATGCGTCTCCCTCAAGCCACCGAAAGACACCACGTAGTCCTTATGGGTTGACACCGGGCATCAGTCCATATTCAGACTTCCCGTTCCCAACTCCAGAACAATGCGAAGAAGCCAATACGCTTCTCTCCACCGTGCATGGCGAAGTCAAGATGCCAGCAGCAATCCCTGCACCCTCCCTGACCATATCTGGCTGCGGTGAGGTCCCATCCGTCCTCGACGCATTGATACGCACGTTGCTCTCCGGGGCAACGTCGAGCAATAACGCCGCACTTGCGCTCCAAGGACTCGTCAGCCGATTCGGTGTGCTGAATGATGGGGTTGGGGAGGGAAGTGTGGATTGGGATAAAGTGCGGCAGGCAACTTTAGAGGAGGTTTATGATGCTATGAAGGTGGGTGGTTTGGGCAGGGTGAAGAGCAGGTATATCAAGAGGATTCTTGATATGGTCTATGAGGAGGGTGTGGCAAAGAGGAATGCGTTGGGTATGGGAGGGGACGTTAATCAGGAGGGAGATGGCAATGGCCACGAACACTCCCTCTCCCTCAACCACCTCCTCACCCTCTCAAAGGACGAAGCGATGCTCGAATTCACGAAATATCCCGGCATCGGTGTTAAGACGGCTGCGTGCGTGATATTGTTCTGTCTCCGGCAGCCTTGCTTTGCGGTTGATACGCATGTTTTCCGTCTGAGTAAGTGGTTAGGATGGCTTCCGGGGGGAAAACATGGGCCAAATGAGGAGGAGAAAGCGGAAAAGGGAAACGGGTTAGGTGGGCAGAATAAAATGAGGAAGCATAGGGGTGTTGTCCGTGTCAATGAGATTACGGCCTTTCGACACTTGGACGCGAAGGTTCCGGATCATCTGAAGTATTCGCTGCATCAGTTGTTTGTTACGCATGGAAAAAGTTGCGCCAGGTGTAGGGCTAATACAGGAATTGGTGGACGAGAAGATGTTGACCCCGGGGAAGAGGGGTGTGTGATTGAGCACCTTGTGAAGAGGACAGGGAAGCGGAAGGGGAAGGGGAGGGGAAATTGATTGTTAACTATACGTAATACCAGTTGAAGTGAATAGGATGCGAGAAAGTAATATTGGGGTGGTGGTTCGATGGTAATGTAGAGGACGAACAATGTATGGTTGAATTTGATGCTATATGATCATCGCAGTTGAGGTGAGCTTATTTCTGTAGTTGAGAAACAGTTGTATGTTCTAGCTGTATATGACATCTGTTATTGATTATTTAACTAAATGAATATCGACCAAGGCAGTTAGATGTTCTTAATCTAGTAATGTTAACTATGATTAAAGACTCTTTTAAGGATTCAGGGGCAGCCATGCTTCGCACTCGCAGAATACATATCTGGATGAACTTAATGTTGAGAACATTAAAAATCAACAATAAAGAAATCAAACAACTTTGTAAACATATCATGTTTCTGTCCCTCTCTCTCATATTCAACTCTTGTTATTCGGAGATCGAGAGCGGGATAAAATTCCCAGGTTTGGCAGAAAAGCCACCTAAGTCGAATCGGGCAACAAAACTCAACTTAAAATTATTTCCCCTGAAACAAGACGCTCGAGAAAGACAACTCTCTGCCAACAACCCAACTGCGATTTCTGCAACGGATCCGGCCAGTTTCACTCTTCGGGAGGGCAAATGGATACCCTCTGGCCCATGTTAAAGAGATATGGCGACTGCACGCTAAGTGAATTGCTCACCGCAGTAATTGGGGTGGTTATTGTCGCGTGGACGCTTCGACAGTTCGTTTTTGGGAGGGAAGCACCACCTGTTACGTATCAAGTGCCAACTCCACCTGAGATATCGGATAAATGGCATGGAAAGACGTGGGATGATGTCGGTGCTACAGATCGGGAGATTTTGGAGGGCCAAGCGAAAGGGGTAAGTCGTATTTGGTAGTAATTTGTCGGCCGTGTCTGGAGGAGTTAACAATGGCGATTGAATGAGCGTGAAAGTCGCTAACCATTTTAAAAATCAAAAATCTAGAAATGGAATGAAGAGAAGATCCTTAGTTACTGCCCTGCCGACGGTCGTTTGCTTGGAGATGTAACCTGTGGAATCAAACCAGCATCACCTGTTGAGATAGACATTGCGGTCAAACGAGCAGAAGTTGCGCAGCTGAAATGGCAACATACAAATTTTGCTGAGAGGAGGAGGGTATTACGAACGCTGTTGAAGTTCGTACAACGCCCCGAACCAAGGATAGTGTTTTATATTTTCAGATAACTGACTGCGACAACGTTTCACATAGGCACATTCTTGATCACCAGGATGATATCGTTTCTGCATGCTGCCTGGATTCAGGCAAGACCAAGGTAGATGCTGCGTTTGGTGAGATCCTGGTTACCGCTGAGAAGCTTAAGTGGACTATCGATCATGGAGAGAAATCACTTTCGACCGACCGCCGACCTACGAACCTTCTTATGATATATAAGAAGAATACAGTTCGCTACGAGCCTATGGGTGTGATTCTAGCCAGTGTATCGTGGAACTACCCATTTCACAACTTGATATCCCCGGTAATCAGCGCCATATTTGCCGGCAATTCCATCATTGTTAAGCCATCCGAACATACGGTTTGGAGTTCTAAGTACTTTTGTGATATCATTCGAGGTGCTCTTACAAGCTGCGGACATTCGGAAGATCTAGTCCAATCCGTCGTTTGTCTTCCCAATCATGCAGACAGCTTGACGTCTCACCCAGGCCTGGATCATATCATTTTCATTGGCTCCCGCCCAGTGGCGCACCATGTCTGCAGATCAGCTGCCAAATCGCTTACTCCAGTCACCGTGGAACTTGGTGGGAAAGATCCTGCTGTTATTCTTGACGATCCAGCTACCATTAAAGACATTCCAAGTATATGCTCACTGCTCTTACGCGGCGTCTTTCAATCCGCAGGCCAGAATTGCATTGGAATAGAACGCGTCATCGCACTCCCAGGAACCTACAGCAAAATTATCGAAACAGTAACGCCCGTAATAAAAGCGCTCCGTCTCGGATCTGTCCTTTTCGAATTAAGCGAATATTCGAAAAATCCAAACCATGGACTTTCAACCCCGGATATGGGAGCTCTGATTTCTGAAAAGCCATTTGACGAGTTAGAAGCTCTGATTGCCGAGGCCGTGAAACAAGGTGCCCATCTCATTCATGGTGGCAAACGGTATAACCATCCAAAATATCCTCACGGGCATTATTTCATGCCCACTCTTCTTACCAACGTTGATCCATCGATGAAGATCGCAAATATTGAGCTATTCGCGCCAGTTTTCCTCATCATGCCGGCCACGGACGTATCTGATGCCATCAGAATAGCAAATTCCACAGAATACTCGCTAGGTGCGAGTGTTTTCGGCCATAATAGACGAGACGTGGAGAGGTGTGTGTCTCAAATCAAAGCAGGCATGGTTTCCGTCAACGACTTTGCCGTCTATTATGCGGTAGGACTTCCATTCGGAGGAGTTAAGGGTAGTGGATATGGGCGATTTGGCGGGGCAGAGGGATTGAGGAACTTGTGCAATATGAAATCTGTCTGTGAGGATAGGTATCCGCTAATCCAGACACGTATACCACCCACTGTGGACTATCCCATTCAGAAGGGCGATGGGCCGAATAGGGATGGACGGGGTGCGTGGGAGATGTGCAAGGGGATTGTTGAGACAGGGTATCACCCTGCTCTTGCGGGAAAGGCGAAAGGAGTATGGAAAATAGTGAAGAATATATGAGATCGCTCTGTGGGCTTAGTAGAGTCATCGGGTAGGACTTCAAGGTGCCAGAGGTTGGAATACACCGTGTATTATCAGATAGTGAGCAATGGTTATACCCTTCCTAATCACTTTGTTTTTTTTGTCACAATTGGTAACATAGACTAATCTATGGAAACATCATTTAGGTAATATTGAAGATTATGCTCCCGTTAACTGGGTATAGAAAGCATATGGGGATATTGTACAAATTGGGGTACTAAAACAAAAAAGAAAAAAGGAGTCGACGCTATCCTGATTCCAGCAGCGTGCAAAACCTAGTCTCCAGCCCCCTTCCAGCCTGAACAAAACAATGCAAAGCAAACAGTCGTATCTCATAAAGCCGTGCGAAAATGGGTCAAATGTCCGAACAATATGAAATCCTTACCCGACCATGGAAGAAAAACGAAACAGCAGCAACCATCAACAACTGTGTTGATACCACGACTCGGCATTTCCCCCGACGCCCTCCTGGAATCTTTTCATGCCTCCCTTTAAACTCTCGTCCTCCTGAGCCCATGGCGATGCATGCGGGGTGAACGATGTGTAGTAGTAGTACCCATGGTCATGTGGGACCTCCGTCTCCTGAAGCTGCCGCAGGTGAGACATGAGATTATGGCGTTGAAAATGGACACGATGCCACTGACAATGGCCATGAGGATGTTGCCAATGCCGTTGACAATAGCCATTAGACAACCGCCAATAGCTCTAAGGCCATCTTGAATCTGTTACGGATCAGGAAACGTCAGATGTTAAGTGGCGTCAAAGTGGAGGAAATCACTTACGCAAGAAAGGACGGCACCCATATTGGAGGTTTTGTGTATGTGTATGCAGGTGTTTTTTTCAAGATGTTGAAAGTGCGGCTTGTTTTCTGTTCGTCGGCTTTGAGGTATATCAGCTTTTGTGGTAACTAATAGAAGGATGGAACATGGGTTCCCTGTGTGAATTGCGGAGAGTTGCCCTATTATATACCAAGCCCCTGTTGTGTAGTTAACTCAATTCGGTGAATGGGCCCTGATCATGCCAACAATGATGTATTTTCAACGCTTTTCAATGGTAAAACCCCTGCAAAGATGATGTCAGTTTACAAACTGGCAATCATCGTCATTCTCCCGTCATTGGATCATCTACTGCATGAAAATCGTTCTATTCAGTACATTATACTAGGAGGATATTACAAGGTTCTGGTCACCAAGATAGTGTAAAGTCGTGGTAGAAAAGAGTGGACGTTAACTGACGTCGATGCTCCCTGAAGAAACCTGAGGACGGGGGTAGATGCGGTGGATGCGGGAGTGATGTCATACTACGTCATTGCTGTCGTTCTAGGACTAGCGTCAGGGCTTCCTGACGGCTTACGTCATCAATAAACTAACTGCCAGAGGATAAACTAGTTAGCTAGTTGTTGTATGTGGTTGGTTGATTAGAAGCTTAGCTAACTAGCCAGCTAAGTTATATGATATAGTAATGGGCTATCACTAGCAGCCATGAAGGAAAGGAAGGGAAAAAAAGGCCAAATCTCTAAATCTGCAATAAAAATACATATTTCTGTTGTATAGCAGCAATACTTCAGTATTTTAGTATCTCCCTCGTTCACTCATCCTTGAGGATCCTGTTAAGAACCTTTTTCTTCTTTTACGGTATAGACTACATGCTTGCCTTGGTAAGACCTCGTAACAATTAGAGGATGATCTTGTTCTTACTGTGTATGCCAGGTTTTCAATGCGCCGGGGGAGCCACAAAACTCCCGTTTGTTTCCCTGATTGCTCCAGAAAAGCACAGGGAAATCGCATCGGTTTTGATCCGGCTGAGGACAACATTGAATGGTATGGTTCAGCGAACGCAAGAACATCGGCACATTTCTGCCCTCGATGCATGCTGGCACGATAAAGGAGATAAATGGAGACCACCATATGATATGCCTTGTTCAGTGCCTCCAACCTGTCTCGCAAGCGTAGGCATTCTGGGTCCAATCCACAGAACACGTCGCAACTTCGGAAAAAGGCGGAAGCTGGAAGAGTCAGCATCAGCATTATGGGATGGGCTGTCATAGATTTGGTTTACCAAAGATGCATTAATGGAGTTTGATCGAAGAAGCAGTCGCCCGAGACCACCCCAGAACCGTCATAAACCTATCATATGACGATTTCAAGCTGAGCTCAAGCAGCGCTGTAAACCTTTTCAGTTTGCTCCTGGCTTTCTCCATGATTGTATGCCCGCTTGTTCAAAGCAGACAAAGAGACTTTCCAGACTGGGAGGCTCTGATCTATCTGGCCTTGGAAATGTACATAATCACAAATCCATGCACACACGTAATTGCTGATAATTTAACCAGTAACTATCCCAAACCAGAAACCTTCCTCAATCAAGCAATGAGCTCAAGACCCTGTGGTAGAAAGCGACGCGCAGGAGATCTCCTCCATCAACAATGGCAAGTACCAAGGATGCCACCAAGTCCACGAGCAGCACACCCTATAATTGCAACTTCCAGCAGAATCTGATTGGCCATGGAATTTACCCTGACGGACATGAATATCCCGATGGTCGAATACCATGAATGCCAAATAACTGGTGAGGAGATTAATAAAAGATTAGCTCAACCCTGGCCCTCTCTTACACCATTGAAGTTCTCTGATGGGCATTTCCAGAAATTCAAATGGGCAGATACACATGCATCTAAAGAGCAATCAGTCACAATGTCAGTGATTCCTAACATCGAAGGTGATATTGGTGATCCTAAGTGCGCTGGAGTGGGACCCATTTGGAAATCTTTCTCCCTTAACCGATGGCACACTGGCTCAGGAAGCCAGCTCAGAATGCGCGATGGAGCTTTACAGCTCCAGTTGAAGAGTCTTCGATTCTGAGCAGTGTATCTAAAAAGCCTAGGCTCAATGCTAGTGTTTCCTTTGGCGGTATAGTGGATAGATATACGAGTCATTCGAACGGAGGATGATGTACGTTCCACACCCAATATCTCTTCAGCAGTGACAGGCACGATATCCTCAGCCCTAAACTCCAAACCAACACCGATTCCCCCAGGCGTGATATTATTAACCGATCGGCAAAATGAGCAAGCATCATCGTCGTCATTGCTGTTGCTTTGGCGATTTGTATATACAAGTTTTCCGTGATCTATTACCGGTGTTCTCTATTTACTTCATTTGTCGAAAGCACAAAGTAGCTCACCAATCACCAAACTTCTCTTCAACGCTTGCTATCAGCTCAATAGAACTGATGATGACTCGCCTCATTTTGTTCCAAATAGAGTATTCCTAGTCTGCTCATGGAGATTGTTGTACAGTTTGATTGTAGCAGTCCTATATGGTTATCTCCGCTAGCTAAAACTTTCTGGACACTTGATATATATGTAAGATGATAATTCACTTTTGGCATTTGCAAAATGATACCTTAAACGACCTTAATGACAAAAGCTTGACACATTTTTTTCAAGTTCATAGAGGAGCATACATATTACTCAACTTGAATCGCTTTCTGATTTGGCACCTGGCCATAAGCCATTTCAACAATCACATTTTTAAACTGCCAGGTCATACATCAACCTCATTCTTTCTCTTAGTTCCGTTCTCTTTTTCAGGCATGTGTATTTCTTTGTGAATAAATTTTATTTTAAAACATGTCTGTGACACATCCATGACTAGCAATATGCGTGTTGTTGGCGAGTTGCTCAGCGTCTTTGAAGCAGGTGGTAAGATGGAGACCCTTTGAACCTTTCTAGTATGTGCTAAGTATAGAGGTCATGTCGTGAATATCCGACTTAGTAACTACGTATTAGTATATTCTCGTGGGCAGTGATTTAGATAAGTCAAACCAAATGAGAACAGCCTTTGGGTGAAGGTGAAGGTCGTTTGCAATCTGATATGCTAAAATTATAGAACTTGACTATGTTGGCCATCTTCTCTTGAGGGCATATAAGTATAAGTTTCCAGAAGGCGATTCTTATATTCAAATTTGACCAAGAAGGAGATTTTATTGAAGGTGATATTCTAGAAACAGATTTGTGAAGAAGTTAAAAAAGGGATAATATAGACATGCTCAATCTCAGTTGATGCTAGCAAATGATTTAGGAATAACTATGCTGAGAAATAACATTAAATCTGACCGGACATTATTATTTCCTCCACGTCAACGACTGTACATTTGTAGACGTGTCCGGTAAGGAGGAAGCTTCTAAGAAACTGTTAAAGAGATTATTCTTGAGAAATGTCTGATTCCCCCTTACCTGTCGCTTGTCCTTGATCAAGAGTTTCAAAGTTGGCTCAATGCTGAGGTGCTTGCCACTTGTGAACTTTCTGCAGATTTCGACTGTTCAGTAGTCTTTTAACTGGAGTGTCTTTTGTGCAGTGTGGGTTTCTGGATCAACCCTGATCTATGAAAATCAGCCAGTGTAAGAGTTTGTCAAGGTGAACATAATCCTAAACATTGGCAACAAGTAAGTTAAATTGAGGTGAGGGCATATCATTGATATCCTGGACCTTGTAGGACAGACAATTGACAGAAAATTATGTCACAATCTAACTTTCGCAACTTTGTTTGCTTTTCATTCCCCTGTTCTGTTTTCTCGAAGATGAATCTCATAGGGCGTTTCACTCTAGTTTCTTGCTGCTTAGGAAGGGATATGTCTTCAAACTGATACTGATGTCACCTGAAAACCTTTGGACTTCAAGCTGCGTTTTCAGTCATGACACACTCTGCAGAGCGTCGTCTAGGTCAAGACGGGGATCATAATGCCACAGGTTGGACCAATATAGTCCAAGTTTAGTTTAAATTCTGACAAACAAAAGGAAAACTGGCATGTGGAAATCACTTGTTGTAGAGTGAAGTTCTCCACTTTTGTAGAGCATGGAGAAGGTAAATCCTTACAGGGAATGGGTGGCCAGGTACAAAAGATCGAAGTAGGTCACATCAGCAGCCTTTGAAGATTGAGAGAGTCTCGAGTATTGAAAGGGCAGTAAGCACTCACAGTACGCTCAAGTTCTCTTGTTCTCAATTGTGAGGATAGCTATAACAATGACAGATAGATCTATGGAGAGTAGCACTCCACATAGTCTGCAAATCTTCACAATAGTGATATTAAATGAGCTGAACTGTATGAAGAGAGATACAGGGGAAGATAATCCCTCGCTGTACCATATCAACCCAGAATCCAATGTGCCGGGGTTGCTGGACCGGAGAGTAGGTGCTCCACACCATGCCTAAATCCGAATACATCGCAACAACTTCGCTGCAGGCTGGCGGTGTGTGTCGTTAGTCAGGAAAGTTTAATAAAATTACTGGGATGGTTCTGAGGATGGTTTTGTAGGGATGGTTGGTTGGTTAATTAAATATTTACCATGCGGCCTCACCCCGGAAAATAAGGAAAAGAAAAAAAACCCACATTTGTGGAATCGACGCCGAAGATATCTTGAGCAGACAGAAAGCCACCGTGGACAAAATGGGTACGGATGAGCCTCACACGAATGCAGCACATTAATTTTCAAAAAATAATAATAATAATAATAATAATAATAATAATAATAATAATAATAATAATAATAATAATAATAATAATAAAATAAAAAAAAGTAAATAAATAAATAAAATAAAATAAAATAAAATAAAATAAGAGAGAGAAGAATATGAAAGAACTTCATTCCATACTCGAAATGACAATTATAGGTGAGATACTCGTATTGCGCTATTGAAAGTGTGGAAGGATTCTTTTCACTTGATATCCACTTGCACGTACTTGACGGCATACATACATGCAAAGTACGTGGATGATTTTGAGTATCCCAACCACCCATTACCACGGACACGAACGGCCCAGATTCCCAGCACAGCGGTCAGACTTCCGCAGCTAGTCCCGACAGTTGGGTTCAGAGCGGCTGGTGTGAGAATCCTTGCAGATGTCCCGTCCCAGTGGTCAGGGTCGCCAAAGAGTCAGTCTTTGGAGAACTGGCTGGAAGTTAGTTCGATGTAAGTTGATGACGTACGAGGAGATTAGGACATCCCATGTAATTATGTATGGTATTTCCAGGGCATGCTACCACTACTTGCTACAAAGCGCCGTAGCTGGCAAAGCCCATATCTAGCTTGCGCTTTACCCAGAGCTGCAGCGCCAATCTCGCTAGGGTATGGGTCGGTTTCTTCTGCTGACGCGGATGTTCCCTGTCCAGTGTTCTCATAAAAGGGATCCGTGATTCCTCGGGTGATTGGGGTTACAGTGCGGACATCGACCTGCGTCTCCCTGTGCTGTTCAAAACAAAATTGAACTCGAAGATGGGTATGCTTAAGTTTGGGGCTGTCCCAGGTCCTAAGAATTCACCAAAGCCAAAGTGGGGAAGAGATTTGTTCTTCAGTTTTGACTTCTTTACGGTGAACCTTTTTTCTTCTCTAGTTCGCCTGTTCCCCTCACTCGGGTCTAAACACACCAGGCCAGATATCTAGCACATCGGGTAGTTAATGGCAAGAGGCCCCACTAACCATTCGGGTCTCCATACTTGGTCATTTCTCGTGGTTCCCGCTTTCTTTGCTTTCTCCCCAGTTTTTGACAAGGCGGACGTCGGTGGCACTGATCGCCTCAGACAGCTGGAGGGACTAGATTTATCGGTGCATGAGTTGCATGAGTGGTACATTTTACAGGGTGAGGATCTGATAGGGAAGGTCATTCCTGTTCAGCTCATACCTTGCACAAAGGTGCTCGAATTCAAGAGGGTTTCGTTTAAAGAGACGACTAAACATGCATAAACTCTTTCAGCGCCACAGTACTCCGCGTTTTTGATCTGCATCGGTACAGAGTGATTATGGATGGAATCTTGAGAGTCTTAAGAAACATTTTCCAGGCTGAGAAGTTATTTCATTCCGGTTATTGTCACTACTGCAACCTGCAACGAGTTAGTGGACGGATACAAGGAAGACCTCTTGCGGAATCTCCATTATTCTTTTGCGCAGGCATCCTTTTTTTGTCGTTTCTCTTGATAAGAAAACAAAAAGGGAGCAGGCAATGTTGAGAATCCAGGTTTGCCATAGACGACATACAAAAACAAACAGATCAAGATCGGCCCGTTGATGGAGGCAACGATCGTTCTCATTTACGCACGCTGGAGACTACATCCGGATTAGACGAAATTCAAAAACCCCGCTTTAGAGAAGCGCCCATTCACGAATTGTTCAAAACTATTCTCTTCTGCCGGGTCTTTGTTCGATTTTCCCTGCCTCATTTATTCCTCTGTCAGGATTTGAATGCTGAAAATAATGCATGTGGGCAGACGTTCAATCAGTTATATATTTGGATTCTGGCTATCGGGCTCTTCCCGCAGCATATTGGTTTGACTACCGGATATATTTGCATTGCAGAAGGCTTGCATATATGCCACTGCCCTGTCGCTGCCTCACAACCCGAGAGCAGGACAAGGGAAAGGGTATTTTTGCATATTCCTTGTGGATATCTGGAGACGACTGGGAGGCCAAACGATTGTCCCCCCTTAATAACTCATGAGTCCTGAGTCCAAGTATATATATGTATATCCCGAGAATCCCAATGGAGACACCGATACCTAAACACTCTGCTGCCAGCGGGCCATGGCCGCATAAGGAATGGCATCATTCGTTGAGAAAAGCGCCCATAGAACGACTTCCTGTCGAACTGATACAGAAAATATTCTTCGAATGTCTAGAAATCAATCTTCCCAGAGCCTCTCTACCCGTAGCCCTCTCATTGTCCAACAACGTTATCTTCACCTGGCTCATCCGGCTTGCCTTCACCAGCAGCAACGAATCCGCACGGACTGACTTCTTTACCAAAGTCTACCTCCCTTTCGAATACTTCTCCCTGTCCACTGAGCAACGAGCGACCCTACAAACTGAACTCCTTAAGTGCCGGTGGTGTAGCTTACCCCTAATGCGGAAATGTCAGCGGGAGCACGTTGAACACGTCCTCCGTCAAAAGTGCAGTCATCTCATCATCTCTCCTACGGGCCGTCAACTGTTAGAAAACCTTGAACCATACTGGCAGTCCATGAACCGCCTCGACCCCCGACCTCCAGGGAGCCGGGGTAGCGGTAACCTTACCATCAAAGCCCGGGAGCCTCAACCATCTCAGCAAGACAAGGCGCAACAAGAGAATGACACGACCACTACCATATCTTCCACGCCCACACCCACACCCACACTCAATCCCGATAACAGCCCCACCGGCACGAGCAATGGAGCCTCAAAAAGCGGCAGAGACATTCGAAAAATCGCCATCTGGTTCAACTTCGGCTCTGTCCAGATCCGCGAACGAAGCCCCATCTTCCAAGAAACAGATGTGTTTCGACTCCCATCTTGTAGCTTCCGGGAGCCCTGCAGGATGCCTGACCGGCTGCTCTGCCCACCCTGGACACCCGAGAAGCTGGAATTTCTCACACTACTATCTACGGAAGCTTATATTGATGAAGACGAACGGCGCGAACGTTCCAAGGCAGTCCTACGCCAAGTAATAGTCGACCGCGATCTAGAAACCTTCAAGCACATGCTAGGTATGAACATCCGCGCTAAGAATTATGGCTATACATTTCCCTGGCCTGTCAGACAGACGCATTACCGCGTTGCGGCTAGGTGTGCTATGTTGCGGGATGACGATCCGTTTTTGAGGATTTTGTTTACGGAGCGCAGGGGGGAGGTTCCTACAGGTGATTCGAGTATTAAGGCGCTCATGGCGAAGTTTCAGCAGAAGGAGAGGGAACGGGAGATGTCTGAGAAGTAATTTAGTTCTTCAAAATTTATCTTCTATGGTTAGGGGTTGATTTTGTGGTTTCCGTTCTTGGTTATGGGTTTTTGCCTATATGCCAAGGGGGCGTTCGCACTATGGGCCTCAAAAAGACTTTCATATCTTGCCCTTTTTCTTTTTGCTTATGAATGTAACGAACCTGGATGAAAGAAATGATTGGTAGATAAAACAGCTTCCCTTGTCCGTCCAACTCCATCCTTAGAAGGATCTATTGAAATAGTGTACATTTACAAGACACTTACTTGTCATGCTATCGTCTGATTTCCCTCAAATGAATTTTGATTTCAGTGTGATCATAGTATTAAAGAGCGCAGGTGTGGGAAAATACTGCAAAAAGCTGGTGAACATAAGGCATGCATGATCTGAAATGTGGTCTGGTTGGCAGGTGCTCTGGTTATTTGCGTGTTTTATAAGCAACACACGAGCATAGCGTAGAGAACACATAAAGAGGGGGAAATCAAGGAGACAATTCTGTTTTTTGATTAAATGCTTTCAGCATAACTCGTTCACAAACAGGTAGAGATATAACCAACAGCATCAGTCAGGAGACACAAAGTCGCCGTGGTATAGTAGGCCTCAGATTGGGGCTGCAGGGGAGTTGTAGAAGCACGGAAAATACGAAATGTTAAATATGCATGAACCACACGTAACTACAGCATATGCACATGTGAAATGAGCCTATGCTATCTCATCACCAACTCAGGCGCCTCCAACCCGGCCACATGCTCTTCCACGTACTTTTCAAAGGCGTTCCACCAAATGTAGCAGTCGGGATCGTCGGGGAAGTCCTCGGGGTGACGGGCAAACCTTGTAGCCCACCCACCCGAGAATAGCGGAGTGTTATCTCGTCTCCGAGCCGGAACGTCGATCATATAATTGAGTAACCATTCCCCAAAAGCGCGGTCTTCTTGCCTCATTGCCCAGGATGTTATTTCCAGATCGTCATATGGGATTGATTCCGCATTCGCGCGTAGCAGCACCTGAAAGAGACCTGGATGCTCGGATTGCCGGGTGGCAGTTACGAAATGTTCGCCGGGAATCCCATAGCGCTCGCCGGACGTCCCATAACTCTCAGGACTCTGAGTATTCTGGGTGCTTGGACTCAGCACCGAAGAGTAGCGATAAGCCCTTTCATCCCATGATAGCAGCATAGAAAGAAGTCCAACATTTTCTAGGGTGATGGCATGATGGATGCAGCCTTGTATCTTGTCTCGTGAAATATCGATCGTTGTGTTGGGTCGAAGATAGTTCGGTGCGGATAGCAAAAAGTCGTGGGGCGCATGCGAGAGGAGGGAATGCAAAAGACGAAATTTCTCTTCCGTCCAAGGCTTCTCCGCGAAAAATTCATCCGGGACCGTCCAAACAATCATCGGGAGGAAATCAGGAGCCCAAAGCACATTGGACATAACGCCCACCCTGTGGAATTTTATCTCCAAGTGACAAGATTGGCCGTGCCGGTCCTTTCCTTTGAAATAGGCTCCCCAATCCTCTGGATTCTGATCGAGGTGCTTGGCCAGGAGATCAAAATCTGGGTTGTCGAGAACCAACCCAAATGAACATGGCGAATCCCCAAACACGAAGTTCTGCAACGTCACCTGAAACACATCACGATGGCACTGCTTCAGAAGGGATAAATTAAACCACCGGCAATTGATAACCTCGGCTTGGAGAGCCTTTTGCTCATTGGGACCCAGGGGGACGTATCCCAGTGGCCGGAGGAAGTTCGAGATATATGCTGCGCTGCGTCCATCATCGGGTCTCGGGTTGTTGTAGAACGCAAGAAACGTCAAAATCCTGAAGACACGCTTTCGGGATAGGAGAGCCCCAAAAGCTGGCGAAGCCCTAGCGAAATTAAACTCCAGTGAAAGCAGGAATATTTTTTCTATCAATTCGACTGGGAGGGCTTCGAGGTGGCCGACCCGCTTGCCTACCATCTTAGCACGACTACCATCACGTAAACGAATTTTATCAGAATGTTTATTATGTTTGGCCGACTGCTTAGACGGGCGAGACGAGCAGGATTTATTCCTGTTCGCTACGCGGGCTTTGCATGCCACATCTTCGACTGCAGATGCTGAAGTTTTGTGTCTCTTGCCCCTGACCCTTATCAATGTTAGATTAGAATTCGGCATCCTTGCTGCGGGCAGTTCACTGAGCCTGCATTGTCGTTGGCGGAGAAGCCGAAATAGGAAGAAGAAGAAGAAGAAGAAACATGTCCCTTATTCCGGACCTCCCGTTGCCTGTGCTCTTGGGGTTTCCATGGTCTGTCTCCATAACAGTAAAAAGGAGAGCCCAGAAAGTCTGTTAAAACTACGGAGAAGTTGAAAAAAAAAAAAAAAAAAAAAAAAAAAAATGAAAGCCCTGACAAAGTTCCGGTTAGTGAAACTATGTTTCTTCGGCGGCCAACATAATCTTACAACTAAGCGAGGCTAGTTACCTTTATCATTGTGCATGTTATACCTAATTAACGAGTTATAATATAGTTACCTAGTTAAATAGAACTGTACGTTGACTACGGCTGCTTTGATGAGGTTACTCCCTATATTTACGTTTAGATCTCGGCTAGGCAGTTCAATACACGCAAACAATATTCTCCTAATAAGAATAGCAATCACATAACCAGTTGAGAGAAGATTAATCGTCAAGCAGATAAATGGCGGGATTAAGAGACGTGTTCTGAGATACACTCTACGGTTTCGATTGGAGTGGTGTGATGCCGTTGAAAAAAAAAAAAAAAAAAAAAAAAAAAAAAATCTAGAATGTGGTATAACGCGACTTTTACTCTGAGGATGGGGAAGGTTTGGAGAGTTTTCGCGGAGACTCGGGGCATACATCACAGCGATTAGGAAAATTCCGATTACAGAAATTGTCAGACATTTTCTAGGCGTCAAGACCTCGTTCTGCCTTCGCATGGTCCTAATCAGTGGAATTCATCCGATCGGGAAATCCATCGCTTTTACACCCTTTTCCCAGACTTTAGGTAGTGTGCCATTCTCTGCTTGAGTTGCGCTATTGAAAACATCATGTGGATGGAGTCCGGGAAAGATTATCGAGGAATGGAGCAATAGTGGGAAAGAGAATCACTTCTAATACAAAACATAAATTCTATACACATCTCGTCCGGGGAATTCTGGAGTCGATAATGCAAATGACCAGCGGAGCCACATCCACATCAACACCTCACATCTCTCATACACGCCTTTCACGCACTCCTTTTGGCCAACCCTGCTCTATATGTGACATGTTATAGATATGGGACAAATACCTTTGGAGGGCAAAGCAAAAAGATAAAATAACCGAATGGGGAAAGAGAAAACCCTAGTTCACACGAAGGAAATGTCCCCGAATCGTTCCTAGTAGTATCAAAAACGATTTAGCATTAGAATTGTCCAATAAGTTTGAATTCCATTCTGTGTTGATTGGATGGAATTCCGGAGGGCTACTAGGGTCCTGGTATTTGTCCCTAGATGAGGGGGAGGGAATTGAAAAAACGAACCTTGTATCCGGGGGGCATCCATTTGCCCTTGGAGACCAATTGGGAGGTCTTCTCGAGGATATCCGGTCGAGCCTTGCTGATATCGTCCTATGTGTGGGAAAAGAGAAAAGAAAAATATCCCATTAGCATCCCATATCCACATATAGATTACCAACAACAGAAACCAACGGAGAGGTTGGAGAGGTTGAAAACATACGACCGTAAGATCCTCAAACGGCCTAGCCGTCTCGATATTCGCCAACGTCTTCTCGAGACTCTGCAATTCAAGCTCAACCTTGTCCTTCGTCTCCTCCGCGCCCTTCATCGCCTGAGCCTCGAACGCCTCGATGGCCTTGAGCTGTCTGTTGACGTCGAAAGTGGAGGGAGTGAACGACTTGAAGTGCTTCTCGATCTCGTCGACAACGGCCTGGTTCTTCAGCACGCTGCGGTAGTGCTCGAAGTCGACCGTTTGGGGCTGGTCGGAGAGAACCTGCACCTTGCGGCGGGCATCATCGTTGCGCTTCTTGAAGGCGGCGAGGGAGGCGGCGGTCTGGCCCCGGAGTCCGAGGGAAGTAAACACTTTCGCCCAGTCGAGCTTGAGAGCTGCGCTCCGCTGTTGAATTGCAAGGTCAATAGGGTTAAAGAGATTGGCTCGGTTCGTTCAGGGCTGGGGGTTTTCGAGTGGGACGGGGATATGGGATTTGTTGGTAGATTCGAGGGGAGGGATGGGAGCGGATAATGGGAGAGATAGATTGACTTACTGCTACAGTCATTGTGATTCTAATTGTGGAGTTGATGCGGTGATTGACCTGGGTTTCAATGTGCACAGTCGGAATTTGGGAGGGGAATGAGGTTGTTTCGACGAGAAATGGCGAGAATCAATGAGTCACGTGATTCACATTTAAACGGTTGGCTTGGCATCAAAATCGCGGGTATGTCATTGTGAAGCAAATGCTCTTAAGGAATCGAAATGGGGAACATGCAGATGCAGGGATTTAGACTGAGAGAAGGCTGATGGATTCAAATACGAGTTATTTGGAGTCTGATTGTACACCTCCTTGCTCCTCCGCAGCGGTTTAGACTGCATAGTGAGGAAGGAAAAAAAGGAAATCATAATCTAGCTCCTAAAAAAGAGACAAGGGCTTTCGTTTGACATTGTAAAAATGTTTTGGTAAAAGTACTGAGAAAGGAAAAGGCACAGAACACAAAACATGTATATTACGGGATTATACGCTCAGTGCCATGATAGAATTGACAATGTCGTTATCGTTCTCCTTAAGAGCCCTGATAGCCTTCTTTCGTGATACAGACGCCTGGGCCATAACCAGCTCAATATCCTTGGCCTCCAGTCCGCTCTCATCGACCTCTTCTCCGTCATCTTCCTCATCGTCCTTCTTCTCAGCAGCCTCGTCAGTCTTGCCCTTGACGTGGTCGTGATCGTGCGCGTGGTCGTGGCCGGCGTGATCGTTGCCAACAGCTTCGGCAGCAGCGAGTTGCTGAGCAGCAGAGGCCTGGGCCTGGGAGTTCATATCCTCGATCTTAGCCTCGCCGAAGATTCTTTTAAACAACATTAGCCATATTTTCTATCTCGACCTTCTGGTGCGCAAAATGTAGGGTTGCAACTTACATCCAGGTGTTACTAGAGGGGGATCGGTAGACGTCTGGTTGGTTGATGACAAAAAGGATCTAGAATTCACAAACGACATCAGTACGCAATCATTTTATAGAACAATGAACAGCCTAATTTTCTAGACAGTTCGGTTTCCAACGTGCTCAGGATAAACAATAAAGAAAGTCATATTGCCTACACCCTTCGGTCTGCGGAGAGTAACGCGAGTGATGCCGGGGACATGCTTCAGTCCCAGCTTTCCAATGGCTTTCCGGGCCTTCTTCTCGTTGCGGGAGTGGACGGTAACAGCGCTTCCACCTGGGATGCTGGGCTCCTCAGCACCCTCAGCTTCGGACTCTGAGCTATCAGCGGCATCTTCGACGGTGGTCTTGGGGGCGACATCATCGTCGGGAAGCTCCTCTATCCGGGAAGAAGACATGGTTGGTTTTAAGGAAGCTGAAGGTTGCTGCCAATCGCCGCAAGGTTGTCAGTTTGGCAATTTTTGTTGAATGTAAATTTGTTGGGCGTATGTGGGTTAGCCGTGGCCCCACGCCTGTGTGCCGCACGTGATATTTATCACGTGATGTGGCGTAGATAACCCAATCCTACATAAATTTTGTCTATATTTGAGAGCGTGGGTGTCACCACCCACCCTCCTTTCCACCCCACAGGCCGAAATTGTATGTCCAAACTGGGAGCGATCATTGTATCTCAGGTTCAGAGAAGATGCTAGCACTTCCTTTGGTGATACACTGGAAATAGGGAAGGGTTGAGCGAGGTGAAGTTATATTTTGACGGGTAGTTCTTATTCTGCGGTGGGAGCTGTTTGAGCTTCCTGAGAACCTGACCTGGAGACCTTGCAGAATATTTTTTGTGAGAAAATAAGCAGCCCTCTTGTCTAAAATATTTGAGCTGGCCATCGCGCCAAATAGCAGTGAATGGACAATAAACATTTTTACAATCGCAACGCGATTTAAGCTTATGTTCTCATAACCCGCGAGCAACGACTCGTTTATACGGCATGTACTTTTATGTTTTGGAATTGATCTGTAACCGTCTTCTGAACTAATCACGGAACCAATTCTATATTGAATTGATAAATTGACAGGTATAATGTTAAGGTCAGTAAGAAGTGTTTTGGCGGGCCATATCGTCGGTCGGAAAATTCCAATCGCATGATGGTCACGACTAGTGTGGGCGGAAAGATGTGCGTGCACAGTGGAATAGGGAACATTAGGGGGATGCTGATATCATTATGAAATTCGTTATCTCAAGATCGTTGAAACGGGAGCACGGGAGCACGGGAACGGAAGTTCCCAAGAAGTTGTCCAATGTGCCGTGTATTGTATGCTGAATTAAGAGAGCAAGACGGAAAATTAAGAAAGTAAAATTAATTGAACGATTTCGCCGTTTCAAATTCTGAAACGAAATTTGTTTACAGCAATTTTCAGGAACAAAATGGATATCGAGCGTTTTCTTCACCCGGTCGCCAGAACCCATATATCCCCATTTTCGGCCCTTTTCAACGCCCGCACAACAACCAACACTCCATTAAACCCGTTTATGAAGAGGAAGCGCGGATTTTAGCATGTGCCTTTTGCACTTCATAGCGGGCCTGTAAAAAATAAAAAATAATAAAGAAAGAAAGATAAATTAGTATACTTCGTAATGGAAGCGTGTGGGGTTCACGAGTGATGAAGAAAGCCAAATTCGTCGATAGATTTCAAAATTCCCCAAAGTCATATGTCCTCCACTCTGCATATAACCCGAGACAAAACAGCGCAAAACACACCTGTTTCTTCAATCTCATAACCTTGAACCGCTCAAAATCGGTCAAGTTTCGTCTCCGGTCAGTTTGTTCCTTCTTCTTAGCAAACAAGCTGCTGGCCCATTTGGAATCGATCTCCTCCTTCTCCCAAAGTTTTTTCACGGGTCCGGTGCCAGCGGAGCGGGGGAGTTTGGGAATGGTGAAAGGTGTGAGGGTGACGTGGGAGAGGGAGATGGCATGGCGAGGAACGACTTTGTTCTCATGACCGGCGGGACCATCGACCAAGACCTGCAAAAGGGAAATTCCACCAAAAGTTAAAAAGTCGTACTTCCGAAAAAAAATTACTTTTTTGCAACCACGACTATTATTATAGAGGAATGTAGTAACTTCTTTCTTCCTTTCTCTCCCTCCGAAATTAATGGACTTATAGGTCACATACGCGCTTGTGGTCGATAATCTCAACGATAGCAGCCAGCTTGCCCGTGTAAGAACCGCTCCGGATCAGCACAATACGGCCGACCTCAACGAGCTTCCATGACGAGGTTTTGATATCGACTTGAGCCATGGCGTTGAAGGGCTACCTAGATCGCAAATGGGAGATGCCGGACCGTTAGTCTGGCGGACAAGCAACAGACGATATATCCAAGTCGGACCGAGGGCAGCGGGAAAAACGGATAAAATGGGCGGAAACTCACAATCGACCGGGTGTGGATAGGCGTAGGGGTTGAGAAGGGGGAGAACTTGTCGAACTGTCGATGCCGTCGTCGTCGATGTGTTGGGCCTGGCTGGTATCGCGAATTTCGGGTTGGTCGCAGCAATAGTTGGTTGCCCACAAAACATCTCGCTTAATTGCCCCAACTAGGGCTGCCGAATGCAGGTTAGCCCTGTTTAGGCGAAACTGTTTAAAAAGGGCAATTCTCAGTTTTCTCTTGTTTAATCTTTGAACACCTCTTCTACAGAGGGTTTTATTTATAAACCGAGCTCAACTAATAATTCCCGTGGATACATATGCCTCTCTTACGCCTCATTTCAACGGGCTGCGATGACGGTGTTGCAGGGTAGGAAGTGGCCCATTGCGATGGATGCGTTGATTGATGGAAGTATTTGCTACAGAATACAAGCCATCGATGATAATGGCATCTGCTAACAATCCACGCTGTGCAACTACTTGACTAGTAACTGGTAAGCAAATTATTTTCCCTTGTATTTACTCCTCCTTTCTCCTCTCTGTGGCCTCATATGATGCGGTAATTTGCGGTTGATCCGTTCACTGTGAAGCTCCCGCCAGAGCTTCAAATAGCAGTTTTCGGCCGTGATATTCAATTTCTTACATATTCTGAACCTTTGCCCCTCCCTATCGCTTATTCGATGATTCACTTTATTCATTGAAGCATAGACTGATATTTTAAATGACAATAGATATCAATAGATCAATATTCTCCATGCTGTTTATACCCACGAACTTTCGGGGTTAGGCGTTTATCTACCAGATATAATTCTACTCTAACATGGGTAGATGAATGGCGAAAGGGGCCTTTTTCCAACATCATCTTTTGCTGGGTGAGGTGTGTATAAATTATATTTCTCTTACTACCCCTTTTGTCCGGTGATGACACCCTTACGCACTAGATAGTAGTTGATGCCTCCGGGCGATGATAGTATCTTTTACACCAAGATCGCTGAGGACGCTTTTTAGTATGATCTATGTTGGACCTTTTCAAGTTGTCAGCTTTATACTTATTATTTCCAAGCATTTGATCCCTCTAGGTTTCTATCCCACGACTTTGGATCGGGCTATTGTGTGTGAATCCCGAACCTGGAAACCGCCGGTGAATATTGGGTCTTATTTGTACCGATCTCCCCTCTGTGTCACCGCAGTTGGCGTAGATGGCCTGTCTGCAAAGGGAACGACTCTACACAGTTGGGGTACAATCTAAAAGTATACCTTTTTGAGCGGAGCATGTTTGATGCCAAAATTTCAGTCTACACAATACCCACGTTCCCTTTCCCCCAAATGCTTGAACCGTGCTACCTTTCATTAGGTTTAGATGCAATGGATAATATTACAGACTATCGGGCATGGTCGTTTTTGTTCCTCGTTATCCATTGATGCGACAATCAAGTCAACTACGGTCTCGTGTTGTCATTAGCAGCTACATTATTTTATTTCGTGTTGGCTCCAGGAATTTCTCCACTACTATGAATCCAGCTATTCCAATTTCATGCTTTTAAAATGGACTAGTATCTCCAACCTCAATTGAGAAAGCTTATTTCATCTTCCACGGGGAACCTATCTTTCGTCTGTTTTCCGGGTTACAAAGCCACTTGTATTTCTTACATGTGTTTGTTCAGTCTGAACAAAGTACTCTTATTTCAAATTCATACGTACTTTTTCCACAGCATGCTGCAGGCGCAAATGTCATGGGGGATATACGGTATAGGAAAACTCCTATCCAATCAACACATCTCCGTATGGATGCTTCGCGGGGTTGGTGCTTTTAACCCACGGCCTGAACCCCTGATGTTAATCAGACGCATCAGAACGTCCTGACACATACCCGTGAGGAGGGCAACAGGTATATAAAAAGACGAGTCAGGAAGCAGAGCATAAACCTAACCACAGACCATTCTAAGCTCCCACTAAAATGGCGTGTGTGTGTGTGTGTGTGTGTGTGTGTGTGTGTGTGTGTGTGTGTTTGTGTGTGTGTGTGTGTGTGTGTGTGTTTGTGTGTATCAATGTTTATTCGTGGCACAGCTGCTCTACCCCGTGGGACGAGTAACTGTCGCTCTATCAAGGATCTACATGTTTCTAGATTCTCTATAGAAATTTTACCTACTTTCTGCTCCGTCTCTCACTCCCCTATATGCGTGCAATAACACATTTAGCGAGGGCGAATAACACCATGTCTTTGTCGTCTGATGCTGCTCTTTATTATCTTCTATTTCCCTCCGAACTTGGTTCATTCCGTGACCGGTTAACTTTCTTTTCCTACATCTTGCCGATCTCGTTCTCTGTTTTGCTCCTATCAACTCAACCAAGCTCCATTGCTCAACACGATGGTAGACAACTCCCTGCCGGGCTGGGACAAGGGCCTCCAACCCCTCAACGCCCTTGGAGTTTTCTACGTGGGTTTCGACATCGTCTGGACTCTCCTCGTGCTCTGGGGCCTCATCGGGCTTTGGTGTAATAAGACAGTTCCCTCTGTCCGTATGCGCAATGTGCCCCTGGCTACCTGTTCGGTCATCTTCTTGCATGGATATGGGGGATTCTACATACTTGCCTATCCTCTCAAAGGGGCTATCTCTTGTGGCCTCGAGTTCTGGTTTATGTGTGGAGTACTACCCATTGGAATTGCTCTGTTCCAGGCTTCTAACATCCAACTGCTGAACGTGGCAACTCTCCAGCAGCGTTTCCTCAAAGATGATGGCACCACCAACGATCCCACGCCAGAGGAAATTCGCTGTCCATTCAACAAATTCAAGTGTTGGTGGACACATCTGACCTGGGCTAAGCAGACCATGTTTGGAATTGGGTTCGGGATGTTTCTTGAGGTGCGGTTTCCAACTATTGCGCTCAGCTAGTGAAGAACGAGAAGATTTCGTCTTTATGCTGAAATTTCCTTAGCTCGCTTCATCTCTACTCATCTACATAGGGTCCCGAAAATTCAATTCGCATGGGCTGTGGTCGAAGTATGAGAATCGTTTGCAGTGTAGACAAGGCACTGAATGGTAGGTAGTAGACCTCCCATCTCGCGCAATGTGTTCATGTGGATGATTACCTGACAGGACACTCAATCAGGCTTCCAACCATCATCTGGCAGTTCTTTTGGTCTTGGATATTTGCACCTTGTGTATTATTTAAGATCCGGAATATCAAAGATGTCCATTGTTGGCGTTTGCAGACATCACTTTGCATCGTTGCTGGGTAAACGAACCATCCCTTTGAAGTTTGAACTGTTATTGATCGCTCTTAATTGCCAGATTAATTGCTCTTCCAATGTGGCTCGGGTCTCTGTATTCTCCGAACCTTTCATACCGTCAAATGAACACTTATTGGGGCCCGCCGCTGTGGTAAGTGATGGAGCATTTCATTCACTGCGCCAGCCCCAACCCCCCTTTCTCAGGAGATATTCCGGTTAACTTTTGTAACACATGTCTTCGTTCAAACAAATGCAGGTTTCTACCTGGTATCATGATGATGGAGCTCGCAACACTTTTTTTCCCATTTTACGAGGTCATGTTTATACGGAAGATTCAAGCCCGTGCCTCACAAACAATGGGAGATTTTGAAGTTCTCCGAAGCTCCAGCTCTCTCTCGAAAAACAATAATCGCGACTACAGCCTCGCAGCACTAGAAAAGGTTCTAGACAGCGACTCCCCGCGCTTCCTCCACTTCGCCGCTACCCACGATTTCTCCGGCGAGAACATCATGTTCCTCAACCACGTTCGAGACTGGAAAGCAGCCTGGGGCCGATCTCCAGCAAACCTGAAGCTCAAAAAGCCAAATGCGGACGAAATGGAAAGCTATCGACGCCACTTATACAATGTCGCGATCGAAATCTACGTCACGTATGTCCACCTCTTTGGAGCAGAATTCCCCATTAATATCGAGTCAGATATCTACCGCGACCTGAAAAATGTCTTTATGCCTGCAGCTATGACACTCATGAAGCTTCCTAAGCGCAAACCCAGCCAAAGCGGTATCTGCCCTGTAACCAGCGACATCGAAGCAACCGCAGGCAGTTTTCTCGTCCAGTTACCCCACGACAACGACCAAAACGAGCAAAAAACCCCTGCACAAGAATACGAAGACATCTTGTACCGTGGGCATCAGAATATTATCAATATGGTGCCCCGCTTACCTCCGAATACACTCATACCTGATTCCTTCAACGAGAACGTTTACGACAGAGCGGCTGCCTCGGTCAAGATACTGGTTCTACGTAATACGTGGCCCAAATTCGTTGACCATGAAGCTTCGATTCGTAAGCGGGAGACAAAGAAAGATCTCTACACACGTATCGCTATGTGTTTCCATGGGCGGGAGGCACCAGGTATAAAAAATTAATTTCTGCTGCCCCAGACGAGTCCATGGCAACTGCTTCGGAGCCTCTTTTTCAAGGTATCCGGATTCAACAACGTTACTCGGCTCTGGAAAACTCAACGCGATGCGACGGAACGAAATTACCATGAGAAACGAGTTTGAAGATACGAGACTTCTCAACCTCTTTGCTTGCCTCACATTACGATTTCTATGGCTTTATTCCCAAGTCTGCATCCCCTTATTTGTTTTCTGTGTTTGTGTCTTTTGTTCAGTGAGGGGGAATATGGCATTTCCTGACCGGTTAGGGTTGCAATTAATTGACGGGAGAATTGGTTAACAACTGAAATACGGGATTTTCTCGAGGACGTCAAAGACGGAAAATTCTTCCATCATATTATTCACCCATAGTTTCCCCCGTATCCCCCTAAATCCTTCTCACCGGTGTATTTTCTTGTATTGTGTTTTGATGTTTACAACCTCAAGTTGAAAGGATTCTGATAGTTCACTAGACATGATGCTCGCTTTGATATATCTAATCTTGCCCCTATTAGCCGACAAGAACACCTCTGTATTCGCTCGGTGTAATCAGATGATATTTACAGCAGCTTAGTTTTTAGCACAAAGAGCAAACATTCCATATTTTCCCTGTTTTCTCCATGAGCACCTCACATATAAAGAAGCTAAGTCCTTTGTCATGAACTTCTAATGTCTAACTATGGTGTAAGATGGGTGAGACATTTATACATAGATGATTGCAGGGAGATTTAAAATAACTATACCAGTGTCTATGTCAGAGCCACAATGCCTTTTGGACGAGGTTGGCAAAGTTCCGGGTTCCACTATATGGTATCGAAAAGACCCACAATTAGTATAATGGTAGTCCAAAAAGAAAATCCATTATATTTGATATCTGATCATATATATACCTGGCTCAAAATCGAGATGCTGAGGAACATGTATGTTTTCTGATCTTTGAGACATTCGACTGCCCCAGAAGAAAGCATTCGCAGATACGTATTTTCCTACCGGAAGTTCTTGAATTAAGAAGGAAGTTGGATAAGCCCAGAGAAAGATATCCAAAGAAGAAAACACTAGAGACCCAGCTGCAATGGGATCCGACCATATTCTAGTTAATCCATCGAGCGAGAGCAAGTAATTATTCCGGTTGTAGAAGATTAGGAGATAAATGAAAGTGATGTGGACGGGACGGTGAGGGGATGGGTTTACCGTTCTCCGCCCGGAGCCCAAACACCGCTGCGCTGGAGATAATGGTCTTATCCATGAAAACCAAAGCATACGTCGCAGAGAGCAGTGGAAGGATATGCCAGCCAATTTGGCGGATAACCAGTTTGGAGAACTGCAGATCGAAACTGGTAGTTAGTTTGTTGTATTCGTGTTTTCAGCCCCTGGATTCCTCTTGTATAGTTAAGGGAGGCAGGCATCCTTTTTTGGTGAAAGCTTGTCCGGCGAGATTCTCTGGCGTGGACCTTGCATTGACACGCGCATAACGAATATACCCAAGATGAGTTTGTAGTAGTTCAATGAAGGGCGGGGGGAAGTCCTTCGGTTTTGCTGTTGATACCAAGAGATGTACATCCATCATCGAGTAGTTCCTTTCATAACCCTCGAGATCTTCGTGGCCTCCCCTCAACGCCCAATGTTATGTTAGCAAACATCTCGAAGCAGATGTGCAGTGAGAGCCAAGAGCCAAGCTATTTATTTGGGGAGGATGATGTTTTACGAGTTCCACAATGAGTGATGGAAAATCCCAGAATTGGGGGAAGCCATCATTTGTTATTCTGTTGGTTGTGATACGGAGTGTTCTCTGTATGTAGAACTGCTTGAAAAAAGCAATACCGATGAGACCAGAAACCAAGCCCAAGATGCGTTCCAACATCACCCAGGAATAAATATTTCCTAGGTTTAATTAATAATAATAGTTATTCAGTTGTTTTTGGTCATGCCGCGTGGCTTAGGGGACGGGTAACCATGTTATATTATGTAGTGTACGTTAAATGTATTTGAGATGATTGGAACACCACCAACTGGTGCCCTCCTCCCTTGGGATTACGTCAATTGCGGTTCTATTTGCGCATTAAAACTATTGACTCCCCCGTCGCTGCGTTGGAAAGTTGCTTGGGAAATAAGATTCACCTCGCATTCATCTTACTCTAATTCCTAGGTCCGGTAGTTGAAGTTGTATGTGGACAAGCAAAAGCGATTCACATAGCCCTGGAAAAGGGGAAATGGAAAATGGAATACTCAACGCATCAGGGGTAATATACGAAGGGACCTGTGGACGGGTTTAGACGTCATCCAACCTCCCCGTAACCTGCCAACTCTAAGGATATGTAACGGGCAAAATTCCTTTTAAGGAGCAGAAAAGCATTAATCATGGTAGAACAGGTATGAGCCATCCGTAGGCCGTTGTTCTTATGCGCATATTCCGCGTCTGCTGAGGGAGTTCTCACTGAGACAGAGAGAGAAAGTAAATTTCTAAATACAGAAGGGGAAGGAAATCATCAACAATCGTACCGTTACATTATGAGAGAAGAACAAGCACACCGAAAGTAAACCTCCAAAATCCTGGAAAAACGAAGGAGACAGTCCATGTAGTATATGTAAACCACATATATACACGACGGGGACGATAAAATGAGAGGGTTATTATATAATCTAACACGGAAGAACGCCCGGGTGAGTAGTAAGAAAACGATGCTGGAGACCAAGAGGATGCTTCTGCGTATGAACCCAATTTACGATTTGCCTAAAGGAACAACAAATGAAAAGAGAGAGGAAAAGCCAGGAGAAAGGAAACACTCAATTAGAACTTTCTTCATCATCAGATTTATAATGATCGTCGTCGGAATTGCGAAATCCTGTTGCTTCCATGTTGCATGATCTGATGCCGAAACTTAACAGGAAGCCGATGAAGGCTACGCCACCAAAGATGCCAAAGGCCATCGCCTCGCCTTTGGGTTTTACTTGAGTTGCTAGGGTAAAGAGACTCCCGGACAGAAATGGTCCGATCGTTCGCCCAGCTGCGGACAGAGTTTGAGCTAGGCCATTCAGGGAGCCAAGGACCTGGTTGTTTGGGGCAGAGTTGGTGATCTGTGCGGAGTAGTTAGTTAGGGGGTCAGTACCGAAATGACCAGGAGATGTTTCGTGGAGCTTTTGAAAAAAAAAAAAAAAAAAAAATTGTAGTGATTACCAATAGCAAAGCGCTGGTTAGGCCACCAACAGTTGCGACGGTCTTCACAAGCAACACGGCACACATTTCTATCGCGAGAATGACGTAGCTCTTTGATATTTTCCCATTAGGTGCAGCGGTATCTTTATATCCGACAAACGGCAGTAGAAGAAATGAAATTACGAATCCCAATAGGCTGGCTCTGTATGACCATTTATTCCCCATTTTGTCTCTCAGCCTTCCAAAAATGAAAATCTGGAATATGATGGTAACAACGCCCGCAAAGGCGAGTGACAGTCCAATGTCGTGAGGTTGAAGTCCGCGACCTGTTGGCGGAGGCGCTTCAGCAAAGATGGGGTACAGAGAGTTGAACGCGACGTTCGATAGTGCAAATATCAAATATGTAAGGAGTAAGAGGATTGTGTCTCTATTGAAAACCCCATCATGATCGAGACCATTTGAGTAATCTCGGAGGTGGAACAGAGGAGAGTTTTCCGACACGGAATCGGCATCTGTATCGGTTTCATCGCCTGACTCTGTATGATACGTTTGTCGTATTGCGCTGTCGGAGTAGTGCCGGTAACTGGAACCCTGAGATCGCAAGTATGTCGGCCGTGAGGAGCTCGTGAACTGCCATAACCAACTGAAAAGATCTCGAACTCTCTTTCCAATTTCGGGAAAGGTGCTAGCGTTCTCAAGGCTTTCGTCCAGGTATATAAATGTTAAGACAGATTCCAAAGTTAAGACTGCTGCTGAGACGAGGTTGGGGATGAGGTAAGGATAGTCTTCATTGACCTGACTGGCATTTGAGACCAGGAGGCCACCAACAATTGGTCCAATGATTCCTCCAATTCCATATATCACTGGGAGATATGTAAATGCTCGTGACTGATTGCTGCGATCTGTAATCTCACCTAAGCAGGTAGCGACCACGCCCTGATTCCCGTTGACCAGTCCCATCAGAGCCTGCACAAGGATGGCCTGCCAAAGAGTCTTGCAGAAACCAAAGGCCAAGAAACAGGCTGCAGTGAGAATCGCGCCCGATAATATGACAGGTTTTCGGCCGATGCGGTCTGATAACCAGCCCCAGAAGAAATTTGTCGCAAACTGCGCCAGCGCAAAAGCAGATGCAATTATGCCCACGTACATCCCAACCTGGTCATGATGTACACTTGGAAAAGACGCTGCCATCTGCGGGAGATAGGGACTTATAGAATTGAAAGCGGTTTGTTCGCAGAGGGAGATGAAGGCAAGAATGGCCATTTGGCCCGTAGGCAATGGCGATTCCGCCATTGAAGATTCGGATTCGCCATTGCTGTTAGATGAATCCGACTCGCTTGATAGGGGCCGCCCACGAGATTTGGGAGGAGGGGTCGAGAAGGTGGTGTATTGCTGTGTTGAAGAGCGGCGTCTGTCCACTGGTTTCGGTGTAGAGGGCATAGTTGCCGACGTCGACTTCGAGGTCACGGAGATAGAACGCAATTAAAAATGCGGAGTGAACGTTGAAAATGGAACCCCGTGTCTGGCCTGTTCACTGTCAACCCTTCCGTTGCTGAATTTGCCGTCTCTTGAGTAACTGCTGGTGAGGATCCAATCAACGTCGATAGTCTTGTTAAGACGATGAGGTCAGAAACCGGGCGTCTCCGGGCAATTGGTCAACTTCGTCAATAGCGCCCACCAGAGGCGCTGCAATTCTCATTCTTGATTTTTACATGGCCATGACCTCACCTAATAGACAGACAAGAGGGGGGGCGATATTCGAGATGACGCAGGAACAGACGGCCGGCCTATTGGTCGGCCACCAAACAAGATGTATGTGGTTGAGCCGCAACTCAACCTGATGATCAAGATCGTGTCTCTGATACAGTGATTCGAATATTCCAGTAGTTAAGGCTTCTATGGTAGATTTGTCGGGAAGATATTGCGGCAAAATACCAGATAGATGCTGATCCAAAAGAAATGCTCGGAGGAAGGTCGGGCCGAGTGCGCCGCCTCAAACTCAACCCTGGATTAATAATCGTGCCGCTGCGCAACCCACACCTTGTGTGGGTGCACCACATCAAAATGATAAAAATCTTGCAATTTCATCATTTTTGTCATCTTCATCAATTAATAACTCACCACAATGTCAAATAAGGATAAAAATATTGAAGATAATATTCAAAAAACTGTCACTTATCATTAAAAAAACTCAAATTTTAAAATATTATCTTTGTCATAAGAATTTAAATTTTTTATTAATATTTCTGAGTATATATTAATGGAAAAAATCTAAATACTGCAAGGATTCCAGTTAACAAGAGATTAAATAAAAGTTAAAAGGACATGATTAAATGATGAGTCAAGCTATTTGATGAAAAGAATTATTCTCTCATAATTGAATATATTGAAGATTTCATAAATTTAATGCTTAGACATTAGTACATAAATTCTACTACCTTTTCTTTAAAAGTCAGCAAGATGTGAACTTATAAATTCATTGAATGTCTATCTGAGAATAAAAGAGTGAAACAGATATCAATGAACTTAAATAAAATGATAGTTGAAGATATTGAATATATTAATATATGATTTGAATATCTTCAAATTCTATTTGAGCAATATCAATTTTACACCTATGATATATATAACTTTGATGAGATTAAATTTTAAAAAGGACAAAAATGTGAAGAATGAGTTATAACTACTTTTAAAAAGTTAATTTCATCATTTCTTTATTTTTTTCAAGAGGTTTGATTATAGTTATTGAATATGTATTCATAAATAATCATATTATTTCATTATTGATAATATGAGAATACTAAAATAAGTAAATTAAGTATCAAAAGGAAGCGTGAAAAGCTCTATAACTAAGATTATAAAAGAGTAGATATATAGATACTACAAGTGCTATGAAGTGAAAAGAATAGTGATGAATGAAATATATATGTAGAATTGAATAGTAGCTAATCACTAAATCTCTTAAAGAAACTTTGAAGATTCAGAGTATTTATATACATAAATGAGTAGCAATAGATTTTATCTCCAATCTTTCATGAAATGAGAAATTAGTAATGTAGTGATCTAAATCTTTATGAAGTACTAATTCTATTCTTCAGGAAATGCTGATCTGTACTGATTCTGAATGCTGAATTTTGAGATAATACTGATTCTCTAGAAGGTACTGATCCTAAAGTGCTTTGATAAGCAGTATGAAGATAAGTGCTTTAGTAAGTGAGCATGATAAGCAGTATGAGGACCTAGAAAATCCGATTTTAAAATGTTTTGATAAGCAGTATGATAAGCAGTGTAAGGACAAGGAGCTAGTATAGAGAGCTTTGATATTACAGATAATTTTGATCTTCAAAACACACTTAAAGAATTGATATATATAGATAGATTTTCTCAATAATTATAGAATTGCTATATCAGATATTGAATTTATAAATAATGAAATTGAATTTAAATAATTTAAATATTTTAATACTATTATAGAAAAGAGATAAAAAAGAAGTTATTAATTATTTTTAATAAATAATTATAAATCTCATATCACTGAGAAGTTCATATAATATGTGAATCTTCATAAGATAATTCTATATAAATTTTCATTGCATATTACTCATTTACTATAATCTCTGAATAGTTTATTATTTCAGAAATATAAGTATTATCATTCAAAAGCAGTCAACTACACTATATATTATAATCTTATTAAATATGAAAAATAGCAGTTTCTATAAAATCTTTTAACTATATGAAAGTAGATCTTTAAATCTGATATAATAGCTGCAGAATGAGTTCAATATGATATATATTTATAAAATTCTAACTGAGTTCTTGATACTATTAAGCAGTGAATCTCATCATCTTCTTCATTGCAGATTTATGAAGATGAGAATAATTCAAATCATATATCTATCTCTTCTTCTCAGTTATTCTCATCAAAGATAATTCAAAAGCTGAAATATCATATTAATAATGCAGAAAACATCATACAAAGTATTAGAGATACTCTTGAATTGAAATCACTCATCTTGACATATTGTTTGAATATAATATTCAAAGTAAATCTAATTTATGCAAAACTTAATGAGCAATATATCACTGAATTAAAGAACTTTCTCAACATCAGTAAATGTCACAGAGCTAAAACAATTCATCATCAGGTTCAAGAAGAGGAAGTTTTCATTATTAAAGATGTCAATAGAAAAATCAAGCAGTGTAAGAATAATGAAGCTGAAAATAAGCAGAATAAAAAGTGATAGAGACTTGAAGTTGATTTTATGAAAATTGATAATAATTCACTCACATCACTGACAGAAGAGGAATTAAATCAACTTAGAGATGACACACATACTGAGAATGATGTAGATAATCTTTTTATTCTAGATTAGCTACTGGTTGTTGATATAGAGTGCAATAATGAGGATGTGATTTAAGATTTTTATCATTTTGGTGTGGTGCATCCACACGAGGTGTGGGTTGCACAGCGGCACGATTAGTTACTGTTATCTATTGTTGTTCCAATGTTCCAGCAACCACATTTAACCTGTCGGCGCATAGCTGAATTCACATAATACGAAACCCCAATTCAGTTTCCTGCCTTGTCCTACCTGGCTTGGCTTGCAGTCAGGGCTCTGTCATATATATTCTCGCTCACAGTCTTAAGATCTGCAGGCAAGTTTTGCTTTCGTTCAAATTCTTACCCGCCTCCTATTGCACTGCAACCCCCCATAAATCATGTAAGCGATTATGGGGCCATACTGTTCCGGGACTTCCATCTTCCATCCGTATACAGCCAGGACAACGACGGTTTTTCAGTAAGTATCTTTTCGTGTGTGCTCCTCAGTGCATGAATTGGACACATGCTCTTGGGTCTGGCATGGAAATATGAACGACAATTCCAGTGTATAGTATGCTATAGCATATTGTGGCCTTCAGCCAATGGAGTGGATGGTATCTCTTGGTCTGAACCCGGAGGCGAGTATCTATTACACAAGGGCACCCCCAAATTCACCGGGGATGTACTTCCTGGATTGACAATAAAAAGAACATAATAAGACGGGCAAAAGCATGCTAAAGTTGCCTCTCTATCGAGAAGATACAGGCAAACCTTTGGGACCATAGAATAGATCTAATGGATGGATTTGAATCGCTGTCGCTCCGTCTTAGTTTCTGCTGCTTACCAACAGCATGTTCAATTGAAAGGCAAATCAAACAACCGAAAAGAGTTGGCCAAGGATATTTGTACGCAAGCGCGTGCTTCTTCTTTCCCACCCAGTTCAGGTGGTAAATTATCGATATGCCGACGAAGAGGAAGACGATACGAACACAGGTTGGATGATCGAGTTGCTAATTTCTTCAAAACTGAGAAAAGCGGTAAAGTCGCCAGGTCAGGTAGAGGTAGTTATAGAGACGTTCCCGCGGAATTGATGATAAACACTTCACAGCCCTGTTCGTTCAACCTTGGAAAGACTCTCACCTTAAAATTGTTATTAAATGCATGATAGTGTCATGTTATATATAGCTAATATCACGTTTAACAGGTTGGAACAACGATCCCTCACGCCGAAGCGACCCAAGCCAACAAGTCGGACCCTCGGACTCCTATCCGGAATTTCACTGCTCGGTACGTTTGAATATACACGTTTGATATTACCTCCTACATTAGATCATATTAACTATATAGACTTAAAAGATGAGACAGTGTAATCGGTTCTAGATTCAAAGGTATGATATGATCCAATCGGGAGAGTTGCGGGATTTAGAGGAGGGTCTGTTAAGGATACCAGAATGCAATGCTCAAGTGGAAGAGAAAGTAATAAAATAGCTGCCATCTTCAGGCACGTATTGTCCTCAATCAATAGGGCGCCAAATGCGACGCGATAACGGAATATCAATAAGTAAAATCATAAGACTGAATGCCATCCAACATTGAGAACAAAATCACAAAATTGATATCTACTTCATCAGGAGCCCCACTGCCCAAGAGACACTTAATCCTCTCAGATCACCATAATGCTGTCCAATACCTAGGAAAACAATAGGGATGCCCGTGGCATGAACCATGCTGACAAGCGTGCCGACCATGTCCCCCACCGTATCACATTTGCTGATTATGAATCCGTCAAGTCCCCGGCCAGTCCCAAACGCCTGGTTAAAATTGCGAGCTTGCATGACACTATCGGTGCCAACGAGAGCTTCACCCACCATGAAGATTTTATCAGGCTGCGCAAACTTTGCGAACTTCTCCAGCGAAGACATGAGGCGCTGGTCGTTATGTCGACGGCCAGCTGTATCGATTAGCACAACATCAAAGTTGTTTGCGGTAGCGTAGGCTACTGCATCCTTTGCGACGTTCGCCGCATCCTTGCCGTACCCCTTTTCGTATAGCCCCACATGTCCAACGTTTTCTCGGGAACTTAATTCTTGCAGGTTGCGTGCATGTACGCGCAGCTGTTCGACGGCGCCGGAGCGGAAGGTGTCGCATGCCGTGATAAGGACACGATAGTTATTCTGAAGCAAAAAGAAGCATATTTTGCTAAGGTTGGTGGATTTTCCCACGCCGTTTACTCCGACAATTGAGATGACATATGGGCGGCGCTGCCTTTGTGAGCTTGACGGTGAAGTAACGGCTTCAATCTCACGAAGTAGATCCAAGGATGATGTCGGTGTGAGGATTTTGCGCAGGGACGATTCCATCGCGGATCGAAGCGCAGAATCGATACTTTGGAAGCTGGCTGTTTTTTTGCCCACCAATTCGTGTTCAACGCCTTCGCATAAACGAACTGCTGCCTCGCGGGCAACGTTTTTTTTCAGCAAGTGTTCCTCCATGGCCTTGAGAGGTTTATCCAGGTCTGCTTTGGTCAAAACTTTACCACCAACAATATTTCGGAAAAGACCACTAATAGCACCTAAACTGGATCCTACAAGACCATTCGATGCGCTGGCATTATCCTTGACAGCATCCGCGTTTTGCAGGATGGAGTGGACTTCGTCACCCAGGTCCTTGAGCACGAATTGGCCCTTTTTAGTTTTTGTTCCCCACGAATCCTGATCCACTGCCTCCACAGAGGGGGCAGCCACATTTTCCGATTCAGAACCATCTACATTGGAAGCTGAATAATCCAGAATTTCGCCGTCATCCTCGTCAGCAAATCCGTCCGCGTCCCATTTGCGCATTTTCTTCCTCCCTGACTTTGCACTCTTTGCCTTTTTGATATTGTCCTCACCCGACGAAATATTCGCGTTTGCATTTGCAGCCTTGCGTGCGCGACGGGAGGTGCGACCACCCGGTCCAGTTTTAGCGGTGAGGATATGGGTTGGCGTTGCTGGTCTCGAGGAATCTGGACTTGGAGAAGGCAAGCTCTCATTTGAGATCGCCATGGCCCGTGCAGCATGATGCTGCTCTGTTAAAGAGTCAGCATGCCAAAACCGAAGAGATGTTCAAAGCGGAAGCCTACCGGGAAGGATACCAGGGACGGTAGGCGGGGGCGGGCCACCGTTGTCCGCATCGACAAGTGTATCCTTCTTTTCCTCAACCAACAAAGAAGGACGCTTTTCAACAGCTGTTCCTGCAGAGGACTCTAGCTCTTTCACTTGCTGGTCGAAATATCTATCAAATGGGTACTCGATCATTCTGAAATTTGGTTGCTTGAGTTGTTCTTTATACATTTCCACAAAAATAGTTTTGATATTTTCAAGTAGTTCATCAATCCAGGTCAAGTGAAGCAAAGATTGGTAGACTGCCTAAAACAAAATTCACCAGATTGTGTTAGCAGTCATATTCCGTCTGGTCAGCCATGCCGGAGATGTTCTCACGCATACCACGAAGATTAAACCAAGATCTTTTGCCCGCCTCCACTTCAAGGTGTAATTTTCCTTCCTGTATCTTGGAGCCACACTACCCGCGCCAGCCTCGGGCTGGAGTTTCTCCTCGATAAAGACATCGTTGATCAAACTGTTGATAATCTGGGCCCCCACAGGCGCATACGACCTTGACCACAAGACCACACCAGAGGTGGTGACGATTTCGAAGGAGTCGAGCATTATGGCAACTCGTGGAGGATCAAATAATAAGAGAGCGTAACACAATACAACTGCAAGAAGTAACAACAAACAGAAAATTCCCGTCGCCGATCCCTATGCCTCCCGCTGATGGCTGTTCCCGCGTTGTGAAAGCAACGACGCGGGAAGAACCTTGAATCCGCGGAAGTGCACGGACCAGGCTTATGTCAGCAAGAACCAACCACCTGGGCACTTTGCAACTATTAACTTAGTTGACTATCAGTCAAGTCAAATCATTTGGGTGATGACGGCAATGTCGAGGATATCAAAACATCAGCATATCATCATTACGCATCCGCACAGCTTAGCATCTGGCTGCGACCAACCCTTTGTTTTTCATTCTACAGCCCTGATATTTTCAAGAGAATAGGCTTGAGTTAGGCTTCGTCGCTATCAACCTCACAAACACGTTTGCCACGAAGTTGTTCATTCAAGACACTTGCTGGTCAATGCGAAATCTCACTATCACTCCAGGTCGACCTTACTTGTAAACGCTATGCACCGTAATTCTTTTGCTCCACCACCTGCTCAGTCTCCTCCCCTACATCACCCAGTACCCCAGCATGTCTCTACGGTCCCGATGATGAGGTCTCCACCTCCTCCGACCTCCCAACACTCGCATTCATCCAGCTATGCGAACCCGTACCAGCCCGCCCCGGCACAAGGCGGCAGTGGCACTTTTGCGCCTGGCTTTGGTGGGTTCATTTCTGATCCTACAGCGCAAATGGGCTTCCAAGTGGGCAAGAGTGCGGTAATGGCAGGGCAGGAATATATGGAACAGAATGTAGGAATTCTTCTGCTCAGCAGTAACTGTTTCCGGCTCTCCGCACCCTGTTTCTTGCGCATGTTAATCTGACTGCTTGATTTGATAGCTAAATCGCTACGTCTCGATTCCCGCTTTAAAACATTACTTCAACGTTTCGAATTCATACGTACTCAATAAGATCACACTTGTTCTTTTCCCGTGGCGGCACAAACCGTGGTCCCGCCAACAAGCACGATTGAATGCTGTTCAGTCAGGGGTTAATGGCCAGATCACGCAAACACAGTACACATCAATATATCTTCCTCCCCGGGATGACCTGAACTCACCAGATATGTACATACCTGCCATGGCATTTTTGACGTACATTATCTTGTCAACAGCCCTGGCAGGTCTGCGAGGTGTCTTCCACCCCGAACTTCTAGGGTCCATCACCACAACCGCCCTCGCAGTTGTCATTTTCGAAATCCTCTGTCTGAAGATTGCAATGTACATTCTCAGCATAAACAATGACTCACAGCTCCTCGACCTGGTCGCCTACTCCGGCTATAAGTTTGTCGGCATCATTGTGACGCTTGTCTTGTCAGAAGTTCTTACCCCGGGACAGGGGACTGGTAGCTGGGTTGGGTGGACTGTATTTACGTATACTTTCCTTGCTAACGCTTTCTTTCTCGTAAGTCCCCATGTTCGGCATATCTTGCTACATGCCCACTGTGCATACTAATCTAACATACCGCAGCTCCGATCCCTGAAATACGTTCTTCTTCCGGATTCCTCTAGCGATTCCCCAATGCGCGGAGGAACTATGCCCACAGTTGCACGTTCACAGCGTAACAGACGCACGCAGTTCTTATTTATCTACTCGTACATTGTCCAATTTATCTTCATGTGGGTTTTGAGCCGGGAAGATCCCGTTGCATCAGCTGTAGTATCCAAAGTTGGAGGAGCTAGCACTTCTTCATAGCACCATCCACCTCCGCTTTCTAGCTATATCCTACCTCTTTTGAAACCCTTATATTTTATGCAAAAATGGCAGGGAGAGAAATAGATATCACTATCAGGATTATCTTGCCTCCCCAGCGGTATCCAGGTATCAGCTTCTACGGTAGTTGCTTTACCCCTTTCTTCTTCTTTCTCTTCTGTTTTGGAGACCACTTCGCTCATGACAGAGCGCCAAGTTATTTTAACTATACTTCTTTTCTCTCCACCATTCTCATATTTGCCCCAGATTTTTCACATTCTGGGTTTTATTTCTCTAGTCATGGATCCTTACGTGGCTTGATATTGCTATATGCCACTAGTTTCACACCATTATCTGATTATCTCTGGAGCTAATGTTTTGTGCCCACGTATACATCTATATCCAGGTCATGTGCAGCTGGAGGGAATTCTTTATATAATACAAATACAAAAATGTGATAAGGATATTTCTATTCTATTTTCTCTTGTCGATATTTTTATTGTTGGCTCTTTAGTGCGAAGCCACAAAGGCCATATTCATCTTCCCTTGGCTGAGCTGTGTGACAGAATACCTCCTGGGTCTGCTTGTTTTCTAACCCTTATTGTGACCGAATGGCAGGCTTGATTCATTGCAACGGTTGCTAACTACGGGAACGACTACATAGAGTGAAGGGTCCGACATATAGCTCTAAAAAAAAAAAAAAAAAAAAAAAAAAAAAAAAAAAAAAACCTACTCCGTAAAGGGAGTCAAATCGGCAAGGACCTTTTGCAACCTTCACCTCGGAAAATGAAATTGACTTTTACCAATATGTTAGTAGACAAACATTACTCTAAGCTGTAGTGCCTCGTATAGTACGAACTAT